CCAGTAATGACACAACCTTAAAGTTGCAAACAGTGCCTTTAATTTAACCTTTAAAGATCACGAATATTGTGAGTTTATCTGAACTCCGGCTCCGACTCTGTAACAGAATCATGAATTTAGTCACTGCTCTGTCCCTCTTTCTCCATCCCACCATGTTCAGCAGAGACCTACATTTTCAATCCCACTACCTCTTCCTCCTGCCCACTGACCCTCCTGTCTTGGCCCCCAGCCCCCCACTATAGCTGCACCTGCTTCATTTACCATGTTGGTGTGCTCTCCTCAGCTTCCCTACACCTCCATCTTCCTCATACCAAGCACCCCAGCCGGCTGCCTCTCTCCCTCTGGCCCCCTATCCTCCCCCAAGTGGCCCCTGTCCCTCCATCCAGGGCCTCCAGCTGGCTGATGAGTTCATTAGGCCTAGAGCTCTGCCAAGGAGCGTGGCGCTGTTTGGGGCCAAAGCGGGAGGGCATCAGGGGGCCCCTGGTGGTCATTGGGCACAGAAGATGGTCATTGGAGGCGGGACAGAAAAGTCCCAGAATGCCCCACATGTCGATTGTGTCCATTCTTGGATCCGGAGACTTTTATTTTGTACATTAGCAATCTGGTTCAGGGCTTGTTTCACACTGAAACTTCAGCGGGGAAGTGCACAAGGCATCCTGGTTTGAAGGGGTCCACGTAAACAATGAGGGAAACAGATTTCTAATAATCCCCACAGGTCGTGGTGACATCTGGCCCCACACTTGAGCGTTGGCTCAATTAATTCGGAAAACACAAAACAAAAAAGCGCCAGGGGCAAAGATCTGGGGGGACCTAACAGGCCTCTTTGTGTGTGTGTGTGCGTATTGATTGTGGCATTTGATCAAGTCAACTGCAGTGCATGTGTGTGTGTGAATTTTATCCAAATTAGAGGAGGTTTACAGCTGCTTGACTACAATAGTTCTGTGCAATGTCCCTCTTTTACAGAAACCGTACAACCACAGAAGTTGTGATATTGTGTGAGCTCTCCCTAACACAGATTTTGATGATCTGCAGATTATTCAAATTGTATATGACAGTAAATGTAGTGCAAAAATAACAAATAACAACAATAAACAGTTTCTAAATATGATCCAGAAATGCCGGCCATGTCTGTGAGCCTGAGATTATTCATTACGGACTGAGAGAGAGTGAAAAACTTTCCTGTGGGCTGACGAATCCCAATTTTGAAATCTTTGAAGAACTTGATTTTAGTCCAGAAAGGCTGAGAAAAAGTGGAAGATGTTCCTGTTATCTGGTTTATTAGGGTGACCATATGTCCTCTTTAACCCAGGCATGTCCTCTTTTTGGAGGAGGTCCAGGGAAGTTCACAAAGTCTTTCAAATGTCTGGGGTTTTGTATGGAAGTTTTGAGTTTGTGTGGCCTGGACTAACTGAGCATAAAAAAACTCAAAATTGACTACGTGCAACTCCGCGACTCCACCCTGTGTAGTAGTGTCCTCTTTTTGGGGATTCAGAATATGGTCACCCTAGGTTTATCAAAATCGGACATCTTTTTTGGGAATCATGGACAAGCCTCAGCTCATTTATGGAGGACTGAGGCGAAGTGGAGACTGGCAGATCTGAATTTGGACATCAAGTCTTAGCCAATTAAAGATGATCCGACTCAACGTTTTATCACAGTTCAAAAGTCATCAGTGATGGGATGGGAAACTCTTAATGCTGAACAATTCAGGCACAAACAGGTTTCAAGCTGCAAAACCAGCTGATGTCTTTTCCAAGAGAGACCTTTCTTAATACAACGTGACGATGCCCACTCATATTTTGCATGTAATGGCTCCGTAGTAGAAGAGTCCAGGTGCCAAACTGACCCGCCTGCAGCCTCTACTTGTCAGGCATTGAAACATTTTTCTCAAGAATACAACAGAAGAGATCTGGACTGCTGAGCAGCAGGAGTCCTTCATGTACAAAAAGCTGTGATTGTGCTTGAAAATGTGAAATTTTCCTCATAATTTCCATTGTAGACACGACTCTCTACCTGCGATTTCTAGTTCTCTTCTCTCTCACCTTTTCCCGCCTCTGTCCTCTCCTTCCCTCCTCTCTTCACAGCGGGTCAGCTGGGGTCGGGGCCTCAGTGGCTGGGCTCAGGTGTAGCCTCAGCTGGGCAGGAGGGGGGGAGGATAGGAGAGGAAAAAAAGCAAGGGAGCGGAGAAGAGACGAGGAGGACTCTGTCCCACAGGCGATCAAACAGGGAGTCCGTCACAAAATAGGAAGCAAACACGTGCAAGTTTAAAAAAAAAAAAGACAACAGCTTTGTCCCTCACCCCTCGTTTTCTACACCTCCCCCATCTTCCTCTCTTCCTCTCTCACTCCTTCTCTCCTGGGAGAGGCCTGGCCGGGCTTGGCCTGAACGCCATCTGCTGCATAATGTAACGGGATAGAACTCCAAATCCTTCATTTCCACTCACTGCCTGTCATCTGTGTGTGTGTGTTTGCGCGTGTATGCGTGTGTGTCCACTCGTACAGTTGCATCTGAAAGGGTGTGAAAGTTTGGGCGCGTGTGAGATCTCATTTTACGGATGTTGTGACATTAGCTCGTCCAGCACTGATGTTGAGTGATGGGTTTGACGGAATAAAAAGGTGACGCTCAAATGTGTGTATGTGTGGTTTTTTAAAAGGATTATTCCGCTGTTTTGAATATGCAAGTCTGATGGTTTTCACAGTACCCGCAGTGGAAAATAGATCCTTCCTCTGAGGCAACATCGTGGCTTCGCCGGGTTGTTATTGTCTCTCCAGATCCATTTTCAGATGCAACAAAGCATCCAAATGAAAAAGTCTTTAAACATGAACTCCTGGGAAATCTTTAAACCGCATCCAGCTTAGAGTGGCACCTTGCCAGCGGTGTCACAAATTTGCTTTTTGTTTACAAGTTAACAAACAAAAGTGCACACACACAGAGTCGTGTTTAAGTGCCCCACCCCTCTCTGCAGCGCTGGTAACCCGGAGGTGCAAAGAGTTGTCCCTCCAGGTCCCCGTGGGGCCGCTGTGAATTGGGGGGCCATCTGTTTTCTGGTAATAAGCTTTCTCTTCATTCATCCTTTCTCTCTCTTTTCCCCTCTTCTCCTTCTTCATCTTATTCCTTCTTCTACTTCTGTTTTAGAAGATTTTCTGTCTGTCTTCTTCTTTGCGTGCACATGCAAAGACATGAAAAGACGCAGACCGACAGACAGAGATGTTGCATTGCTTCTGGAAACAAACACTAGCTTTCTGGCTGTGAGTTTAGGGGAACGGAGACATGGTGAAATATCACAGTGTGAACCCTTAACCCCGACCAGCTATCCATGGCTGTTGACATAAAGTAAAAGTGACACATCCCTCCTCACATGAGCCCATACAGCCCTCCAGCTGCTGGGCAGCGACCAAAGTCTGTGTCTGATTTTTCTTTCTCTTTGTTTAGTTTGTATTATACGCTTGATCAGGAAGCTCAAAACAAATTGACAAAATGCGAGCCAGTGAGGGAAATATCCTTACTAGTTTGACAAGAAAATGCATGCACCAAAAAACCAAAGCAAAAACAGAAAACGTGACTGAATTCAGAAAGGTTGGTGCAGTTACAGAAAGACAGCAGAATGCAGAAATGCACCACAAATTATGATAAAAATAAAGTATGCCACGAACAAATCACAAACTCACTTTGAATTCAAATCAGTGAAAAGCAGAATAAAGTAATCCAACATATAAAAGTCATATCCAGACATTCGCTACAAACACACAATGACCAAAATCAAAGGCGCATTGAGGGAAAAACACCCTTATATTCAACCGAACTGAAAACAGAAACACATTGAAATGACAAAAAAAACTCAAATGTTTACATTTTGCAGTAATTCAAATTGACAACATGCTTGCCAATGAGGGATAAATCCTTACTGGTTTGACAAGAAAATGCATGCACCAAAAAAATCACAGTAAAAACAAAAAGCATGACTGAATTCAGAAAAGTGGTGCAGTTACAGAAAGACAGCAGAATGCAGAAATGCACCGCAAATAATGTTTAAAATAAAGTAAATCCAAATACCACCACCAAAAAACAAACACACTTTGGATCCAAATAAGTTTAAAAAAAAAAAAAAAAAAAGAAAAAACACCCAAATTGGAAGCGCGCTGCTGAAAAAACACCCTAAAGTAAAAACGCACAATAAACAAGTTGACACAAAACCTTGTAACAGAAACTTATATAGACAAATCAATCAAACCAAGAAGTGCATTATGAATCAACTGAATGAGAAATGCACCATCAGTCGATCTAAGGCGCAACATTTCACATTTCGCAAACATGCACCGCAGAAAAAGTAATGTAAAAAAGTTGTTCCAAACAAGGTTACACTACTGTGCCATGAGTGCACTGAAAACAGTTACAAGAAAAACGCATCGGTGTATCCATCAAACTGCGAAGAATGGGTAGAAATGACGAAAAACATTCAACATAGAAAAGCACCACAAAAATTTAATCGCACCAAGAAAGGCTGTGGTCACACAAAATTCAATCACAATCAGAGGACCAATGGAAAAATAACAACCAAATTTAGGTCAGCTACAGATACAAAAACAAACAAACAAAAAAAAAAAATACAAAAATGCGCCATGGATACAGCATAAATAGCGATTTATTGAAATGCACCACAGAATGTGAAACACAACCAAATGCAGAAATGTTTGAAAACTAGCAAAATACATTTACTGGCTTCAAAACACAAACAAAATTTAAAAATGCACTGGAAAGGGTGAATGATGAATTTGTGCAACCTTTATTTTCCTTTATAGTTTTGCACTTGGAATAAATAAAGCTTTTAAGTCAGTATAAACCAGCTACAATGAGAGACAGTATCTTTAGCTACTGAATATCTGTACCTCAGGGATCGATTCTGGGCCCACTGTTATTTTCCATCTTCATTGATGATGTTGTGGAACAGTGTGAGAACAACATCTTCCTGTATGCAGACGACTCTACCATCGTCGCACCAGTAACATCGTCAAATGCGCCTGAGGTGACTGCGTCCCTGAACAAAGACTTGGAAAACCTCCGGAAGTGGGCCGATGCCTGGAAGGTCACTTTTGAGCCCAGCAAGTGCAAGGCAATAATCCTGTCCAGAAAGAGGAATCCCTCTCGACCCGACCTGTACTTTGGGACCACCAAGATCACCCTTAGTGAGCAGATGGAGGTGTTGGGTCTTTCTATAGACAGCAAGCTCACATGGACCAGCCATCTGTCCAACATCTGCAGACGTGCTGGACAACGTCTTGGTGCACTGCGTAAGCTGGCCAACAAGCTTGATGCCAAGGGCAGGGCCAACATTTATAAGACCCAGGTCAGGAGCATCATGGAGTACTCCTGCCTGGCCTGGATGAACGCCTCTCCGACCACTCTTAGGCAGCTAGACCTCATCCAGAGGAAGGCTCTAAAAATCATCGGGGTGGATGAGGACCTTGCCCTTCAGCAGTACGCCATCAGCAAGCTGGGTCACCGGCGAACAGTTGCAGCAACAACCGTTCTCTATAAAATGCACACCTCCAACTGTCCAGTGGACCTCAAAACTCTGCTACCCCAAGCCCACACCGTGGGAAGAATCACCCGGAGAGTACTGCCAAGTCACGCCCTGAAAGTCCCCAAGTCTAAAACCAATTGCCTTGACAGGAGCTTTCTCCACTCTGCCATAACAACTTGGAATAGCCTTCCCCCTGCAGTTGTTGGAGATATTACATCTACTGGTGTTCACGCCTTCAAGAAGAGGCTGAACAAATACCTCCTCAGTATATGACTGTTATCCCTCACAAAGCTTCATGGACTTTTATCCACAAACATTCTGTTTTTATTTACCCCAGTCTGAGTAGCTGCAGATCATTGATAGGCTCTTTGATTTTCTCTCAAAGCCTGTATCCGCTCAAGCCAAATTAAAAAAAAAAAAAAAATAGAAATCACATATTCAGCGCAGGACACGTCAACAGAAGTGAAATCACCTTCCTGCCACTGCTGACATTAACACAGTCAGAAAAACAGGCTCGGTAAACCAGCCTCACTCCCATCATCCTCCTCTGCAGGAGCCGCCCCCCCTTCCTGGCAAGTCACTGACGCCGGCTTGATTTCTAAAGTTTTGGTTTGGTGGAGCATTGGGTATTAATGGCACTGGATCGATCAGAATAGTTGCCATGGCTACAGTATGATGTGAAGGGATGAAGGCTGAGGGGAAGCGAGGAGGGGAAGGTGGATTTAAGTTCATGACCGAAACACACACACACACACACATATTTTCATATATGCAGACATACATAAAGACTCAGGGGGGAGAGCAGCTTGAGTTTGAATAGAGTGCCGTCCAAGGTCTAGCTGTAAGAAAGCATCGCCTCTTTTTCTTTCATAACTTTCCCCGCGCGGTATGGAGCAAGGCAAGGGACGAATAAGTGTTTGCAGCATGCATGTACCAACTCAAACCTGACACCACACAATGCACATTTAGGTTTTATTATGGGCTGTGCATGACAACATCGATATGTCATCTGATATTGTTCATTACCCCGGCTGCTGCATTATCCGATTTATGCTTTCCTATGGCAGCCTTCAATACAGCCCTGTGTTATATCATGATTATGAGCAACCTGGGTGCTGGGATGCTGTCTGCATCTCATTCAGGCGGAATGAAATGGATCAATATACCAGAGGAGGCTGAATCAGGGGGTCTGCATGTGTGCAAGGCAGAGAGGGAGAGAAAAAAGTGTGCATGTGTGTGTGTTTGTGTGTGCGCAGACAGACAGCCTTGGGAGATCAGAGTGCACAACTGCTCCCGGCTTCAAACAGTGCCTCTCTTTCTGTCTCCTGCACACACACACACAGCTGTTTTTTTGGCAGCACAGGTTTTGGATTCGGAGCAACATTTCAGCATAGGAACAAAATAATCACACAGTATATCAGCCGGAGAGTGCTTCTTTTTCCCCAGCTTTTGTTGGTTACAAACTTCATGAAGCCATATTTCTTCGGTGACGCAGCAGGCAGGCAGGCGGGCGAGGAGGCAGGCATGAGTCGGGCTCTCGCTTGCTCTCATTTAAGTGCAGATTTACAAGCTGTGTGTGGCAGGAGCTTAGGTGCCTATTCGGGTTGCCTTGTAGGGAAAAAGCCGCGGCATGAATACATCTGTTGTGTCATCCAAAGTGTCGCAAACAAGCTCCTCTGCTTCTTCTTGTAACGAGATTGAAAAATTTGAGCCCTCCAACAGCTCAGGTGCTGTCCAGAGAGAGTGATTTTCCTCTTCTTGTGTGTGTGTACTCTCATTACTTTTATGCACACGAGCACACACACACATATGCACTTCACAATTAGACTAATTTAATGCCCCATTCCCCTCTATTAATCCTAAATTCTGTCCACATTTTGATTCCTGCTTTAAATGAAGGGGCTGCCACATGCGTCACTCGGAACAAAAGGGAGGTTAGATTTATTCTGCATTTGGGGCAGTGTGTGTGTGTGTGTGTGTGTGTGTGTGGTGCAGGGGGGGAGGTTCATGCATGGGCATAACCCAGCCCCTAAAGGAAGGCCCCCGCTGCCAGCTGCCAGCCATAATTAAGCAGCCCTGCCGTGTCTATCACTGATTATGTTTGACCTGGCTAATAAGGCGAGTGTGTGCCACCTACGTGTGGCAGCGGAGCGTCACGGCCCCCATTGTCCACTTTTCAGACGAGGTTATTAGTTTGATGTATGGATGATGACAAAAACGTGTGTTGCTAAACCATCAGTTGCATTAAGTGCTTTGTTCGATATATACGTGACAAAACAGTACATTTGTTTAAAAAATCTCCAAAATATGATGCTAAAACTGTTTTTCAGTCCTAATTATTATTTTTTTTTGTTTGCCTCAGTTGTTAAATTTGTGCACTTTTTGATGGCCTACCAAAACTGTATAATACGGAAGAGGATTAGGGCCACTGGAACAACAATGAGGTCCAGGACATAATTATTTGATAATTGTTCTGAGAAAAAAAAGACAGAATTCTGTGAAAAAATCAGAAATCCTTCTTTAACCTCAGAATTTTGACTTTTTTTTTCCTCATGATAAGAATGATTATAAATATATTGGACTTTTTTCAGGTGGCCCTAATCCTTTTCCGTAGTGTCAAAGTAAAAGTTCATGGACATGCATGGACATACCGGGAACAACACAAATATACGACAGGAAATAACGAAATATTCACAGGCGAATTTTGACATGCCTGACTATACACATCAAGTGCAATGTGATTTTGTGACTTTTCGGGGGGGAAAAAGACGCGTCCCGGATGGAAGCGAGAAGACTGACACAACAGCAGACTGACTGTTTTTCAGTTCTGATTAGACTCTAGTGTTGAGATGTCTGTCTGTCATGATAGCATGTACTGAGTCAGGGCCAGTACTAGATAAGCTCATTAAACTATAATCCATAAACGTAAGGTAACAACCGAGACCTAACGTTGCTGTGACAGCAACGTGATTAAGTTTTAAGGTGTGATTAAGTCTGAACAGGTTAGCCTACAAGCTAAAGTTACTTAGCACAGATGAAAGTTAAAACAAAGACGTTTAGCAAACTGTTAAAGCACACAAACCATCGTCACATGAGAGATCTGACGCTATGACTCTCCACAAGTTGTCCTTCAGGTCGTTGTCTTTGTAATATTTGTCTTTTATCAAAAAGCACTCTGTTCTCCGACAGGTAAACGATCAGCCAGTCGGCCATGTTGGATATACCAGTGAATCTGACGTCACAACAACACGAAATCTGATTGGTCAGAAGTGGACACACAGTATGCGAAACTTTAGAAAATTCGACCATGATGAAAAAATAAATGCTGCAATATCGCAGGACGGGAAAACGTTGCTGATGTGAACGCTTGTATTGACAGGATACGGGTTCGAAAAAAAATATTGACGTCCGAAATAATTGCATGAAAAAAATGCTCCTGGTGTGTAAGGACCTTAACACTGTCTTGCTTTTTTTCTGCCTCAGCCACTGAATGTTGGCGGTGGAGGCCAAAAACAGAGCAAAATACCAAATATATATACAGTAAAAGCAGCTTCCAATCTGACCTGAAAGTTTCCAAACTGGAACTCCAGAGGAGTGTAAATGTTTGGCATTAACAGGGAGATTACTGGATGTTGCACTCTGGATGATCTTAGAATAACTACACCTAAGGCTATGTTCACACTGCAGGTCAATTCCGATTTTTTGACCATATGTGACACATATCTGAATTTAAGTGTGAACAGTGCAATTCCGTTTTTTTCAAATCCGACCCAGGCCTCTTTTGTATGTGGATATAAATCAGATGTAGCCGATGTGACTGCAGTGTGGACGCTCAGGTCGTGTTCATCCGACTTATACGTCATCAATATGCAACAAACGTCACCATTGTTCGAAAACACAAACAGGCGAAATTTGTGTGCATGCGGGTCACTTCATGGACGCATTCCATTCACATTACATGCCACATTCATTGTTGTAATGTGAACAACCGCACAAAAAGATCGGATTTAACAAAAAATCGGAATTGTGCATCATAACCTGCAGTGTGAACGTAGCCATATTGACAGTGACATTTTGTGCATTCACTCCTGCAAGATTACAGTGTTATTCGAAATTTTTGAATCCTAAAAGTTGAATTTAATTGGTGTTTGGTATTGGAAGAAGTCAATACAAGATCATGAGATCCATCAGCTCTGGTAAAAACTACAATAGTTCAAACATTTACTCTTAAAAATCTTTATTCCTCCTGGTGAAAAGATCACTGTCCTCCTAAATGGCGCTCCCAGGGAGGGTTATCCTTTAGTTCCACCTCCGCCTGCATGTACCCCAACATTGCAGCAATCAGTATAAATTAATAATAGGCGAATCAAAGTGCTTAATTTAATGGCGGCTATGAAAGATTAATACTTGACATTATCCAAGCTGCTGTGCTGTAAGGAGACCCACCCATGCCTGAGGTAAACCAATCACACTTCTATGAATATGACATTAGACACGTTGATGTGATGTGTTACATCAATGTCAGGCCAAGACTTGAGTACAGCGAGTGCGGATGGAAAGTCCACGGAGTGTGACTGGTCTATTTCTGTCTCCCCTCCCTCCCTCTCTCCCCTCGCTCCTTTCTCACTGGGTCCAGAGGCGAGAGATCAGTTCAGGGTGGAGGAGAGCTGGTGTTTGGCCTGAGGGGCCCTTGGACACAGATTCTGTCATTGTCCACAGCTGCCACTCAGCCCCCCCCCTCTCTGTGGCCATCCTCACCTTAAGGGCGTCCCCCGCTACCCCGCCTCCCTAATGAAGAGTGACACGCGTCCGGAGGATCTGATCTAGTCTGAAACGAGGGGCCCTTGCCTCCTCTGTTTTGTCTCCTATTATTGACTGTGCTGGCTCACACTGAGTCGCCGTGATGAGAGCACAAAATACCCAAGAGGCATCGCTCCCAAATCAGAGTGGGGGGCACAAAGGGCAGATGTGATTGTATAGAACTGTGAGGACCTAATTGTCTTTATTCATGAGCTGTGTGATTGATATTAGAGGAAAATGAGACACTCTAATTGTCCTCTTATATGAGAATTTTCATACAGGCCCACACTCCGATCATGTGGCTGTGTGTGTGTGTGATGCGCATGCATGCAGCTGTGGGCGTGTGCGTGCACGACCGGGTGAGATATCAAAGTGACAACTCCTAAAGGGCATCTATGCAGCGTTCTGTAGACATATCACTTGAAATAATAATCTTGTTGTTCTTTCTGACAGCCTCTTGCCTTTATTTTATCGCTGAATTCAGACATAATCAGGAGGAAATGGATACTCGACCTCCTGGTGGAAAAAAAGACACCTTTTGGACGGTCTTCAGGCAAGATACAGTCTTAAAATCTTTATTCTTTTACTGCATCTCATAAGGTTTTTCATCCATGGTACCTGCCCACAACGCCAAAACTCCTGCTGAATGATTTTCAGTCTACAGATGGGCTAAATGTTGCTGTTAAAGCAACTAGGGCATCAATAAGACCTCAGCAGAGTATTTCTGATTGGCAAAGCAGAGCTCCAACCAAGTATTGAGAGTATAAATGAAAATACTTTCTAGAAATTGAATGTTTTTGTATATAAAAGCCAATATTCAAGTCATACTGGATACTAAATTCCCATGAGCTATGAGCCACTATTATCAAAAATTACGACAAAGGACTAAACTTGGACTAAACTACGATAAAATAGATCTGTGATATTCTAATTTGTTCAGGTGCAGTCTTCATTTTTCCCATCATCCCTTAAAGTTGTTGAATTCCTCCTGTCTCGCTCCGTCTGAAGGCGTCATATATCCTCTGAGGTTTTATGATGTTTGCACACGGAGAAATATTGACACCGAACTCCCCCTCTCTTCCAACGTTGGGGCAGTCCATCAAAGTTTGAATAAATACTCTTTAGAAATCCCCAGTAGACCTTCAAAATAAAGTTCAGAGGGGTTTCTGTATTAGGATAATTGACCATTTTTAGTATTTACCACACTTAAATCAGCTTTTCAGTTTCTTTCAGGAGGTTTTAAAGTGAAAAAGTAAGAAATACAAAGATTTTTTGAAACAATGGCGACCTAGAGTAATGGAGTTAATAATGGAGGCAATAATTGTCACCCACTAAAGACATGATGAAAGCTCTTGTGAGAAGTTTTTTTGACATTTATCTAACAGACTGAGTTCATTTTGTTGTCCTTTTATGACACGACCATCAGAAACAAGACTGTTGATTTTCATATCATAATTTTTAATCACAGAAACAAGTGCAAGAAACAAGAGTTAAGTGTCAGTGAAGATGTCGAAGTCAAATTACCTTAACTTTATTTTCCGTTTCAAATATTTAACAAAAAATGATACATTTGACTGTCAAAAATTACTTTAACCTACTTAAGTTAACTCAGCATGGAGAAGACGAGATAGGTAATTACTGCTTTGTCCACAGGGGGTGCCAAAGTTGACTCAAACCAAAAGGGGATTTAAAGAGCTGTAATTGTGGTTCATGCAACATTTCCTGCTTTGGCATAAACTTGCGATCCTGTTAAGCTGTAATGTTATAAAAATGTTCTGGTATCCAGGCTCCCACTGATCACAAGTTTATTTTATCCAGAAAGGAAAGATGTCATATGTTCTGTTAATTTAGTTTTCTCCTGGTTTTATTTGAGTGCATTTTGTGTATTATCCCTTGTGTTTCTCTTCCCTATTGTTACTGTCGTCTAGTCTTGTGAGTTTTCAGTTTGTGTTTGACCCTGTTCCCTCATGTTCTCAGTGTTTTATTCTTTAGATCAGTTTTCAGTGTTTATTTCCTCTTTTATTTTGTAGTAGTTGATTCCTTGTGTTTCTAGTCTGGTTTTACTTCCTCAGTTTGCCCTCCTTCGTTAGTCACCCATGAGTTTCACCTGTGCCTCGTTAGCCTCACCTGTTGCTCGTTACCCAGTGTGTAAACGAATTATCTGTGATGTGCAATATCATGTGCAATATATCTTATTTATCCCACTGACTTATCCCCCTTTGCATACGTTTACACTCTGACTGCATTGCTTGTGCACTTTGTAAATCGTTCATTTATACTTTTTGTATTTTTATTCTGTTGTATTGTTCTTTGTATTCAATTGTGTGTTATTTGTACTTCTTTCGGTCGAGCGGTTCTTCTCATCCAGGGCGTTTCATTGCATTGTTGACTATGTTTAACCTGCATATGACAAATAAACTAATCTTGAATCTCATGTATATAGTCCCTGTCTTCCCCTTTGCCCTTGTTGGTTTATTGTGTGTGCGTTTGTCGGTCAGTGAGTGTCTCTCATAGTCGTTGTTGTATCCCTCATCTCCTTGTGTTTTTTTCCCCCCAGGATTTTGCCTTTGGATCTTTTAGTTGGACGTTTTTAAAGAAAGTTTTTGTAGTTTTTCATTTAGTTCTTTTTAAATTAATTATTTGTTCTGCATTTGGGTCTTTTTCTTTTGTTTAACCCTGGCTCATGATAAAAGAAACATCCAACTCTGAGCCAAATTCATGCTCACTGCGTCCATGGTGCTGCACGAGTTCATATGGGTCACCATGATATGTATAATAATGTCCATGAAGGATTCTTGTGTGGCACACAGATGCATGCGACCTCGCTCATTGTACACACTATAAACCTGCATTAAGTGGAAAATCTTCTTATCTCTCCCAACATCCTCCTTTCTGCCCCTGTTGCCTGTATATGTTAGTGTATGTAGATGAATAGAGGTGCATCTAACGGGTTGGGTTCTGGTCATACTAATATTTTAAAGTATGCATATGCAACTCTTGACCTTAAAAGGTCCCAAATGGAAAAGCTTTGCGGTTATGATGACATAACCGCATAAGCCTCTCCTACATGTTGGTGGCAGCACCCCCGATAATCATTAGCCCAGCCCTCTAAGGCTGTGTCCAAAATAGAACCCTAACCCCTATATAGGCGACTATATCGGGGTTAGTGCCATTTTGAGGGGTGAGTGATCAATTCCAATGCCCCATATAGACAACTTAAAATTTCCCATAGAGCATTGCAAAATGTAGTGACCATCCGATGGTCACTCACCGGTGGTGGGCATCCCGTCATGCATTGCGTGAGACCAAGAAGAGACAGAACCCGAGCAAATACGTTTTTTATCTTCACTTCACTCGCGAGGGATCCGTACAGTTTTCGAAAAACAATTGTTTGCTGCGTCATATAGTCTTGTGCACAATATGTCGCAGCAAACAATATTCAGCATGAAAATATAAGGCCTTTTAAATAAATTATGAATTTATTGTTTTTTATATTTATTTTTTTATTTCACAAACATCCTGGAAAAACAAATACATCTATACAACATCATAAAATTCAAGAAATTTGAAAACAACAGCTGCAACTTCAGACGCGGCAGTCTGAGCAGTGACGTCAAAATGGTGCGCCACGTAGTGTCCGAAACCTCCGGTGATTGAGTTCACTACATAGTCAGCTATATAGTGAAAACCCATATGGGGGTTAGGGTTCAGGGATTGAGTGATTCATTTCGGACACAGCCGAAAACTTGCTTGCTTGCTGAGGCAGCGTCCGCCATTTCTTCCCCTCGTATACGCCGCTCTGGTACAGCAACCATGTCGAAGCTATGACAAACTGAAGGTTCTTACACACCAGCGAATTTGCGTAGCGAAGCGAAAAAGCGAGACGAAAATACGAAAATATTCGCCAGTCCGAAAAATCGCTTTCGCTTATACACACTGGGCGACCACTCTGTGGTACACACTCTCTCCCATCGTTGCTTTTGGTGCCAGTGGTGGTGTGTGTCATGTGAACTGCAGCCGCATGGGTCTGTGACGTCATCAACAACATGACTTTTGATTGGCCAGAGGTCTAGCAGGTCCAGATATTCGCCTGCAAAATCTCCGAAAAATTTGACACAAGAGCGAAAAAATAAAAGACGCTTTTCGCCCCGCGGAAAAATCACTGCAAGTTTGGAAGCTTGTATTGACTTTATGCTGTTTTAATAAAAGGCGAATAAAGGTGAATAATTCGCCTGGCGAATTCGCGCCTGGTGTTTAAGGACCTTAAGACAGGAGTCTATTTCTGCCTCCTTCATCTAAAGATTTGAGGACCCAGTGGATTAATTTTATTTTTGATGGAAATGTACCCACAACGACCCCGAAAATGTTTGTGTGCTAACCATTTCACCACGGACTGTTTTACCAACGAGGGGCACTTCAAATCAGGATTCGCTAAGAAGCTGAAGATAAAACCTGGATCCGTACCGACTATCTGTATCAGGGACCCAACTTCAAACATGGAAGCTTTAAGTTTGACCATTTTACAGAAACACAGTGGTGTACACTCCAAATAAGAAACCAAACCACAGTATACGTTTCTGCACTTGTAGCTGAATCTGCAGGCAGAGACATGACTTATCTCCACCAATCACACCCCTGAAGCTAACCTGCAAACTCTTCACTGTAACAGTGTTAGGTCCAGTGTGACTCTGCCTGTCTATCTACCTAACAACCAACCTATACTCTCCGCCCAAGCGACCCAACAGAGTCATGATTGAAACTCACGTGGGAAAACACCTTAAATTGCTCAGTTAAGTGTAAATTAATGTGTGTGTGTATGTGGGCCACCGTGCACGCCTGCACACACCTCGCTGCAAAATGAAGATGAAAGCAAGGTGTGTATGTTTATGCATCCATGCATGCGTGCAAATGTGTGTGAATGCATGCATGCACGTGTGTGTGTGTGTATTTGTGAGTGTGCATCCACCAGTGTAATGTGATAAGCTCCAGCAAAGCACATACCTGATGCCATTAAATGCAATTTCCCCTGTGTGTCAGCACAGCCATTTGTCAGCTGCTAACACTGCACGCTTTATTAAAAACCTCATCCGCTTCAATTAACTGCGCCCGCAAAGCAGTTTAACTCCACTCTAATCCTGTCAAGATGTTTTAACAGGCCGTGCGTACTGTAGGTACATCATTTCAAACCCTGTTAGTGAGGGTTTTATGATTTTTTCAAGTCTTTTTTTAAAGTTGTGGTTCAGTTCCTGAGAGACTAGAGCAGAGTGAGTGTGCAGTTTTTTCTCCCGCTGTTGCTTTTTGGGTGTTTAATGGATTTCTAAACTATAATCCACCTCTATGTATCTTTTCACAGTGCTCTTGAGACTAAATATAAGGAGATTAAATGACAAATGCTCAGGAATAAGGCTTTAAGTTTGGTGCAAAGGCTTGCAACTAGAGGACGAGATTGGGAGGGAGAAAAGGCACAATACTTTTCTCAAAGGGAGTGAAGTTTTTTACATCTAGGTCCAACGTACGATATACTGAAGTAGCAATTCATGTGCTTAAAGGGATATTCCCGCGTAAAATTAAGTGGGTCAAACACACTGTAACATCGAGTTAGACACCCCGTCGAGAGATGAATGTTGTCGACCGCTTGCTTCTCTAGTTATACCAACTTTAGTAACGACTGCAGATAGCAATACAGAGAGCCACACGCTCAACATCTTTTAACTTTGCCTGATTTCTTTAGCAAAGAGACTAAACACAACTCACTGTCTCTCTTCCAGCAGCCGCTTGTTGTACGGAGACCTCCAGGTGAGTCCATTGACTTCAGCGGGGTGACACAGCTCAAGGAACAACATTGATGATCATTACTTTATCATTTCCTTGAAGTAATAATCACCATATTAATCACAATGATCATAAATGTTCTTCCTTGAGCTGCGTCACCCCGCTGCAGTGGATGGACTTGCCCGGAGGTCTCCGTACAAACAAACGGCTGCTGGAAGAGAGTAGGTGGGTTGCATTAAGTCTCTTTAGAAATTAGGCAAAGCTTAAAGATGTTTGGTGGCTAGTGCTATGACTGGGACCCTATATGTACTGTTGATGAAGTTAGGTGCTGTTCTGAGCATTATTTGTGGCTATAGAGTGGCGTTTTGGTTGAGGTTTGTTTTTGGCTCCTGAGACCGCTGTGTATTGCTATCGTGCGGTCGTTACTAAAGTTGGTATAACTAAAGAAGCAAGCGGTCGGCAACATTCATCTCTTGAGGGTGTTTAACTCAGTCTTACGGTGTGTTTGACCCTATATTAATTTTACGCCGGAATTCAACTTTTCAAAGCTCCTATGAGGAACTTTTAGGAGTTCATGGGAAAGACTTATGGCTAACCATCAGCATCAAAACTGACAATTTCTGACAAAATCACATTAAAAAAAATGTGATTTTTTTCATGCATATGACCACTGTTAACTTTCAGTAGTATACTAGTTTGTAAGTGCTATTAAAACTACAACAGTACTTGTCTCCAAGTAAGGAACAAATTTCCTTCATACCAGCCCTGTCACCAAAAACTTTTCTTTTTTGATTTTGCCAAACTCAGAATTTTACTCTTTTGATGCCAAATGCCAATGTTTGAAAAACTGGCAGAATGAATTTGTACATCTCCAAGTTTGTTGAGACTATTTGTCACCTTTGCTGTGAAACATCACCCCTTTTAAAAGTTTGGATTTCAGGCTCAGCAGCACGCTTTGGTACTTTTTACTTGTGCCAGGCCTCCGCAGAGAAGTGTCCCTGATTGTTTTACATGAAAACTTCAGTATTCTGGTGAAGAGATGATGAGAGTCTGCTGTCAGCACCTTTGACCAAACCTGCCTGTTTGGTAAAGACAGTCAGCCTCAACGTGGTATACAAAGGGAGCTGATTAGGGGACTGAGGGGCAGGTATGTGGGCAGGTGAGAATGAGAAGATTGGCAGGAAGAGGCTGCTGCTGCAGGAAGGTGAGAGAGCAAAGAGTCTGAAATGACAGGAGGGGTTAGTGGCAGCAAATAGACATCAGACTGAATAATAAAAAAAGCTGAAAAAGGCATTTAAAAACTGCAGAATAGTCCTTTAAAGCTTCCTCTGCGAAATTAAATCTTTGCAAAAAGGCACAGAGTCAGAAGGACTGAAAAACTGCACCCCGCAAGGACATCACACATGCTCCTACGCTTTCTTTCCTTGAAAACACACACACATGCACGCACGCACGCACGCACGCAAGCACGCACACACACACACACACACACACACACACACACACACACACACACACACACACAAATCATGCCAGCAGGGAGCTGATGGTTAGCATGGCTCTGTCACTGGGGATCCAGGGTAGGGTTTGCAGGAAAGAGAAAGGTGTAAATTGGGTGAGCGCTGGGTGCAAAGCCTTGAGAGTGAAGGTTTTTACTCTCCTTTTTGATGCTTTGTCACTCACACACTTCCCCTGAGATACAGGTGAGGAAGGGGCGCTGGAGGGGGAACTACTTGGTTCACTTTATTTTTGTTTAAATTGTATCTGGATTATGACTCTTGTGAAAGAAAATCACTATTTTTACTCATATAACCTCTTGTTTCAATAGTTTTCATTTTTCTTTGTTTTTTTTTGTTTTGTTTTTTTAATTTTAATTTTTTTAATTTTAATTTTTTAATTTTTTCTCCTTCACTTTAAAATATTTTTTATTTTTTTATTTTTTAATTGCCTTTTATTTTTATTTTAAAAGTATTTTTCTTTTTATTTACTTTCCCTTTTTAATTTTCCTTTCTTTGTTTTTTTTATTGATTTATTTTTCATTTTATTTCATTTCATTGTTTGCTTTTTAATTTTACTTAAAAATATTTTTCTTATTTTTCTTTTTATTTACTTCCACTTTTTATTTTCATCCTTCTTTGTTTTCATATAATCTTCATTTTTTTATTTATTTTAATTTTGGATGCTTAATAATATATATTTTTTAATTTAATTTTAATTAACACATTTGTGTACTTGTTTGTAAGTTATTTCTCATTACTCTTTGTGTTTTGTGAATAAAATTTGATAATACTAATCATAATAATCTTCTACTCCCACTACTTAAAGTTCTTTGCCTCTTTTTTTGTCAGCTTGTCAATGTCAATGTCAGCTTTCTTATATAGCACATTTAAAAACAGCCAGTGGTCTACCAAAGTGCTTTACAGTAAAAGAGCCAGAGACAATAAAAAAACTATAAAAACAAAAAAAGCATGAAACATATAAAAACATAAAACAACAATATAGATAAATACAGCAAATAAATAAAATACCCAATAAAAGTAGCTATACTTCCCCAAAAGCTAAAGTGAACAGGTGCGTCTTTAAAAGTGGAAAGGCTGTTAGCAGTGCGCACTGTCAGGGGTAAAGCATTCCACAAAGTGGGAGCCATGATGGAAAATGCTCAATCGACCCCAGGTTTTAAAAAGGATCAAGGAACGTCGAAAACCACCTGATTTTTGTCTTCTATTTATAAATTCCACTGTTGGAGCTGCAGAGCAGACAACGCCATAGAAGATAGAAAAAGAGTGTACAAATCCAGGAGAAGGTGGGATTGTGACGGCGTTGACCACGGGTAAACAGGTTTCTCACATAATTTCATATCTTTCAGCTTGATGCTGATGAAATTTGAAAGTGTAATCAGCGAAACGAAAGCTAACGGCGAGCAGGTGTGACTTGCCTTTGATCATAACGGAGACCAATTGCAATTAGACCCAAAATGGCTGGACGGCGGTATCAGGGGGCTGCTTGCAGATTATGTATTTTTAATCAGAGTTGTTAGCATCTGTGATGGATGCCCGTTTTACTCACACCAGCCCCTGATGGCATACGTCATGTTTGCTAGCTGTGAATTATCACCGTGTGAATGCTGTCCATTAACTGCATGAGGAAACGCACATCCCCCATTGTGTTGTCCTACCTCTACTGATGCAGACTTACTTTGGTTTGTCTCTGAACCAGCTCAACAGCACAGATGAAAATACGAACAACCAGAGAAATTCTGTAATTTTTTTAATGAACCTATTTCACACCCTGAGAGTTGGACTATCCTCTCCAACATGAAGGGTCTCACATACTCCATCAGCTTGAGGGGGTTGTGAGTTTTGGAGATGCTATCCGGCCCCTGACTGTCATATCTCCCCTTTGGATTTATGATCAGCAAAAACACACCCACTCCGTCTTTATTCCTCCAACACTGGCGGCAGCGGCAATAACGTTAAAGCTTATCGATATTACAGTCTTTAATAATTTTGCCACAGGGTCCGCTTAATACCAGGTTTTGAGACCCATCCCTGTTATTGATTACCTTTAAGCTCCTCATGGCTCCTCGCTGTTTCACACCACAGGCCTTGTGTCTGTATGTCTGTCTGCAAAATACCGGCTTATGAACCAAGATGAAGACAAAATGGCTCGGCTTAACTCTGTTTACTTTGCCGTTTTAGAGGATAAAGTTTAAAGATACTGATATCTACTTACAGATTTGTTAAAAAAATTGATCGAAGGCTGTCCCGCTGTGAAGGACTCTCAAACTGCTAAGTTGCTGACTGTTAACTTGACTCAGTGTGTTTGGCTTCAGCGTTTTCCTGCAACTTAAAAAGGTCCTTACACACTGGGAAGGACGCAAATATACAACGTCCAATTTTGGACGATCCAATTTTGCGACTTTCCGGGGGGAAAAAAGACGCGTCCTGGGTGGAAGCAAAAGACTGACACAACAGCAGAATGACTGTTTTTCAGTTCTGATTAGACATTAGTGTTGAGATGTCTGTCTGTCATGATAGCATGTACTGACTCGGGGCCAGTACCAGATAAGCACATTAAACTATAATCCATAAACGTAAGGTAACAACTGAGACCTAATGGTGCTGTGACAGCAACACGATTGAGTTTGAGACAGTGAAAATACATATGGTATGTTGTATCTGAACAGGTTAGCTTACAAGCTAAAGTTACTTAGCACAGATGAAAGTTAAAACAAAGACGTTTAGCAAACTGTTAAAGCACACAAACCATCGTCATATGAGAAATCCAACGCTATGACTCTCCACAAGTTGTCCTTCAGGTCGTTATCTTTGTAATGTTTGTGTCTTTTATCAAAAAGCACTCTGTTCTCTGACACGTAAACAAGCAGCCAGTCGGCCATGTTGGATATACCGGTGAATCTGATGAAATCTGATTGGTCAGAAGTGGACGCACAGTATGCAAAATTTTAGAAAAATTGACTGTTATACGAAAAAATAAATGCTGCAACATCGCAGGATGGGAAAACATCGCTGATGTGAACGCTTGTATTGACAGGATACGGGTTCAAAAAAAAATATTGACGTCCAAAATAATCGCAGGAAAAAAAAGGCTCCCGGTGTGAAAGGACCTTTTGAGTCGTGGAGTATAAATGTGATAAGTCAGGCTTTTGCAGAGTGTTCACTCATGGTAGATAAGGGTTGTGTGTCCCTATATAACACGAAACCATGATCACAGTCTAGACTTTCTATCTTCTTAAATGTCCCGTGATAAATTCTGCAGTGATTGGGTGCTACATGAACAAAAATTGAATCGTATTGATCCAAACTCATCATGGCAGCTGCATTTTTTTGAGAAATATCCTCATTACAGCACAATTTACTACAGTTTACGCAGCATACACTGTCCATATTTACAAAGATGAAAAGCTGTGTTTTTCTCAGTGTGTACGCGCGCATGTGTGTCTGTGTGTGTTTGTGTGTGTGGCCCCTAACTCGACCATGTGCTAACCCCACACAGCTGCAGAGTCTCCCTTGAGGGTTTGTCGCACAGGCAACAGAGGAAGAGCGGAGGAGGAGGAGGAGGAGGGGGGGACAGGGACTCTCATTTCCATGCGGCACTGTTCTGGCAAAGACATTGTACACCGCTGTGGATGTGCGTCTCTCGTGCTATTGCTCAATCTTTTTAGGCCTGTCAGTTAGGGTTTTCATCAGCCAATTCTCCGGGCGCCGAGGTTGGAAAGCTGATTGTGTACTTCAGTGTGGCAAATGTGTTAACGCATGTATACAGGAGATACAGACAGAGACAAGAGGACACTTCAGGGGGGATTATGAGCTACGAAATCTGATTGTTTTCATCTTGTCTTATCTCAAATATGAAAGTAGACGCCGTAAATTACGTCAACGTGTCTCTTCTTTTGCGTAATCTGAATGGAAAGGTTTATTGTAATAGGATTTGTAAGTTAACGGCTTCATAAAACTACCCTTATCAGTTTTTTTTTTTTAACCAAGCCCAGAGTCCAGCCTGAAACCTGTAATGGAGAAACCGAGGAGTCTCAGGTTCCTCAAATATCCCTGTCAATCAAACGCCGTTTCCTCTGAGTGCGTTTTCTATCTGTCAAGGGTCATAGAGAGTGAGGATGAGACCCATTCCCCCCCTCCCCGCACCTCTCCATCTCCTATCCCTCCCTCCTCTCCCGCTCCTTAGAGGTGTATCTCTACCTTGTGCATCACGTCTGGGCATGACCTGTTGCTAGGTAACCCTGGGTCACAGCTGCACACTATGGCAAACCCTTTTTTTTATTTATCAGCGAGTTATGTGGGAGACGGGGGCTGTAATTTATTAGTTTGATATTGGGCGGCCAGCGCAACTTTGGGATTGTAAAAAAAGAGGAGACGGCCTATAGCTCATCAAAATGCTTATTCTGATCCCCGGGCCTCGGTCAGCTCAAGAGATTCACAACAGAGGGGATCACAACATTATAAATTCATCCGCTTTTTTACTAAGAAAATCAAGCATCTTCAACAACAAAGCCAATGGTAATGCACTTTCCATGCTGGTAATTGAACAGATGTGGTCAGAGCTTAGAGGGCCGAGAAAAAGGAAAATTCATCTCAGTACAGTATGTGACTGATTCATGTCCAAGGATGAAGTGGGCGCAGGCAAAATAGCGTTAGCTGGCTTTGTAGTCACGACAGAGATAACCCTCCACCAGAAACTTCAATCCGGGCTTTTAGGTTAACACATATGGTACACTGAAGAGACATGAAGGTATGATACAACCCCCCCAAAAAAGAGTGTCCAACTCTATAAAATGTCAATATTGAAGCATTTAATGCATGGCTATATAGCAATCTTTATAAGTCACTTGTGAGTCCATGTGGTGATTTCCACTATAGAGTCATGTCCATCCAGGATTGGGTTTTTTGGCGTTCTGTCAAAGCTCCCGTTTTTTTTTTTTTTTTTTGGCACCCCATTCGGACAAAAAAAGACTGCTTTGTCCACATGGGGGTGCCAAAATTGATACAAATGCAAAGTTACCCACAGGAGCTTTAACGTTACTGCTAACTTCAACTGATCTGTTGAAGAATTAGCATTTTTGTTATTGATGTTTATGTCTTTGTTAAGCAATTAACAGGTAATTTCAATTTTGGAAAAACTGTGCCCCCCTCTGGAAAGGGTACCTCACAGTCCTCCCTGACAGCCCGGCAGTAAAGGTCCTCAGACACCGGCGACGCAAATACACGACGCAAAATTACAAAATATTCTGAGGTGAATTTTGACGCGCCTGACTTTAACCTCCTAAGACCTGGCGTCCACATGTGTGGACATCACATTTTTGGTTGTCAAGACCACAATATTAAATTTTGTTCACAAGGGCCTTCTCTCAAAATTTAAAACGAATGTCTTCATATGTGGACATCATTTTTCTCAGAAACTACATCATGTTAAAAGATCATTCTTTGTTTTTACGCTCATCAGTTCCCAATTAGCCTAAATATCAAAGAGAAAATAAAAATGCATGCCTTGCAAGAGTTCGGGTCTTAGGAGGATACACATCAAGCGCAATGCGATTTTGTGTCCTGGGTGGCGGTAAGAAGACTGACACAACAGCAGACTGACTGTTTTTCAGTTCTGATTAGACTCTAGTGTTGAGATGTCTGTCTGTCATGATAGCATGTACTGAGTCGGGGCCAGTACCAGATAAGCACATTAAACTATAATCCATAAATGTAAGGTAACAACCGAGACCTAGTGGTGCTGTGACAGTAACGCTGTGATTGAGTTTGAGACAGTGAAAATACATATGGTATGTTGTATCTGAACAGGTTAGCTTACGAGCTAAAGTTACTTAGCGCAGATGAAAGTTAAAACAAAGACATTTAGCAAACTGTTAAAGCACATGAACCATCGTCATGTGAGAAATCCAACGCTATGACTCTCCACAAGTTGTCCTTCAGGTCGTTATCTTTGTAATATTTGTGTCTTTTATCAAAAAGCACTCTGTTCTCCGACACGTAAACAATCAGCCAGTCGGCCATGTTGGATATACCGGTTAATCTGACGTTGCAACAACACGCAATCTGATTGGTCAGAAGTGGACACACAGTATGTGAAACTTTAGAAAAATTGACCGTGATACAAAAAAAAAAAAAAAAAAAAGTTGCAATATCGCAGGATGGGAAAATGTCGCTGATCTGAACGCTTGTATTGACAGGATACGGGTTCAAAAAAATATATTGACGTCCAAAATAATCGTATGACCTTAAGTTATAAACTCAGTGATTCATTGCTCTTTTTTAATTAAAGAAAGTGTGTAAGTTAAATTTCCTGTTGCAAGTGAAAATCGCTTTGTCCACAGGGGGCACCAAAATCAACACAAACCAGAAGTCCCTCACAGGAGCTTTAAACTCCTGACAAAAAATCTAATTCTGCTGACTTTAAACAGTCAAATATGTCTTTTATTATAAATATTTTACACGGAAAATGGTGAAAATGGCTTTGTTTGGGTGCTTGGCTGACACCTCCCTTCCTCTAACAATTTCAGGGATATCAATAATCGGCCTTGTTTGCTTTTATTTGCCATGAAAAGGCTTCAATATCATTTTCAGTCTCCTTCATAAAAAGCTCCCCATTGGAGCTTTAACCATCAGTTTGATTGAAAATGAGGCAACTGAGGAATAAAAATGAAAATATGGGGAAATAAATTAATTAAATGTAAGTGAAGAATATTAACAATTGCAGCTAAAGATGATGGTTATTTTCAGTGGAACAGTTTATTATCATATTGGCTTCTCTGAAGCATTTCACATTATTTATAGAGCCAACTTCTCACAAAAGCCTAAAATAAGGTTGGCAAATGTTTGGACAGACTGCTACCATCTGAAAGTTTTACAGTTTTTGCAACACTTCAGTGTGGTATTAATTTGTGATGCATCTGCTGCCATTGAGTCAGCCACACGTCTCTCTTTTTGCCCTGATGAAAGCTTCCTAATCCATCCCAGGTCTCACCCACAACACTTTTGTTAAATTCCTCCCCCTAATATGCGTGTGATGAATGTTTTTCAGATGCTTCCTTTAGGCCAGATCTGATCAAAACAAATGCACCTGCACTTTTTTTTCCCTCCTCCCTTCTTGCAACTGCAACTCCCCCAGGACGGGTAAAAATTGACTCCCTGGCTTCCTCCACCAGGCAATTACGTGCCATCTGTTCCCATCTTGGTTGTTCCAGCTCGTTTTGTTTCTGCGATTGTTCGTCTAATATCATAGGCCTGAAAGTGTTAGAGAATAAGGAGGGGGGGTGAGGCAGAGGGGGACACCAAAATGAGGAGTGGCATGAAGAGGAATTAATCGAATCTAACAGCAGAACCAGATCTACCCCTCTGAAAGGAGATAGTCCCACTAGAATGAGGACCATTACCATATTCATCATCTAATATTGCCTGCTGTATGCAAAGTGGGAGAGAAGAGCGCAATATGACTTTTTCTTGACCGCCTTTCTAATTCCAACTCTGAAAGCTCGCAGACGTCTTCTTACACTGTTTGCAACAAGTTTGCCGCCATTTGTTACGCCGCCATTTTTTTTTAGAGCGGTAATAATCGCCCATTAGCTTCCCTGTCACATATCCCACCCATATTTAAATATATGGTTGTTGTGCTGCCATGCTGAATCCCATTATTGTTGTGTTACAGTAACTATTGTTCCCATTACTCTCTGCCACACACACACTAACACACACAGAGGCTGGAATCAGATTTAATTGCAGCCATGTCGCAGGCGAGGCGAGCAGCTGGATCGGAGACTTTTAACAGTGATATCAATAACCGAGCGCCACCTTAGGCCGATATAATTTCCCATCCGCCCTGACAGAGCGGGAGATAGAAATAATCAGTCACAACACCAGGCAGACAGCCTGTAGGACCTCGTGTGACATCCAGTGACTCTGATGGCTCAGGACCCATCTGTGACCAGGAGGCAGCGCTCTGTGTGTGCGTGCGTGTGCGGTTGAGTGTAATTGGTGAGAAGGTGTTGGAAAAGGAAAATCTGTGACACTTCTTCAAGGTGTACAGTGGATGTCAAAACAGATCTTATTCGTGTTTTTTTGAGTATTCATGTGAGGAAAAAGCAACAAGTTTGGCCATGAGTTTGATCCATCCAGAAAGTTTGTTCAATATTTGTTTTAAAGCGTCTGTAAATATTTTTTAGCCGATTACTCTATATGACCTATAAAAGCAAAAAAAAGTCCATCAGAGACTAAACTGTTTATTTCTTTACTGTAGTTCCAGACACAGGGGGGTGCCAAAGTCAACAAATTACTGTTATCAGGAGTTTAAATAACAACATATCTGCTCAGTGTTTGCTCTGAATTATCCATCTGTGAAAAGGCAGTAGCTGAGACCTTACTGTTGGGCTGTCTCCCAGATGACCTAAAAGTCATGTACCAAAACAATCGACAAACATGTTACTGAGACTCAAACTGGTTGTTGAGCAGTGAAAACACAAACAGCTTTAACTTTGTTCAACTCCCTTGTCTTTAGCTCGGGCCAGTTTTGGTATAATTGAAGTTTATACATGCAAAAGAAAATCAAATCCTGATTTTAGTTAGACTAGTTTAGTGACTAAACTACAACACTGGGGCTTCAACTCCAGATATGAAAAAGGATCTTGAATCTTGAAATTTAAGCGATACAGTTACGGATGTTCAAACATCATGTTACCTCTCAATCTAACGTTTCTCTTAGAGTAGATTTAAAAGTTCTGTCACCTTATAATAAAGCTATGTTCAACCAAACAACTAATGGAGGTCAAACACCGAGGTCTTGTACCATTTTAGTTATGATAATTTGATTTTTTAACAATTAAAACACATTGATTTTTTAAATTTATGAGGAGAAACTCAATTTCAGAGTGACTTTTCAGTATGATATTTTCCAGTAAGTGGATTTAAATGTTCAAAAAAAGTTGGAGAATATCAACTTCAGATCCAAACTATAGAAGTTGATTTACAGTAGTTGTCTGTGAAAGTAAGCTGTGTTTGTGTCTTTCTTGAAGGCTCGACTTCATCAGAAAACCTGTGGATCTCTGATACCTAAAAACTGATTTTTGAAAAGATTTCCGTCAATTTTTCAACTAAGAATAATCCCATCATGGACCGATTTGATTCAACCTGCTCACCTGAATATCTTTGGAGTACATACCTCACATCTTAAAAAAATGACATGTCTCAGTAATAATAAAATCAACCAAATGAACAAAGTAAACTCATTCTGCATGTCAAACCTTTGCCTCAGCTCATGGTTCCTTTCCTGTTATAGAATTAATCAGTCAGACATGATTCATTGTAGAAGTTTAATTTGATCTATTATGTGAGGTGCATTTGATTTGAGCGTAAGTGACACATGAGGAGCACAGGTTGCTGCAGCTCTGTGCTTTAGTATTTGCTGACATCTAGTGGTCAAATGAAGGAAAGTCAATGAAACGATTGAACAAAGAACAATCAGAATCAGAATGCACTTTATTATACTATATAGATAGATAGATAGATAGATAGATAGATAGATAGATAGATAGATAGATAGATAGATAGATAGATAGATAGATAGATAGATAGATAGATAGATAGATAGATAGATAGATAGATAGATAGATAGATACTTTATTAATCCCAGTGGGTAATTCAAAATTTCTAAATTGCTGTACAATGAGATTGGAGAGCTTCTCCATTTCCTGTGCAATAGAGAAACAGAATTGAAAGGTATAATAAAATAAATATAGTTTCAAAATATATACAAGTTATGAATTCTTAAGGACCCAGAAAGAATGAAAATTCTCTTGAATACAAAACTATATGCAGCTAAAAATATTTTTTATCATGATTTATTTGTGAGAATCTTTGTCAAGGTTCATGTAGTTTACTGCATTTACAATTTTCACTTAAAATTAAATTGAAAATTGTGCAAAGACAAACAGTTGAAGCTGAAAAATGAGTTGTCTGACCATGTTTATTTCAACATTAACCTTGCAACCAAACCAAAACTTACTTTATAGTCGTAATCCTCTTTATTAAATGTATTTCAAACACTTTATATTAGTTGTCAGCTCATATGTTAGTTGGTGGATATGATTTTATTTACCTTCAGACGTAGATAAACTTTACTTGTGTTGAATGCACTGAACAGAAAGAGGGAGGGGAGACAGGGGATTGACACAGGGGAGATGAAAAAAGCTGCAGGGCAGAGAGGAGAGAGCAGCAGAGGAGGACGCACACACCTGGACTCCAGGTAAGACATCCTTAACTCACTGCTAATGCAACATTTTGCATCTTAAAACCTCAGCAAACTGTAGTTTATGCATTTGTATCCAGATATAGAGGTCACTGATTTAGTTTGACAGATTTCTTTCATTAGCAGAGGGGAAAAACATTTCATTTAACATCTCAAAGAGGTCTATACCTGTGAGCTTTAAGCTGCGTCACTTGCACTGAATGGCTCTATTGTTTAACTCCGATACGCTGGAATGCTCCTGAACATCCTGCATAATCTTCTCAATTATGAATGGTATCATTTCTTCTATGGTCCCCGCACCTCAGCGAAGGCCGCCCGGTAACTTAGCAACTGGTGCCTCTCATTCATCATTAAAATCGGGGGGAACATGAGAAGACCCAGCGGCCCCGCTCCAGGAGAGTGACAGGGATTTGTTTCCAACACATTAACCAAATTTTGCCGCTATTTTGCAAACAAACTTATCACTTTTTACCTGCTGCATTTGCCACATCTCCAGTGATACCTCTGCACTTCTTGCAACTTAATTCCAACTATCTTGATCAGCATGAAACAAACAGATAACATCTGTGACATCTTTCTACAACACGGGAAGCAGATTTTATCCATTGGCACTCTCGGGTCACATGTTTCCATTGGGAACTTTTGGTGAATACGCAGGAGTAAACTGACACCCCCGCCTTTTATCTTTAGGGAGGTCAAAGCCTCTCAAACTAGGTCTACACATCTGAAACATACATGCTGGTGGACACAATATGATCTTTTCTGCATTGTCACAGTTTGGGAAAGGGAGGTGAGAACTGACGCCCTCCTGGCAGAATCTCACATACCTCATGTTCTCGATGAAAGACGGGGGTCAGTTTCAATGCCTCAGGCAGATAAGAGCTGCTGTTTCAACTAGAAGTGACAATGAGGGTCTGTGCTGCATTCGGAAGCAAGTATTTGGGACTGTTGAAGTGTCCTGATGAGAGGTGACTCGAAAAAGGACACTTCAACAGTCCCAAATACTTGGCGTAAAATGACTACTTGGTGTTTTTATATAGTCTGATATAGCTTAAAATGTTTACCAAATCGTAGAATGCACATGAAAAATGTAGTATGACTGGCGAGGCAAATGTGTTTTCAGTGGAAATGTACTTTATTTTTCAATCCAGGACATTGTTTATTGTTGTGATGAGCGGCTGCCAATTGTGTTGAAATCTGATTACAGCTTTGACCCCAAGAAAAACAGGACAGTGGACACCCGAGAGCACTTTGGAGTCTCGTCAGAAACTGAATATCGTGCCGCATAGATAAAGTTGCAACGAAAGAGAGCCTGTGTCCCAGTTTTTTAAAACAGCAACAGGAATGTACACAAGTCCTCCCAGGGTTCATGCGGGACACCTGAGTCAACTTGTGGGTCAAATAGCAAGACTAGAGGGTTCGTGTGCAAAACAGGGAGACCATTTTGGAGGGGCAGTTCTGTTCGTCGTTATGCTTTTGTTAACCCTGTAACAGGGTTCTGCATATTTAATCAAATGAATGAATGATGGAATATTTCATCCTGGAAAGTTGGCACCTGGTCAATTTAATATATTTTTCATATTTTTTTAACATTGTAGACCCAAAATGGCTACTTCTAGTTATAGTACAGTCTGTTGGGCTGGTTGGTGACCTGCTTCGGTACATCCCTACACATGATCTTTAGTTTGGTTTAAACTCAGCCAATTGAAAAGGCATTCACTCAAGTGTTTTGTTCTGGGTGTCCATCCCTTTTTTTTTGTCTTTCCCGTCTTGACCCAGGTATTTTTATTGCCGTAGCAACAAAGCTTTGCTGGTAACACACTTTTCTTGTTGCATTTTGTCTTTGTCTCAACAGGAACAGCAGTAATAGGAGAGGTCTTCAAATCCACCTTCAACAATGCTTATGCGATCACACTCAGAGAGAAGAGCCCGTCTTGGGCTCACCGCCCTGCTGACATACAGCACAGTTAAAGAAAGAGATGTGACCTCCCCACCTCCCCTAACTTTTACCTCACGGGAGTCAATTTATGCACCCACATCTCTTACCTCCCCTCCTCCCTGGGTAGCCCAGGCCCTTTCCAACCTAGAGCAAGGAGAACAAGAACTGCAGAGCCTCAGGGAGCGACAACAGACTGAAGTGGAAGAAGTGAACCGCGAGTTAGACAATGCAGTGATTGAAGCTCAGAGAGAGGAGCGTCGCCTTCTCGAGAAAGTCGAGCATGACCATAGAGAAGCCCAGCGGCACCTTAGCCAGGTGAAAAGGGAGAATGCTGCAGCTGCACGAGTTGTCCAGTCACTTGTTGATCAGCAGATCAGAAAAATTGGACAACTGAAAGAGCAGATTCAAAGATGGGGTTGTACTGCTGGTGGAGCAAACAAAAACCAGCTCCAAAGAGGTGTGGCAGAGGTTACCCAACCTTGGGAGATCTCGCTAACACTGAAAAGGGTCAGTTTCTTACCGAGCCCTGGTTCCAAGACCTTAAGCTTGGGGGAAGTCAATGTCCATGAGCAAGGTATGACCTACCCAATTGGTGTCTGTGGAGTCCAAGGACAAAAGTGTGCCTTGCATTCAGGGGATCCGGCATTCTCAAACATTACTCCTCGAGAAATTCGCAAAGAGCCCCAATCAAACAGAGCTGGGCAGAGGTACAGCCCAGAGGAAAGCAGTAAGGCAAACAGTGGGAACATGCGAGTTGTTCGGAAGCTTCGTCTGTCAAGCTCCACTGAGAATGAGGATGAGCTCAAATCACCCACCTTAAAATCCCCAATTCCAAGACATCGGGGTGTATCTGAGTCATCCCAAGATGAGGAAGTGGAGTCTGTTTACTCAGATACACAAGGGCAAGACCTCTTCCTTGCATTACCACCGGTCTCCAGTCAAGGAGAATCTGAAGGGGATGAATGTGATGGCAGACAAAATGGAACTAAAAGGCGCTCATTACTGAAGGGTAAGAGGAGGCAAAAGGCTCTTGTCCTAGTCTCAAGTGAAGAACCATCTTGCCCTCCTGAAGAGGCTGATCCAAAAAGCAGAAAAGTGGGAATGTCCCCAAAGATAAGGCGCAAAGGGTCACTCTCGAGACAAAGTCCACTCTTGTCCAAGAAAAAGCCCTCAAATGAATCTTCAGTGGACAGTGGAAGTCCTCCATCCCCAGTAGACAGTGAGGAATCTTGCTATACCTATACTGTGAATACTCCAAGCAGTGGATCCCTCCAACAAGAGCACTGCCGCTCCATGTCCACTGCTGACCTCTCAGGTAATCTCCGCCCTTTGATCAACGAAAACCAGAGAGACGGTAAAGGAATAAGGAAGGTCACCAGAATGCGTCTTGCCTCTGAACCTTCGTCTCCTGAACAAGGGCCAGGAAATGGCGCAGAATCTGATGTGAACCCCATGAGCTCTGATGAGCAACAATCAAGATCCCAGACCGAAGCTGAACAGGCTGAAAACAAATTGAGCAAATCACTATCCATGTCAGCTATCGAAGGAGACAAATTACACCAAGTCAAAGAACTCTCCTGGGAGAACAAAGAAAAGAAAGACATGGATGTTCCAGCTTTGAGAGAGCTGGAAGAAGAAGCTGGTTCCTCTGCCCTTGATTCAGCTTATCTGATCAAACAGTTTGGCAAACAAGGATCAGGCCGCACCGACTTCAACCTCCCAAGTGGCGTTCATGCTACTGTCAAAGGGCAGCTATTTGTGGTTGATTGTGGAAATGCCCGAATACAGGTGACGGATCTTCAAAAGAATGTTGTACAACAAGTATCTCCTTTAGGGTCAGAAAGATCTTCCCGCATCTGCAACTACTTTGATGTAGCTGTGAATTCAAAGGGTCTCATTGCACTGACCTGTGCTGCTGAACGAGCCGTATTGGTGTTCAGCCGCCATGGACGCCTCCTGCAAACATTCGGAGGCACAATGATTGGTTCTACCAATGAAGAACTGGATGCTCCTAGAGGGGTGACAGTTACTCGCCAGGATGAGTTCCTGGTCGCTGATATCAAACGAGGCACCCTAACTTCCCTGAAACTGGACCCCAAAACTGGTGCTAGGCTGGAACGCACAGTTGTCACTGGGTATCACAGACCCTACCTGGTGGCAGCTTGTCTCACCACTGGGCTCATGGCAGTATCAGAACGTGGAAATGAGACTGGGCGTGTACCATGCATCCGAGTCTTAGAGCCAGGCTGGAACACTATCAGAATCCTTGGAGTGTGTTCTGGCCTGGGGCCTGTCTTGACATGCCCCTGGGGTCTCTGTATCGACAGTGATGGGGATGTCTTGGTGGCTGACTGGGGAAAGCAGCACCATCGTGTCCTTCTCTACCCCTCCAAAGGAGTTGGCTGGCCTCTGGTGATGGATAACCTGAATAGTCCGAGGGGCTTGGCACTGCTCCCTGATGGACACATGGTCGTGTCGGACAGCATGAATCACTGCGTCAAGATCTACCGCTACAAGTGAACCACATAGAAGGAAATCAGGTCAAACCTATCGGCTAGATAAAAACATAGATGTGGGCACCCACCTTATTCTATTACATAAAACTAAAGCTAAATACTGGCTCTGACTGGTTCTGCCAGAGGCTGACTTTAAGGTTAGGGCTTTCTGCTTTTACATGGGGAGTGCAGCTTACAAAAGGCAAAACCAGTGCCCGGCTAATTAAAACAAAACTTCCCTGACAGATTACTACTCAAACAAGATGTAGCAGCAGTTTTGTGCCCTTTGAGTTATTTCTTTTTTAACCCATGTCTTATCTGTTTAAGAGAAGGAAGCAGATTTTATCACTAACAGTAGTGAAAGCTCCAAATGTTTCAGCTTCACCTTTGGGTTGTTGTGTTTCCCATCATTTTATACACAGTCTTTGGTTGAGACTTACTGCTGGGACACATTAATAGTATCAAATTAGTCACAGGTGATGATATATAGAAGTAAAAATATAACCCTTGACTCACTCTGTGTTAACAAACACCGTCTACCTCTTATCTGCTTTAATTCGATTGTTTTTCCCCTTTTTATCTTGAAAATTAGTATATGCAAGATATATGTAGAAGAATAGCTCAAGTTTTTCCCCCACCACATTTATTCTGTGTTATATAAGTAGTAAATAAAGTAAAAATGCATGTTAGTTTTTTCTCCTAAAGTTATCTGGAGTCATGCTTGGCAGCTCGTTATCTAGTGTAGTTGAATGTGTTTGGGTTTTATTGAATACGAATGAAATCTAGATTATTAAACTCAAACTGTGGAATTAAACACTTAAGTCATCTTAAGCTAATTCTTGCTCTGCCACTTTCTCTGTGGAAAATTGATTAAACATTGATTTAAATCTCAGGTTGTGCTGTTTTTTCCCCCCTTTTTTGTTGAGTTATTGCAAAGCCTATGTCAATATCTGATGTCCAAAAGTTCTGCACTGAGTGTATTTCCTGAAAAATCTGGCTCAAAAGTAAAATAGGGCACACAAGTTGCTTACTAATGCTTTCGAAAGAACATGCAGTCGTCAAACACAATTAGAAACAGGTTAAATGTTAACCGTAGAGATGAATAAGTGAACTTCAAAACAACATCGATGAAGTTTTTTGATCTACAGTTAATAAAGATCATATCAAACGGCTTTGGCTGCAGGTTATATTGACATTTCCAGAACACAAAGACATCACCAGATAAGTTAAGCTGAAGTGACTCTTGGAAATGATCGTGACAAAGCCGATTTTGCAACAACTAAAATTCCGACACCCTGTCAGTGCAAACACGTGCACAAACACACTGTGTCCTGACTGACCACCCACACGCACATTTCAGTATAAAAGCACGGGGTCAGCTCAGGCACAGCCACAGCTCTACTCCACAGCCAGACTCCACTTCAAAAAGGACTTCATCGGGACAGCTCAGCATGGAGCTCCTCGCCAAAACCCTGTTTCTGTGCTTGGCACTCACCCTGACCAATGCAGCACCTGCGTGAGTACCTCTTTCTTTAATATGGATTATCACTCAGTAAGGTTGCTCAAGTTAAAATGTCTTTTCTTCAAGGTCCATGATTGTTACCGGTGAAGAGCAAAAGGTCAAGATTATTAGACGGATTTTGTGCTTTCCAATAAAATTTCAAGAGGACAAAATCTGCCAACTTTTTGGTGTACAATTGATTTTTGAGTCTTGATTGTGACCAGCATGAATTCAGTGGTCACAAAAAGAAAGAAACTTTGAAAAAATTGGGGAAACTGAAGTAATGACCCTTAAGATTTGTTTTTTTCCAGTTGCGGTCATTTTTGAAGGCTGATTTTTTTTAATCGTCACATCATTTATACCCAAATCTGCATTTTTTTCTTCACTTTATTTTCTTTAGTTCAACCTGTGCAGAGAAAATGTGCAAGTCCCTCATTTCATAACTATCTGCTGGTTCACAAAGTTCACCAGCTGGATCAATTAAACAAATACAAACACGCAACGCAGCGTATTCCCTCAGTTGACCCCTGATCAGCATGACTCAAGGATTTTTGGAAGTTAATGCTTGATTTTATACGAAATAACCTCTTTTTGTCATCCACAGGCAAACACATGATGCAGCACCTGAAGAAGGTTAGTTTTTAATGTAATCATTTTTTCCCCCCATGTCTTACAATAATGTGCATTAAAATTAACACTTTTATTGTCTTCTTGAATATAGAGGTTGATCCTAATCTCCCAGACCGGTGTGAGGGTCTTGAGTTTGATGCAATCACTCCAGATGAGAAAGGAATCACCTTCTTCTTTAAAGGTAGGACTTTTGACATTTCAAATAATGAGTTTGATCCATTTTCAGTAAATTAGTGTATGATAGTGTTAAATGTCACCCTTTTTTTCTCTCAGGGAGCTACTTGTGGAAGGGTTTCCATGGCCCAGCTCAGCCCTCCAATGAGTCCTTCAAAGAGCTGGATGACCTCCATAACATCGGCCACGTTGACGCCGCCTTCCGCATGCATGACCCCGACAACACAGACGACCACGATCACATTTATTTCTTCCTGGTATGATCCACACTTACTTTAACTTTTGATGTGATGCAAGTCAGAAGGAGACTAGAGGCTGAACTCTTTATATTTCAATGTACTTTCTAGGATGACAAAGTTTTCAGCTATTACAACCACACTCTGGAGGATGGGTATCCAAAAGAAATCCAGGAGGACTTCCCAGATGTCCCATCTCACCTAGATGCTGCAGTCGAGTGTCCCAAAGGAGAGTGTGCAGCCAATTCAGTCCTGTTCTTTAAGGGTATGTTTGCATTCACAGCAAAAAAAAATGTTGAACCTAAATGAAAATTCATTTATAAAATTATGATCTAGAAAAACAAAAATAGACTAATAGAGACAGAAATTTCCATTTCCATCAGCAGTACTTGGTAAAGATAAGATAATGTAAGATGATGCCCCCTAGTGGAGAAAAACAATCACAGCAGGTAGAAAATTTGATCTTGTTTTTGATCTGAAATTTTTGCAGCTGCTTTTTGGTTTGTTCTAAAAACTACAAGCGTTTATTGAAAATATTTGTTAGTTGTGAAAAAAAAACAGCACTCTCTGTACATAATCTAGTTTAAAGCTCCTGTAAGGAACTTTTGGTTGATTTCTCTCCACTGCTCAAACTGGTTTCAGCCCCTAAAAATGGCAATAAATAAACTGTCAGTATTGTTACTGATTGTCTCTTTAGCTTATTGACATTTAAAAGACATCGACATGAAGTTAAGTCTGTTTTATAAACATAAAAAAACTCCTCACAGGAACTTTAACTTGTTGAAGTACAATCAGTAGAAAGCACACGGTGGAACAAGTTGACTGAAACTGGTATATTCTCTCATAGGACACGATGTGCATGTTTATGACATTACTACTAAGACAGTGAAGACAAAGTCCTGGCACCACCTCCCCGTGTGCACCTCCGCTTTCCGCTGGCTGGAGCACTACTACTGTTTCCATGGACACAACTTCACCAGATTTCACCCCCTGACTGGAGAGGTGAGCGGCTCCTACCCCAAAGACATCCGCAACTACTTCATGAGGTGCCCCAACTTTGGTGAGTTTAACAAGAAATGTCAAATATCAGATAAAAAGAAAAAATGTATCTCGATACAGATAGTTCAATTTAAGTAAATGTGCTGTCTGTAGGTCATGGCGGTGATTATCAAGTCGTCAAATGCAGTGAAGTCAAGCTGGACGCCATCACCTCTGACGATACTGGCAAAACTTATTTCTTTGCAGGTAAGTTTGAAATAAATGAACAGACAAACCAATAAATAAATACCAGTTTGGGAAATGGTGTTGTCTTCTTGCAAGGTTCGATACATGAAGCATTAAGCAGCAAAACCCTAACCCTTACCCTAACCTAAATTAATTTTTATTATTCATTTCAATAGCCCATGTTCTTCAAATCTCACTTTTTTCTCTTAGGATGTTTAGTATATTCAGTCTGTATTTATTGTATATACTTAGTATTTTTAGTCTGTATTGTACTTCTTCTTATATTTAATTTTATTTTGTATTTTTTGCTGCTGTAACATGTGAATTTCCCAGTTTGGGATCAATAAAGTCTATCTATCTATCTATCTATCTATCTATCTATCTATCTATCTATCTATCTATCTATCTATCTATCTATCTATCTATCTATCTATCTATCTATCTATCTATCTATCTATCTATCTATCTATCTATCTATCTATCTATCTATCCAAACTATAGGTTTTTTTTTTAACCACTTTTGACATATTTGATACAATCTGGGTAACAATATTCTGCTAATTTGTGGTTTGAATTATTTTTTAATGAGTTAAATGTGGAAAAACTGCATCAGACTGCAAATTTCAAACTTTGAGAAAGGAAAATAAAAAAATAAAAAAGCCAAGCTCTCCTGATAACGGGAAGTTTCTATTAGATTTTAATCCTCTTATAAAGAGTTGCACTATTTTGTGTCGGACACTGGAGGCACCATCTGAAAACAGCAGTATGTTGAAACAAGACATCAAAGTACTTGGATTTACTTCATTTTCTGGTCGTCTTTTGGTTTCTGTAAAGCGCTAAAACATTTGAATCTTTTCAGGTCCCATCTTCATGCGTCTGGACACCAGCCGTGACGGCCTTCACGCCTTCCCCATCACCCGGACGTGGAAAGAGTTGACCGACGGTGTGGACGCTGTGTTTTCCTACACTGACAAGATGTACATGATCAAGGTGAGTCACCAGATGAAACTGGTTTTATCTGAAACTCTGAGCTGAACTTTAACTCCCGTCTGTGCTCCCTGTGCAGGATGATCAGGTTTTCATCTACAAAGGAGCGGCTCACTACACCCTGATCGAAGGTTACCCTAAAAGTCTGAAAGAGGAGCTCGGCCTTGAGGGACATGTAGACGCTGCTTTCGTGTGCCCCAATGAACACACAGTTCACATAATTCAAGGTGAGGGTGCTGCATGCTGGGAATAATCTTCCTGGACTCTATCAGTTTGAATAAAATGTGAAATTTCTCTAAAATATTTACACATACGTTTTCCAACAGGCCAAAAGATGCTTGATGTGGACTTGACTGCCACACCCAGAGCTGTCACCGGAGATCAGTCCATCCCCATGTCGGACATTGATGCTGGTTTCTGCGGCCCACAAGGCATTGCAGTCTTCAAGGGCTCACAGTATTACAAATATGGCAGCACTATGATGCTGGCAAATAGCAAAATGGCCCCAAGGCCCCACATTATAACCTCAGAAATGATGGGATGTCGGGATTAGGAATCAGAGAGAGTGATCGTAGATGTGCACACATGAATAGCACCCTGAAATAGCAGCTTCTCTTTTAAAAGGTTCAACACAGAGATGAAAGTGGCACACGGTCTGGTTTTGTGGAGTAAAAAAAATGTGAAAAGTTGGCATCTGTGGCATCATAATGTAGAATAAGACTTGATCAATGAATAAAAAGAAGAAAACAGCACATCTGGAGTGTCGTGTGTTTTGTATATTCAGTGTGAGACTTCTACAGTCAATCATTCACGTATGTTAAAGGGGATATAGTCACACAAGTAAGAGGAATTAAGTAGATGTGTGTGATATCAGTGGATAATAGCTCAAAAGTTAATCGAGAGGATAGGCACCAATGCAGATATAAGTATTAGCCATCACTTGGACACAAAACCTGAAGCACAGGGATAAGGTTCAAGAAACTAACATAAAACTGCACTTTCCAAGATTACGCTTAACTCAGTGGGCTCTTGTATTTCCTAATAAAGTGTAAAAGGTAAGTAAAACTTCCTCGCAGACACCCACTGACTCCACTTAAGTCCAACAATGTGGAGGAAAATAATGCATTGATGCTGGTTGGTTTCTGCGGCCTACAGGGACTGATGTTGTTTCAAGGCTCACAGTATTTTAAATACTTTCACACCCTTGTGTTTGCATTTGGTAGAGTTTCCACATTATAACCTCAGACATGACGGGATGTGAGGGCTAAGGATCAGAGATGAGGGTACTGAAGATCTACTGGAAATCAGCACGTCTGTGTCACGCATTTATTTCAGTATTTACATGAAAACGGTCAGACATGCTCATTGTTTAGATGTGCAGCAGCCAATCAAGTTAAAATTACTGTGAAGAGCAGGAAAAGGAGGAGCTTTAAAGACTGTCAGTATATCACGGCATCAAATTTAAAGCTCTAACACAGTGGTTCCCAACTGGTGGGTCCCGACCCAAAAGTGGGTCACGGACACGTTCTGGATGGGTCACGAACATCTGGTCAAAAAAGTTAATATTTAATGCAATATTTATTAGATATTCAATACTTTCTGTACATGCAACTTCAGTAGTTGTCGTCCTTGTGTTGTCCCTTTCATGTGCTCTGAAATGCACTTTACTCAATAAAAACGGTGTATTTATGTTAAAGATTTTGATATTCTTGGTTTGAATTTTATAAAAGTGGTTCGCAACTGAAGGACCATGAAAAAATGTGGGTCCCAGAGTGAACGAAGTTGAGAACCACTGCTCTAACAGGTCTCTTGTTGAGGCAGGGCATCAGTATTCCCATAACTTGACTCAGTCATGTCCAAGTGTAACCACAAGAGGGCCTACTGCACAAATCAATGAGTTTCACTCCAATATGAAAGACCTGAGAAATTTTAGAGTCCCACTAAAAGCCACGAGGTGTGAACATATTCAATCCTGTGCATTAAAGATGCTCAGTTCGACGACACTGCATGTTCAAGGAAACTAATTCAGTGAGCTTTTGTCGAACCTGGATTCAGCTTTTTAGTCTTTGGGCATGTTTTGTTTGCACTGTTTCTTCCTGTCTTTCAATAAAATGGATAATATGCTTGAGTCAAAATGAATTAAAGAGAAATAAACCATGAAAAAATAGACAAGATTGTCACTCTTTTTGCACACTTTGAAATCTGAAAAACTGCTGCCTTGGCCTTTTATAAGGTTTCCACTGATGCCCAACAACGAGCTGCAGGTGTGAATGTTCGCTCCTTGCAGGTGTGAAGCTCCTCATCCCTGGCGCTGATTTTTTGACGAGTTGCAGGTGGTGGAAACTTTGTACGACCACCAAAAAAAAAAGAACCAACTTGACACGAAACAACTTCATTCAGATATCAAGGTCGGCCCTGTGTGCAGGAGAGACTTCACCGTAGTGCAGATATTTCAACTTTGGACTTTTGCAGGTGCAACACAAGCGAATCCCTGACAGATTTGATAAAAAAAACCCAAAATATTCTTGATGCACTCAAAAAAAGATGCATTTTTAATCTTTTATCATAAATTAGACTTAATCTTTATTTTATTTTATACATATTATTGAATCTAATATAAGAATTTGCATCCTACAACAGAAGCTAAGTGAAAAAAAAAAGTGGTTGCAGATCTTTGTCATGATAAAATTCATTGTATTTATTTACAGTATGAATATACAGTACACATATTAGTGCTTATATTAGACCGTATGGGCACGTACGCAGCAGCCTGCAAGAGTCCAGAGGTCGGGACAGCATTAGTAGCCATTCAAGGCCTTTTCACTCCCTGGAGAGGTTTTTGTTCAGCCACAATCCCTGGGACTTTCAACCCACATAAAGGAAGTGCTGGCCTCAGCACAGCTTAACGGGCGAGGCCATGAGGACACACACACACACACATGCACACACGTACACACACACAAAGCCACCGGCTTTCAGGGGAATATTAATAAGAGGACCTGAGATAATGTTGAAATAAATAATCGATGTAATAAAAAAGTCAAATTAAACTGAAGATTTCTTGATATTGATAATGTAATGAGGTTCAGACAGTTCAGTATGAGCTGCTTGTTGGGTTTTCCTTTCATAAATTCAAATGGGCCTCCAAAACGTCTGCCCAATGTTACATGGGTAATTTGGGTCCTCTTAGACAGTCTGATCCAGATTTCCCACTCACAGTGCCACCTCATTGCCTTGTTAGCTTGTCGTTGATATAGCCTATGTCACATATAATGTTAAGTTTGTGTTGCTCACTATTTGACTGAGATAAAACCAAAAACTAAAATTTAACAGTGCTTGACTTGTCTGTTCAGGAGTTGCTTTCAGAGCGTCCCTCACAGCCCAGGAAAAAAAAGGCTGCATTTTGAAATGTACCACTTTAGAAGTCCACCGCCATTTTTAACAGTAAGTTTCAGATTCAACTATAACTTAACTGTGTGTGTAGACATACTGACTTTGATGCAAACAGCTTTAAAGGGATAGGAAAAAGCTTGTATCAGCACTGTGAATGCCAAAGTTTGTCATCAGTGGAGTTCCACAGGGCTCAATACTTGAGCCACTTATCTTTGGTATATGTATGGTATGTACTGCTGATATCATCAGATAACAAACTTAATTAATCAAATTTGTTTGTGTAATGAAGTTAGAAGACACCTATCAAAACTGGCACACATGAGGAATTTTGATGTCCAGGGATTTTCTGCCACTTAACAAAGACATTTGAGAGAAGTGTCTTCTGCCGATATCCATGCCTTATACATTTACTGCATAACTGTGAGTAAGAAGGGGTTAGATTTAATAAGTTTTGTTCTTCCAAGGCACAGAAACATCAAATTTACTATAACATCTCAGACCCATCTGCAAAAGAGGCCTGTTTTTGGCCTCCAAAAGTAGTGTGGGAAGCAGATCATTGAATGACATAGTCCATAGAAAAGTTAATGTTGGGCTAGTTTTGATTTGTGTTGTGACTTGGAGTTAAATAAGCTCAACTTGACTGATTTAATAGCTTAGACAGCCATTTGATAAGGGAGAAAAATCATGCCAGTGGACAAACATAAAAAAAAAACAGCTCTTACTAGGACAGAAAACAGGTATGGTACAAAAAGTTTATTCAGTAACAGTTCTGTTAACATCTGAGGTAAATGAACATTTACATCAACATGTTCTTTAACAAAACGTTCAGACGCAAGGCACTTCTTTTCAAAGACGAGTCATTTCAAAACGGGAGTAAACAAAAGGGTTGTTCTTCATCTTTTCAACGTGAGAGTCTGTATTCCTGCTGAAAGGAGCGCCATGAAAATCCCGTCACACAACAATCGGTTTTCTATCCGTTTTGTTTCGAGGCACATCCGCCAGAGTGTGAGCTGGAGTTGCCGTAAGTCTCTCAGTCCGGGTCCAGGACAAAAAAAAAAACAGTCACATCGGATTAATTTCTTGTCCATCCCAAGTCTAACTGGATAATGTTATTTTCCATAAATAAACAAAAATATGTTAATATTCCTCATCCAAGGACACCCTTTTCTTCTCTATTAATAATATCTTCATATCCTCATAACAGTGGTCTACAACTAACCAAATGTGCAAATCTTTATCTACATACCAAAAGCACTAATAACACTTTGAACAACAAGGTTATGAAAAACAGTTTATCCATAAAAACAAGTAAAACAAACCTTGTTTGTCACAATCTTTGGCCACAAAGTCCAACATTGTGCCTCTTTTCATGGGACTTGCCTTTCACTTGGATTCGTGAAAGAGTTAAATAGAAATGATCTTGTGGTTGGAGCGATGGTTGTCAGGGTTGGGGGTAACGTTCCCAAGCAAAGCCCTCTAAATATGCACCATGTGTTGTGATATCTTTGGCACAAATATCTTTGATTTGCTGAGAATCTTTGGTTGAATTTCATTCATCACAGCTGATCTCTAAAAATAGAGTAAGCGCTACAGTTGCTATATTTTAAATAAGTCATTCATTGGCACATTGGTTTAGCAAGACACGTAAACATTCGACACTGAGAAGGCAGCACTCAAGAGAACTTCTGCAAAAGCAACCAGTGTGTGTCACTTAATGTTTCATTTAGCTTGTGTATATCTACCTACGCTAGGTTACAAGTCAAGCTACAGCTACAGCTAATTTACAGTAAATCTGGTTCACCCTTAAATCACAACTAAGCATCCAATAACGAAGGACTAAGAAGGTAAAACGACTACCATACAGCTATACATACTTAAAACTGGCCCAACGGTGTATGCACATCTAAGATACTCTTCAAATTAATACAGGCCTAAAAAACAAATACAAAAATCAATGATTGTACTCTGGACCTGTTTGTTGCTAATCTTCTGGAAAATGCTTCTATGCAAATTGTATATTTTGACTAGCTGTTGATAAATAGGTGACGCATTTGCTCTTTTGGATGGACTTTTGGCCTTTTTTAAACTGCAATGATCATTGTTGATGGGTATGTTCTATTAAGTGCTTGTGTCCTCTGGAGACTTCAAATTCAGGCCGTTCACACCGACACTAATTGAAACACGAAAAAAGCTGTTTGTTAGCTGAGAAGATTCTACAACTGCCAAACCTGCAAAATGAGCGAAGATGCTTTGATTTGAAGCTATTAGCACAAAGCTAACTAGCCACTTTAGCCATCATTTGTAAGCTGTTTCTTAGTGCCAATTTCTTAGGTCCCCTTGCTGATACTAGATATATACTTGCTCCTAGAAATTACAAAAAAAGATCAGCCCCACTCGATTCTCACAGCCAAAAGATGACTACACTTAACACCAACGGTCCTCAATTTCCAGCAGACAAACACTAACACATTAGCAACATTCGCTATACTTACGCTGGTTGTCAAACATCCTTAATGACAGAGTTTGAACTTTAATCGTAACTGCTGTGGATTCAGGTTTCAAGCAGCTTTCAAAGTCCATCCAAGAGAGCAAAAGAGTGTTTTTTTTATCATGTTAAAAACCATATTTAATGATGTGCAGCGATAAACAAGACTAACATTTGAGCATATGTTCGCTGATTATTTTATCGTTGAGTAGTCCAAAAACCTCCAGTGTAAGCTCTCTGACAGAGCATGTAAGCGAACCTCCATTTAAGATTAATAATCTGGTGATAGTATCTTAATGCTGCTTCAGGCACATGTGATCTGGCACTTGTATTATTCAAGTAACTTAAAAAAACGACAACCACTACTGTGCTAAGCTTTGAAAACATTAACAGTGTTAGCTACCAACCATTCTCCTCCGCCGACTCACTCTTAAGGTACTTTTTCTTTTCCTGACTGTTGTATTGTCTTAATTTGATTTGTTTGTTTAGAGCATTAGGGCAACAAATCTGAACTTATCTTTGCTGTTTTATCTCCTTTTTGGCAGGAATTAAAGACAAAAACAGGAAAACATGAACATTCTGGTTAAGTGACAGATATATAAAAGTCAACACTTTTTTAGATCATGTTTCTCGTCTTTTCTCTAAAAATCTAAAACCTACAGTTTCATCTACAGCTACTCTAAAAATTAACTTAGAGTCCTCCTATACATAACAGCCAGGAGGAGCTTCACAGTTCTGTAACACACTGCAAACACAAGCATCAGAAAGAAGGTGTACTGGTTTTTATACACGGTTCAACCTGCAAAACGTAAAAGTACGAAATGGAGAACTTTTTAAAGATTTGACGATTCAGAATCCTAAAATTTCTTGACCCCCTAAGCCACCTGTGGGGCGAATATTGGTGGTATTAAGGGTTTAATGTGTCAGCACTTTTGAGTTTGCTTATTGCAGCTTGAGCATAAAGTCACTTTTTAAATGTAGGTAGTTCTGTATAACGTCCTATCAATACTGTAAATCATTCAATATATACATATTTATACGCTTTTTATACTTTACCCTGATGTAACTGCAGAGATGTCATTTTGTAAACAATAAGACAAGATTAAGGTGTCTAAACACACACACACACACACACACACACACACACACACACACACACACACACACACACACACACACATAAACACACAGCCTGTGAAGCCTAAAGACTACGTCTCAGGGTGGGACTGCTTTATAGCTCTCCTCCTGTCATCTGCTTCGTCATATCGTCCCTCTCTTCATTGAAACTACAGGCTGGACGCACACAAACAAATGGGTTCAAATCGACAAACGGCTCGATCATCACATCACGAGAAAAATAAAAATAAAGAAATAAAAGTGCAAACCTCTCCTCGGATGTCTCCCAGCGAAGAATTAAAAGAGAAATAAAAAAGAAAATAGTATTTCTGCTACGCTTCCAAACCTTTAAGTCCATTTATAATCATTAATATGATCATTCTCATCATCACTCTCACCTGTCGTCATGTGTGTCTATGCTAGCTACACATACCATAGGTGCGCAAAAGTATGTAAATGGGTATGTTTTTCTATCTAAATGATGATGTAGCCCTTGTCTAACCTCTCCAAACGAAAGAGAGAGTATGGCCAGAGCAGTTCTTGGCAGCCATGTTGGCGTAGATTGATGTGCATCTGCAGAGATGTGGCAATGCATTAGAAATAATGGTAATTCACATTTTTTGCCAGGGGTAAAAGAGGAGATGGGCACCACTTTCACGTCTGTGAAACGGTACTTTGCTAGTTTTGCAGCACCATTCAGGATCATCACCTCATGCTCAGGGGCGCGTCCAAACTTTATAAACTGGGGTGCCCCCAAACTGGGGCCTTATATTGTGCAAGGGGGGCATAAAGTATATGTGCATAAAAAGTTTTGATAAACATTGCTTATAAATAGAGCATGATGTTCCTCCATGCAGACCACAAAGTTGCATTCTTCCTGTCTTGACTTTCATGTATTTAAATTTATTTGTATGCCCTACATTTGTATGTTAAGTATGCTGCAAAAATGCATTAAATGGCGATACAGAAAGCACAGTTTTGTTATCGTAAAATGTTAAGTTATGAAGCGGCTTCCTGGAGCCTTGCATAGATTAGTTGGTGAAGTGTCAGTAAGCTGCTTAAAGCCAATGGACTTATTTGCATAGATTGATCTGTCTCATATCCAAAGCATCAATCTTTTATATACACACATAACAGATCATTTAGTGCAGCAACTGACCAATCAGAATCAAGTATTCAATAAATCTATGCAATGGTTGTTAGCAAAAAGGATGATGTTAGCATACGATAGAAAATTGGATTTCCTATCTGCCCAGCCCTGCTTCATGTTCTGTGTTGCTTTGATTTTTGCATTTTGAATTTCAGCGTGGTGCCATCACTGTAATCTGGCCAAACTCTTTCTCCCTGTGCCTATGTTCTCGTTCAAGCTTGATTTGCGGTTTAGCATGTTTCGCAGGAAAGTCCCTTTCTGCGGGGCATGCTTGTGTGTGGTTTATGCCTGTAGAGCATAAGTGACAAAAATGTAGGTTTTCTTTGTTTACCTTTGCATGTAAGAATGATTGTGTGAATGTGTGAGAGTGTGTGTTTTAGCTACACTGCCAGGTCATCTGGGCGAGCTCTGATCCCGCCGCTCTTACTGGCCCGAGTCGGCTTCCGGATGTCTATCACTGGAACAGCAGGAGGCTGATGCATCTCCGCCCTGGTTATGATGGTGAAGTCGTCATGTGGGGCCATACAAGGTGCACTTGGGACGATACTTTCCTCATCGACAGGTGACAGTGATGATAGAGGGGTACGAAGAGGAAGTGTTGGGAACATTGAGTGTTGTTCCCCTGGTGGAAGTGAGGGGAATATCTCCTCCTGAGGAGACGAGGAGGCTGAGGTGGGAGGGGAGGGAAGAGGGGGAGGGAAGGATGAAGGGTAGTACTTTCCATCTTGACCATGGAGCTCTCGTTCCATGTTGCTCCAATTCTGATCCATCGCTGTCGCCTGATCTTCGCTCCCCATGATCGCTTTATCTCCACTGTGATAAAAAGAAGTGGGCAAGGACTCCATCAGGTAGTCATCTGGGTTGAACTCTGCCCCTTCCATCTTGAATCGGGCAGGCATGGAGCTGGTGCTGGGATCTAAGGAAACCACTGCAGGTGAGGCCTCTGCGGGACCATATGCTCCTCCCTCGGCATCTCCACCCCTCATAACGTTCATGCTGGCGTACATCGGCAAACACTCAAGCACAGACCCGGAGGTCTGCTCAGGAATCGTGTCAGCGTCACCAGGTTTTTCTGCACTCAGAAGTAGCAACTCGCTGTCAGGTATGAACTCATTTGTGACCCCTTGCTTAACCTTTTTCCAGCCCAGGTGGTAGATCTCCAGAAGGTTTAGGACCAGGGAGACACAGGCAACAACCAGCATAAAGATGATGAAGATCGTCTTTTCAGTAGGCCTGTAAAGAGGGACAAGAGGATCTCATTCTCAGATGAAAACCACACAATCCATACTCTGCATTTACTTTTGAGAACGTTTTTATGCCTATCCAAACCCAAAACGTCAACAGCAAAAGTGGATGCTTTGTTTATCTGCTCTTACGTGAAATGCAAGCCTCAGCACACTCTGTCACTGTTGAAGGTCATCTCAGACCTTTCTTACCCATCAGCCTATCACATAAAACAACACAAATAGCCAACAGCATGACTTGAGATGCACCGCAAGACAAGTCAATTCTTCTTTGTTATCACAAAGAAGTACCCAATGGCAGAGATGGGAATTGTGGAGTCACCAAGTCATCTCCATGCCATGTATTTGTTCTGCTCTGTCACTGAACCAGCTGCGGCCAGTGAGCAGCCAGAAAGGTGAGCTCATTAGTGAAGGCACCTGGTTCAGTAACTGAGCAGAACAAATACATGGCATGGAGATGACTTGGTGACTCCACAATTCCCATCTCTGCCCAATGGTGTAAGGACATGGTAAGTCAAGGTAGTGCAAGACCTACACCAAGAAGACTGAAGAGTGAATTCCTTGTGAAACAAAACCCCCACATTGTCCAGGGTTATTGTGAATGCAGAACCAAAAAACAAGAAAACTGCACAAGCATGAATGGAAAAACCAGCAAAGACTTCAGTAAAATCATTCACAAGAATCTTGTCTCAAACATGGCAATTTGTCTCTCCCCATCTAATGATGACTTCTTTGGAATAACTATAACCTAAGTTCCCATTTGCCCTCAGTTATAGAAGCTGAGATCCTGTCTTTGGAGATGCCTAGGACCTCATTGTCCAACATCCTTATCTCAGCACTCAGTACTGAAATTTAAGAGCTCACCTTTTCCCTCTTGTAATACCATCAACAGCAGATTCTCTCATCCCAGGCAACTGGTACCAAGATATCAGCACCTCCTGCCATTTTGTACCAACAATCTTATATGCCATCTCAAGGCAGATTCATTCTGTTTTTCTGTAACCAAGTACAGAGGCAAAAAGTCGGCCATTGCCATTGTAGGTAATTCTTAATCAATGATCTAACACCCTGAGCAAATACTCTCTAAGGAAACCACTTCCTCAGCCTCTTGTAATAGCATCCAGGGACAAGACATGGGAGACAAGCGCCACCATCAATTTTGTCGAATAATTTAGCATTAACCTGACTAATGTGGACTTTTTCATCCGTCCCAGTAAATAAAAACATATTTAGTAGAGCTTTTCAAGCAGGATCACACCTCAACCTTGCCTGTTGTATGTAATCAAAGGAACAATAAGCTTGATCAGTCAAGCAATACTCAATAAAGGGTTCGGGGTGCAGTAAGTGGTCATTTCAAGCAAATGATTGGAGCAGTTTATAAATCCTTCAGCTGATGAGAAATACAATCATTTGTGTTGCAAACAACACACACTCGAGAAATTACGAAAAGGGTAAAAACACAGTAAAATCCTACTTTCTAACCTGGAGATGAAGCAGTCCACAGTATTCGGGCAGGGCCAGCGACCACATTTATAGAGCGGCCTCAGATGGAAACCGTAGAGGAAGTACTGTCCCAGGATAAAGCCCACCTCAAACAGAGTCTTGAAGATAATGTTGAAGATGTACGTCCTCAACAATGCCCCACGGATCCTGATCTTCCCATGCTCATCCCGAATCGGCGGCTTCTCCTTCTTCCCGCCGCCCCCTCCGCCGTCCCCAATTCCATTGTGATAAAGGGGGTCATGATCCTCCTGGTGCCGCCCGGCCTTTCTGAGCTCATCCTCCCTCTCCCTCCTCTTCTCCTCCATGCGAACGATGTGTAGCACATGGCCCAGGTAGATGAGGGTGGGTGTGGAGACAAAGATGATCTGCAGCACCCAGAAGCGGATGTGGGAGATCGGGAAGGCCTCGTCGTAGCAGACATTCTCGCAACCAGGCTGCTGCGTGTTACAAGTGAAGTCAGACTGCTCGTCGCCCCAAACCTCCTCGGCTGCTGCGCCCAGCACCAAGATCCGGAAGATGAAGAGGACTGTCAGCCAAACCTGATCGACAAAGAAAGGTTTTGAAGGATTAACAAACAGAGCTGCCATCCAAGATGGACTTACGGGATAAAAAGTTGTTAGATGTGCAACTCTATTGTCAGATAAGGACATAGAAATTGGAAAAACCACTGAAGAGACCTATCTTTGGGTGTGTCCTATGCAGAACTACAGGGAATACACTGAATGCCTGTCAATCAATGGTCCGTCACTCACCTTTCCAATCACAGTGGAGTGTTCTTGAGCATTCTCCAGCAGCCGCCCTAGAAAGCTCCAGTCACCCATGCTTTACTTGATTTTCTAGCCTTGAGAAAGGAAACAAGGGTGCAGGGTGAAAACACAGAAATAAGAAGATTATAGAGACCAGAGTGTTCTTAGTCTTGGGAGAATGGAGAGCAGGGATGAACAGATTATGAAGTCAGGAATTTAGACTTTTTTTTGCTGTTGGAAGATAAACATTTGGATGCCTGGAGTCAACACTTTCTTTGAGAATTAGAAACAACTAGTGTCCACACTGTTCTCTATTCTTGGTTTTAGATCATGAAAAAATGAAAAGATTGTCGAATTAAGGAAAGGGAAAGCAAACTTACTAAAATGTTGTTGTATTATCAGTGATAAATCCATCGACCAGAGATCAGGAGAAAAACAATATCTGTGGAGAGATGAAAGAGAGACAAAATAAACCATTTACATTTTAAAACTAAGAAATATGGGTCAGATATTTGAGCCACGTAACCACACAAAACTGGGCACATGTAAACTAATGGAAATAACCAATCAGTTCTTTCAAAGGGCGTTCCACAAGGATCAATTATGGGTTCTGTCTTATTTGCCTTTAAAAGGTGTCTTTTAATTTGTCAGGATTATACATACTATCTTTATGAAATATCACAAAGTATAAATATCATCTTTGGCTTTTCAAACTTACTGTAAAAGTTAGTTCAAAGTTAGAAAGTGGATGTTTCATTTCTCAAATCTATGACCCATGTTGCCCGAAGTTTAGGTCATGTGTAGTATTGTAACATAACTTTGATTGCGCTACATGCATGATGTAACTGATGTTACCGAAGACACATAAACTTGGTTTAAACTCTTGCAAAGCTCCAGTTTCTAGAAGCTGCTGCCAAGATAATGCCAATCTCAAGTCTCAAAGGCACAGTTTAAAGTCCATTTAGGTGCCATGTCTTTTATTGGAACACTATAAGGTCATAGTAAACTGCTTGCACAGAGGCTCTGTGGCTTAGTAGTAAAGTCGGTCATCTATCAATCAGAAGGTCAAGGGCTCAGTCTCAGGTCCCAGGAAATGACATGAGACACAGGCTAACCTTATTAATTGGGATATATCCCTTTATGGGTTATTTCAGAATTACACAACTTTTTCAGTGTTTTGTTGTCCTTGGTCTAACTTTTTTAAAGACTATATATAAGGTTCAAATGATTTGCAAAGCATTAAAATCTGTTTTTGTCCACATTTTTGCACAGCATCCTAACTTTTTTGGAAATCGGGATTGTACGTTTGCTTGCAGACATTTACGTATTTGTCTGTACTTGTGTGTGTGTGCTGCAGAGCTGGCTGGCCGGCTGGCGGACAATGGCTGGCCATCTGTGGGAAGTGAATGAGCGGATAACAGGTTGTCCTGGTTGAATGCTGGACTCATCACATCACAGGAATGCTGAGGAGGGCAAATGTTTGCCTGGGATCGACTGATACGTACCCACAGGCAAACACATACACACTCAGAGTTACAGTAATATATACAGCACTGTATATCAGAGCCGCCAATGTAAAGCAACTGACAGCGCTCTCTTTTTTCCACAGCTTTAACAAAACCAAAGACCTCAATCTGCTTTTCCTTCAGAGGGAGTAAATAAGCAGTCTAATGTGGAATAATCACAGTGATAGTGGGGTTGTGATCTATTACATTCCCCCTCTATTAAATTCACTTTTTAAGCTTTTCAAATGATGTCCTACACATCTGCTAAACCAACACAGCACATCAAGTGACTTTTTAAAAATTACAATGGTGAGAAAGTCACTCTCATGCCGCTAAAAGAAGTGGGAAAATTACTGTAAATGTCTACTGATATGCTAAGAGCGGCATGTGTACATATACATGATGTGTTGACGTGATGAAATACCATCTGTCACAACAGACAATGGAGAAGCTGCTAGATGGACATTGTCCAGGCTGGTAGTGTGCTTTTGATGGATCAGAGGTCTTTGTGCTCCAGCAGCCCAAACAGTTAACTCTTGGCCTGCCGTTTGCACCCTGAAAACCTTTGTAAGATATGCAGACGGTGGCGATGTTCACATGAGCAACGGGAAATCGAATTTGGTTCGACGCACAGTCAGAAACATCATAAATCAGTCCAACCTATGTAAGATCGGTCGACTCAGTGAGTCACAGACTGTGTCAGCTTAGGGTCGTCAAGTGCACAAGGATAGTGTGCAAAGAAAATGCACAAAGTTGTTCATGCAATGCCAAAAAATGTGCAGATTTCATTCATTTGTAACAGATTATATTGCACACATTTTGCTCACATTTCGTAAAGTTGTATAGAGGTAAGAGGAGTGCTTAAAATACAAAATCTCCAAATGCATTGAAAGCAAATGGATAAAAATGATTAAAATTGCTACATATGTACAGAAGTGCATAAACTAACACAGTAGGGCGAATCCTCGTGTTTGACCAGCGTGACTGCGAGTTAAAAGAGTGGGTCATATTAAAAAATCAACGTTTAGCAGAAATCACAACTTCAGCTATCGACTGGGAGAGAAAAGGCATTTCAACATGTAACTTTAAGTCCTATTAAGTTTGGTTTTCTTTCAGTTTGACAACACAACAACTCAAAGTTATTGCTACTACAAGCAGAAAGTTGTGCCCTTCTTAGGCAGCAAAGGAATTGAGTTACAGGTCAGTCCATACGCTGTTAGTCCCAGTTTATATTTTAAACATATTAGGCAACCTCTAAACTTCGAAAGTAGTGTCTGAGCCAATTTTTACAGCTATTAAATTAAGATTATAAGAGAAAATCGCCTACATTTGTGAAAAGAAAAGGCTCGCCAGGAATACAGAGACTATTTAACATCAAGCTGGTTCAATATCTAGAGTTTCATAGTGCTTTAAATGATAACTGTCATATCATAAAAGTTGCCTTTGCTGAACATCTTGATTCAGCTTTGACTAGAAAACTTTCATGAGATATTTGTGGCTTCCTGTCTGCCTTCTTCTTTCCCACAGGGGACGTGAACGCAACATGAGAGGTGCTGATAATCCAGCAGGTGGAAGGATGATAATCCCTCCTCTTCCCTCCCACTTCAGCCAACACCATCACTCCAGCATCCACCTGCTTACCGCTCTCCTCTGAAACACTTCTCCCACCCGGCGGCGCGCTCCTTCCTTCCCTTCTTCCCTCCTTCTTCTTTCTTTTACTCCCACGGGCGGGCTCGAGGCGTCCAAACCAAAGAGTAGGTGAGATTAGTGGGAGAGGAGGGGGGAGGGAGAGACACAGAGTGAGAATTACACAGTTACAGAGAGAGAGAGAGAGAGGGAGAGGGGGAGAGAGAGAGAAAGAGAGAGGGAGGGAGAGAGAGAGAGAGAGAGAGAGAAAGAGAGAGAGAGAGAGAGAGAGAGAGAGAGAGAGAGTAAAAAAGACGTGAGGCTAGTCTAGTCTAAAAAAAGGGCGCGTGTGGATCCTGTCCCGCGAAGGCGAAGCGCAGCGGCTGCGTCCCGCGTGGCCAAGGCCATCCGCCTCAGTCACACATTGGTGTCCCCGTGCAAGGGGCGCACGAGGGGGGTGACAGTGGGAGGTATGTGATTGTATGCGCGTGCGTGTGTATATGTAGAGGCAGGGCAACTCCAGCCCTGACAGGCACGGTTATAAACTATTATAAACTTCATAAAAATACACTTTTAAACTTTTTTAAATGGAGGGAATACTTCGCTTTTTAAAAGATGAGTTTTTCTAACCTTGTATTTTTTTGTAGGCTGATGACAAAGTTGGACATTTTGCCAAGACATAGATTATAATCAAAGTTTTTGAAGGAAGGTATTCCCAAAGGTTTATTTGAGGACCAAAGAAAAGTTTGATTCAAAGTTATAAACAGGTTAAAACCAGAGAGGAGATTACTTGTACAGTGACTGAACATTTTTTCCATGAGGTTGGGTGGGGTAGTCCTACTTTCCTCTGTGACTTTTGGGACCACATCTGTTTTTGGGAGTTTCAATTAGTAAATAAATAAGTATAAAAAGATATGTTGCTCCCTCTTTAACTTGGATCTATACATGGAGATCAACTTACTGCACACTATTTGAAAAGATATATTCAGTAGAGATAAAAATGGTCTGCTATTTAAAGGGATATTCCAGCGTAAAATTAATTAAGGGTCAAACACACCGTAACACTGAGTTCGACACCCCCTCGAGAGATGAATGTTGCCGGCTGCTTGCTTCTCGAGTTATATCAACTTTAGTAATGACCGCACGATAGCAATACACAGCGGTGTGAGGAGCCATAAACAAACCTCAACCAAAACTCCACTCTATAGCCACAAATAATGCTCAAAAACAGCACCTAACTTCATCAACAGTACATATAGGGTCCCAGCCACAGCACTAGCCACCAAACATCTTTTTAACTTTGCTTAATTTCTTTAGCAAAGAGACTAAACACAACTCACCTACTCTCTTCCGGCAGCCGCTTGTTTGTAGCGACCTTGACCAGTCCATCATCGACTGAGGTGGGGTGATGCAGCTCAAGGAAGAACATTCGTGATCATTACTTTATCATTTCCTTAAAGTAATAATCACCATATTAATCGTTTTGCACCGCAGACGCGGTAGTTCTTCTGCCTTTGCGTCTCAGTCTGATTGTATTTCCATGAAGAAATAATCATAAATGTTCTTCCTTGTGCTGCGTCACCCCGCTGTAGTCTGTAATGGACTGGCACGAGGTCTCGCTACAAACAAGCAGCTGCTGGAAGAGAGTGGGTGAGTTGTGTTTAGTCTCTTTGCTAAAGAAATTAGGCAAAGCTAAAGAGATGTTTGGTGGCTAGTGCTGTGGCTGGGACCCTATATGTACTGTTGATGAAGTTAGGTGCTGTTCTGAGCATTATTTGTGGCTGTAGAGTGGCGTTTTGGTTGAGGTTTGTTTATGGCTTCTCAGACTGCTGTGTATTGCTATCGTGCGGTTGTTACTAAAGTTGGTATAACTAGAGAAGCAAGCGGTCGGCAACATCGAGGGGGTGTCTAACTTGGTGTTATGTTGTGTTTGACTCTAAATTAATTTTACGCCGGAATATCCCTTTAACTGCTGTCCAGGCTATTTTTTGCTCCCTGCAAACTTTGCAAAAGTTGGTGCCCCGCCTGGGCCACCCTAGCCAAGAAAAATCTGGACACACCCCTGGTTATTGTTAACTTTGCTTCGTGCCTGTGTCTGTCCTTAGAGGAGTGGAAGAGGACACACTAACTTGTTGCAGGTTGATGTAGTCACTAATAGTCACCAGCAGAGGTCCCCAGAGATCACAGTAGATCACAGAACAAACGGAGAAGATGAAACTTTATTTCTACAGTGAGTGGTTTCTTGTTAGTCATCACATTTCCTGGAGTTTTTCTACCATATTAGAATATAAAAATGTATTAACAAAACAAAGTATTGACAATTAATCTCATGTAAACATACAGTTTTATGTTGGTGACACTGATTTCATCCTCTCCACCTCTGTCAACACCTCAGGTATCACAGAAAATGCTCAGTCGTATTTACACTCTTAGATTACAGTTTGTACTGTGGGTAACTCGGATGGGAACCTCTTGTAAAAATACAGCTTTAGTGTTTTCAAGTCTCTCCAAAGTCCATGTGAGGTCCACTTTGCTGCTGCTTTGTCAGGGCGAGACATGTAGCTTGTGGTTTGTCTTATTCTGGGTCCTCTCCCTGCTGGATTTTCTGCAGGTTTTCCTCTCATTTTGACCTCTGAGATGCCTGGAAAAGAAGGTATACATGGATTTTCTGCGGTGTGGCTTAAAATTGTTAACAGATTCATGTAGATGAGACTCAAACGAAAGCAATTGTTACATAAAATGATAAATAAATGCATCTGCTGATGAATCACCTGACTGTCTGACTGATTAATACCTCTACCTAGTGACAGCCTTGGCGACTATATAGGCGAGTTCAGCCATGTTTAGCACCATGCATATAGAGGACGCGGTGGCCATGAAGACGGTGAAGATGGTTTTCTCAGTGGGACGAGAGATGAAACAGTCCACCAGGTTAGGACACGGCCACTGGTCGCATTGCACTAGCCTTGGCATGTGGAAACCATCATACACAACGTACAATGCATACCTGTAGAAGCAAGCAGATACTCTATGAGGAAAGGAAACATGATGAGACCGTGAAAGTGGGACTAAAAATCAGGATCTTACATGAAGCCTCCTTCAAACAGCAGCCTGAACACGAGGCTGCAGGCGTACGTCCACCAGAGGGCGCCAGCTATCGGGAGTCTCCGTCTTTTCAGAGTCTGTAGCTCTTCCTCCTGACCTTTGTTACCCAGAAAACCAGCTCTGCCAGAACTCTGTCAGATCACAGTCCAAGATGAGATAAATAAGATTAGAGGACACAAAAATGTTTTAAAATATGGAAAAAAAAGAACAACACCTCTTAAATGTAAATACTACTTTATAACCTAAATGGTCAGTGTGAGTAAAATAACACAAGACAAAATTTGGCATGATATGACCAGGCATGACCATAGACTGTATATACTACAGACAACTTGGTTCTGACTTCCGCCAGTATACGAATTTGAAGCCAAAAAGCTCTCAGTATTTCTGCGTTTTTTTACTCCGTTCCCTGAAACCAACATTTCGCAGTAGCGTTGTACGCATTCGGTGGGAGAGCCACTGAGAGCCTCTGTGATGACGCTCAGCTCAAACGGCGTATCCCCCAGGAGAGCTACGCAATCCTTGTACGCCCATAGGCTGTATCAGGTGTCAATCATAGAAAATATGAACCTCCTAATAACTTTTAAAAACGGAGCTGCACAGAAAAAAGAGGACTTGAGCACAAACCAGTCTTACTGTAACTACATGTCAACATCGTAAGCAGGGGGGGAGAAAAATGATGTTCTGTGTAATAAATTTCTAAAGTTTGTCCACATAAGCTTTGCTGGCGGAGGCGGGATTCATGACCTATACTGCAGCCCGTCACCAGAGGGTGCTGTTCTCGGAGTGGCTTCACCTAAACAGGACATAATATAACAGTATCATCAAACCTCTCCCTTCATTTAAAGCAACACAAATCAGACAGTAGACACACCTGTAGGAGCCTCTTCTTGTCTTTGTGGTTCCTGTAAGCCACGTACATCGCAACCAAGAGGGTCGGCGTGGAGACAAAGAGGAGCTGGAGACACCAGAGACGGATGTGGGAGACCGGGAAGAACTGATCGTAGCAGACGTTCTCACAGCCAGGCTGGAAAAAAACACACAGATTGTCATAACATGAAAGTGCAGAGAAAAATACATTCGTATCATCGGCTTAAACACCTATTTTTAAATGTTGTAATGTTGCAAATATCATTGAAATGAAAAGAGTTTGGGACCAACTACAGACCCCTGGGGGACTCCACAGGTAATCTTTCTGAATTCTGACACTGTATCTTCAGTTCGTGGACATTTCTGCCTGTTTTCTGAGTTAAAATACACTTTGAATAGTAATATGTGGTTCATTTTTACGAATTTTAGATAGATTGTGTGTGTTGCCAAGACCCCTGATTGAACTGTTTGAATCTTATCTGTCAACAGTTAATTTTTACTGTGTATTTGTTCAGCTTTATGCATGTAGCAAGGAAATTCAAGCCTTTTAAAACATCTTTCCCAACATATTTAGTCTGTGATGCTGATTGACTAGATGTCCTACCTGTAATGTGTTACAGGTGAAGTCAGACTGCTCATCCCCCCACACGCTCTCAGCAGCAACAACCAGCACCATGACCCGGAAAATGAAGAGCACTGAAAGCCAGATTTTACCCAAGCTGGTGGAGTGACGGTTTGCCCCGACTAACTGAGTGTAGAGAGCGGGCCAGGACATCCTGCACAGAACACAATAATGTGACACAGAAGGTTAGAAATGAGTCAGAGGGAGCGTACACTACCAGGTTCGGCTGATCCATGTGAATCACACATCTGGACACTCAGACTTTGAGAAGAGAGGCAGCGGCAGCAGATGAAAGAAGAGAGCGAAACAAAAGACAAGATTGACCGAAGAAGAGGATGAAAAGGAATGAAAGTGAGAGGAGGAGGAGAGAAGGAGCAGCGCCAAAATTCATGTGAACTAATGAACCTCCCGGCCCACTGTGGACTGTACTGAAGCAAACCCACTCAAGTAAAATCACACTGAGCACACTGTACACACCCACACTACTACAGTCCTCACTTAGCCTTACCATTCATGTCCAATACTGATAGATTTATTGATACACTGATACTGAACTTATTCATCTTTATTACCCTGTAAAATAATTTCTAAGTTATCAGGTGGGTCTTAATGACAGTAAAACAAATAAAAACAGGATAAAATTGTTGTTTTTGATTCTCTCAGAGTATTTTACAGATGATACTCTTTCCTAAAACACTAAAATACAACCAAATAATCTACAAACGTAAAACTTTATCTCACCTTGTGTCTGGGGAGTCAGGTTGTCTGTAGGAAAATACTCCACATGGTCTTTTCCAGCTTGTAAACAAACAAATGAATAACCAGTAAGTTCACTGTAACGTCAAAAAAAGACCAAATAAACATGAGAAATTAAAGATGAAGAGGATCTGAACAAATCACAAACCTGCAGCTGCTGCTTCCTCTGCATGAATACAAAGTGTGACTCCGGTGTCCAGTCAGATACACTCATGCAGGCAACTTTCTGAGAGGAGTTTCAAAATAAAAGTCTCAGGGACAAACTTTCAAAATGTTCTGGGACACAAAATAAAACATTATGAAGTTAAACTGCGAGAGAAGCCTTTGAACAAATACCTGTGTACCTCTGTGTTTTCATTAAAGTGAAAAAAAAAAGATTTATTTTAATGTCGTACAAAAGTGGCTAATTATTATCAAAGACATTTTGATATTAAGATTTAACATTTAAACATAACAGTCAATATAGATGTATTTATAGATTAATAATTCAACATTTAACACTTTGGAGAAATTATAATGACTATATATAACATTTTAGATGTCACATTAAACACATATACATATACATTCTTTAACATTTTATCATTTTATCATAAGTTTTATTATTTAACACTAAATAATCAAATTTATAGTTAGACTTAATGTTCAATGTTTTGATTTTAAACCGAAACTGGATTTATGATTTAGATTCAGCATTTGAGTTGAACAGATTTAAAAATAAGATCAGACATTTAGCATTAAAACCTTTCTTCTGACAGCTACATTTGTCATTTAATATTCAGATTTAACATTTCACACTTTCACACACACAGATAAATATGACAGACTACACAAATACAACTCTAAATGTAAAAGAAATCTAAAAGAAATTACTTTGAAATCACTTTTGAAAGCATTTATTTTCAGATATTAAGATCTCTTTTTTATTTTTGGAGTTTTCAGCTTCACAATCAGTGCTTTACAGGAGTTTACTTCAACCCCATGCAGCTTAAATCTTGTGTTTTTATTTTGAAAGTTTATTCGACATAGGAAAGTGCAATACTAAGTGTGCGAGCTTCACTTTGTTGTTCTCACAGGTCACTGGTGCAGGTAGAAGTCAGATGGATCTGAACAAAGTGTCATTGTGGTGTGGAGGTGTTTGATCTCTTTGTGTGTGTAACAGGACACAGGTAGAAAGTCAGAGTAACTTTTCAGGGCTGAACCGTCTTCTGGCAGCAGTGAGGCTGAAGGACAGAGACGCTCTGTGTGCTGCTAATGACTGTGACCGATGGGCTTTTCCCACTGTTTGTTCAGGAGTGGGAGCAAAACCAACGAAAATCACATTTCTGGAAAAGCTTTAACACATCCAGCATATACAGAATCATTATGAGTGATGCTGGAGGAAAGAGGGCTGAAAATATGTTTTTTTTTCTGGTGTGAAAGTGTTCATGATAATACCATGATATGTGATTCTAACTGTGTTCATATATTTAGTTTAACAAGCAGTTTAAATAGACTTTTTCATGGAGCAGAAATGATCTGGAGGAGCTACCAAAACATCCTGTTCAGAGCCAGGGAGGGCGTAAGTGATTCTAATGGAGTCATTAGGGGAATAACAGCCACACTTATCCCTGATGCATATCAATGAATGGATATCAGTGTCAGGACCCGACTCAAAGAGCCTCTGTCCGATCTGTCAGTCAGGACCAAGCTTTAAAAAAAAACCCACAGACAAAAAAACAGAGGAAGAAAAGCTGGCGGATTGTTTCAAGCCGGGTGAATGAGTAGGGAGGAATACAGCCGGAGTGAGAGAGGTAAAATAGAGCTGATTGTTAGAGTAGCTCCTGATCAGCCGGCCAGCTGGAGAACAGAGGGGGCCAGTGTCAGGATACACACTCACAAACACACACTGTGCAACACTCACATATATGTTCGCCTGAAATATACACGCACAAACACACACACAGACTGTAATGAGTGAGGGGGAGAGCAGCATGTGACTGAATAGCAGGTTTCAGTATCTGGAGGTGGACTTGGCTGGCTGATCCAGGATCAGCCAAACTCTGAAATAGAAGGTCTACGAGCTGACAGACGACCACAAGAGTATTAAAGGAGGTTTATTTGATTGTAATGTTATAATTTATCATGATATAATATCGTCTACTCTTTTCATTATACAGTTGAATGCAAATTTGTGGATGCAATGGCAAGCTATGGAAGTCATTTTGAGCCCATGCAGTGACTTCCACCACTGTTCTCAATGTATGAAATAAGAGCAAAAGGCTTGACTTGAAATGCAAACAGCGAAGCTTATTGTGGTGGCCGAGAACCGCCACTGCCACAAATAAAAAATGAATGTAAAATAAAAACAAAGAAGCCACAACAGAAGATACAGATGCAAACCCCCCCCCCCAAAAAAAATAAAAAAAAATAAAAAACTAAAGCCCGCTGCAACTAAAAAAGAAACAGTGCAGATTAAAAAAAGAAAAAAAAGAAAGTTAACGACGCAAAAAAAAAAAGAAAAAAAAAAAAGTGGCGATGCAAAAAAAAAAAAAGGTTACTTAATGCAAAAATAAAAGGATACATATAAAAAAAGCTACAACGAAAGTCAGCTTCCGGGGACCAATCATTATCACCTCCCCCACTTTTTTTTTTTTTTTGCATCCTTTTATTTTTACTTTAAAAAGACAAGAAATAAACTATAAACGAGTTCCAACAAACAAATTTTTAAGATTAAGATTTAACTTTGAAGCAAATAATTGTGTGTTTTGTTTTGTTTTGTGAAAACCTGAGCCATGTTTTTCTTCACTGTAGTGCAGTCCATCCCTTCTGGAGTAACATGTGGAGCTGGTTGCAGTCCAAAAACTTTGACTTACCTTTGTCAGCAGAAACTATTTTGTTTGGTGTTTTCAATGAGGATAGGAACTTGGATTTTGTTCTAAATGCTTTATTGCTTTTGGGGAAGTTCTTCATTCACAAGTGTTGATATTTTAAAACAAGACCATGCCTACCTCACTGGAAGAATGAGCTGCTAGTCTTTTGTAAATCCTTAAAACTTGTTACAGAAAAGAACGCCCTACACCTATTTTCTTTACTAGAAATGTTTGAATTGATATAGAATGGCCTCTAACATTAAAATTGTGTTTTTTTTTCTCTTTTGATGTTATTCATGCTCAATCTAAGGCAAATATTCTATAATTTTTTTTAATGATAAATAAGTGCCTTGTTCGTTTGTTTATAATTCAATTAAAAAATTAAAGGAAAAAAAGAAAAAAAATGCGGTTTGGTTTCTTTTTTTTTTTTGTATTTGCAGCAGTGGCCGTTCTTCGCTACCGTAGTTTTTTTACTCATGAAACTATAACTTCAGGTATTCCATCAAAAACACTTATCTAGATGTTTTGAATCATGGCACACACGTGATTTTGTAGTTATTTTGCAATACATGGATAATTAACACTAAAAAATACACCATGTGTTTGTACAGTTATCCTTTATTTGCTGTAAATGACATTAAATCTGACTAGAAATCTGTGAAATCAACTATAAACGAGTACACTCCGAAACAGCAGGTGGCGATAGAGCGCTTATACGTTGTTGTTTACCGGAAACAGCCTAACTCTGGTTCGCCTCTGAGGTTAGCTAAGAGAGCAACTCAAAGCTCGGTGTTAAAGTGTGAAAATAAATCGCTGAGAAATAACTATGGCTCTTGAATCACGGGTCACCCAGGAGGAGATTAAGAAGGAGCCGGAAAAGCCCATCGACCGGGAAAAGGTAAAGATATGAGGGCTTTGTTCGGGTTGTTTGTTTTGAGCAGCAGCGTGAGCTAACCAGTATGGATGCATGCGGGTTTACAGGAGGAAAATGTTCATTTATTCACCAAAATATTTACAGTAAGGTAAAAATTTGGTAGATTACTGCCTTCTTATTCTCTTCAAGATGTTGTATTACGAATTAAAGACACTATAGGGAACAGAGGTGCAGCCTCATACACAGAAACGCTGGTGCTCATCAATCAGCTGATATTTAACTCTAAACAGCTTATTAATGTAAAAAAAAAGCATTTTACATCCTCAAACTTGCAGTTTATTTTAATATTTGTTCAGCTATCTGATGTATACCAACATAACTCAAATAAGTGTCCAATTTAAAGTTATAATTCCGTGTTGTGGTCACTAGAGGGCAGGCACATTCACACAAAAGCCACATTTAAGTTTCACTGTTTTGTTTTTTCCCTGTTGTTTTCTATAGACCTGCCCCCTACTCCTGCGTGTGTTTACCACCAACTGTGGACGGCACCACAGACCAGATGAGTTCGCCCGTGGAAATGTGCCCTCCAGCGAACTCCAGATTTACACATGGTGAGTATCCATAAACCTCTCCTTCTTTGTTTTGCTTTCGTTGCAAGTCAGGTATTCACCTTTGATTTTGTGCTCATCTCAGGATGGATGCGACCCTGAAGGAGCTGACCAGCCTGGTGAAGGAGGTATATCCAGAAGCCAGGAAAAAGGGGACCCACTTTAGTTTTTCCATCGTCTACCCAGACACCAGAGGGAAAGTCTACAGGTTGGTATCACACCACGAGGGATGGAAATTGATAAGATTTTATCAATATCGATGCCATTATCGACTCAATTCTTTAACGATTCCCTTATCAATGCCTTTCTTTAATTAAAAAAAAAAGAAAGTAGACTATAGGTTTTCACCGTTAACTCAAAATTTTATTAAGTCTCTGATAACAGAAACAGATTATGCCACCTTCAGTGAGAATCTAAAAGTAATCAAACAAAAATGCTTTTTGTACAGCGTTTCTGGCATGCATTGTGCTGATGCGAACACAGGACATATGTTAGGGTGACCATATTCTGAATCCCCAAAAAGAAGACCTACGTGGGGTGGACTTGAGTGCGAAATTTTGAGTTTTTTTTTTTTTTCTTCTCGGAAAGGTCGAGTGTTTTCTACGCGCTTCTAACTCAGTTAAACGCATATTATTCTGGATTCCCAAAGACAGCAGTGCATGCTGCGTCGCGTCAGTGGTGGCTTTGCTTAGAAGTGATTGGAGGAGCAGAAGTGCAGAGAGCACTGATGCGCTGCACTGTTTTATAATCAGTGAATACATGTTCCAGACATTTGAAGGATTTTATAAACTCCTCCCGGACAACCCCCCAATAGATGACATGTCAGGGTAAAAAAGACGTTTGGTCAACCTGACATACGTACCTTCCATGCTGTGCTGAGACGGAGCTGCAGCAGCTGACGAACCGGTGTTGTTAACAGGTGTTGTGCAGTAGAATGCACCCCTGACGGGAGCGCGGTTGAAAGTACATAACAGGGCGAAATAATCCTAGTTTTCCTTACTATTGGGTGGATTCAAAAGCTGGTGGCTTTAATGATTTAATTCAGGCTATTCAGATAAGCTGAAAACAATAGCCCTCTGATTCAGAATATTAGCAGTTGCGAAAGTATAATGTTCTCTACCTTGACGGGTTACTGTAGAGTTTATACCACCAAGTACACTTATATGTGTGCATTTTTGAGAGACATAGAAACAGAACGAAAGTTTGCTGCTCCATTTGACATGTTTTAATGATCCAATACTCGTGTTTTTTTTTTTTTATATGACATCATTTTCTTTCCCTTCAGAAGCTAATGAGTGGATGGGATGCAGGGGGTGCATTCTACGGCAGGGGTGCATTCTTACGGTATAACACCGGCGGAGAGTATTGAATACATGTGACTCCTTGTATTTGATACTGTGCTCCATTGACAAATGTTTAAGTATGTTGCTGGTGTTTCCACCTTAGCATGTTATCACTGCTTGACAAACGCTGCACTGTTGTCACATTTCTTAGAAAAATTAAGCCACGCTTAAGCTCGTTTCTGCCTACTTTTCGTTCCGTCCGCCATGTTGTTTTCTCTGTCTCTGTTCGCGTAGAGTGGCACTCGTGAGACCGTTTTTAAACGCACCCGGAAGAAAGGAATCGTTAAGGGAATCGTTAAAATAAAATGTAAATGATGTCGATGGATTGAACCAGTTGGAACTGGTTCTAAACAAGAAAACACACCACAGTGCTACAAGTCTGGTTCAAGGAGTGGGCCTCATATTCTTTATTTGTTTCAGGTTGAAGGATATAGGAAACACTATATCTGGAAGGAAGGGCACTGATGATTCCATGACGTTGCAGTCTCAGCGCTTCCAGATCGGAGACTACCTGGATATAGCTATCACACCGCCAAACAGAGCCCCGCCCCTTGGCGCACGCATGAGGCCCTTCTAAACACACACACTCAATCAAACACACACACACGCACGCATGCAAACATACACTAACACTGACACATTTCAACTCACTTGGTTTTCTTCATTCTTCTTCATCTTTGATGGTTTTTGCCTCATTTTATACAGTGTGATCTCCAATAAAGTTGTGTTTTTCTTTTTCCAAAGTTTCTGCTCCTTTTTGTGCAATATGTTATGAAATGGTGAAATAAATCGATTCCTATGATTCATAGTTAATAAAGTTCTGAACAATCTCACTTGACACATTAAAAACAGTCAGGTTTTTGGCATCTGGGATGTCAAATTTGCAGTTCTTGACATATAAGCGAGTCGAGACAACTCTTAAGAGGCAATTAGTGTTACAAGTTTCTGTTGTGCGTTGACTATGGCTAATTTCTACAACTGCAGTGGGTAAATTGTACCAAAAGCAGTAGAGATGTTACATTCAGGCAAAGGCTATGACCTTTATATAACAGCATGCACCTAGCTTTGTATATAGGGAGTGAAATGATTAATTTGTGGCTCTTTTCTGTGGTAGGTCAAAGACATGAACGTTCTTTAGGGTTAAGAAAAATAGGTAATTATATTTTGAAAGCCACAACCGGAAGCCCCTGCTCGTCCGACGCATGCGTAGGGTCATTTGCCGACTAGCTAGCAGAAAATACAACCCAGCCGGCTAACTACTATCCAAATAAAGCAGTTATTTTATCTCTTAACGTATATCAAGATGTTCCGGAGAAAACTAACAGCTCTGGATTATCATAATCCCACTGAGTTTGACTGCAAAGGTGAGGAAAATATCGTTAAAAAGCTAAAATATGTGGTTTTCTGAGCTGTTTAACGTGGAGCTGGTGTTACGCGTTATTGAGCTACCCTTTTAACTGACGACTTGCAAGACGGTTTCATCTGTAGTTGTATTGTTTGCTGCGGATGTAGAAAACAGAAAGTAAATATGCCGCTATTCTAATGATATGCTTGCTCATTTTAGACCCAAAAGAGGCAATGCAATACGAAAAAGACGTATTTGTTAAAGCAGTTGCATTTTCGACAGTCGTTGTAACAGTAGACGTCATTTACAGACGCATCCGGACTTAGTCGTCAGTTTACAGGGTAGCGATTTGAGCCAAAACACCAGTTAACGTGTACGTATAGGGAGCCCTATACTGCCAAACTTTACCTAAAATTCGTGGCTATATTTTGGTTTTGGAGGACAGAGTTGTTGTTTTTTCAACGAATATAAGTAATATTTTTCATACAGCTTCTTAGCATACCACACTTCTATTCGGCGTAGTTAGTTTAAATATACAGTGATGGAAATTGTCAACTTTGTGTGCAATGTTTCATGTCAATAAGTGACTTTAAAATGACCAACTTTCACTTAGTCATGTGAAAGGGCAACCTGAGTATGTTTCCATCTTAGTTGGCATCAGCTGCAACTGAGCCGGCTAACACAGTGAAGTAAAATCCTGATTTAGAAGCACTCTATAAAATTTTAATTGATCATGTCCAACTTTACTTAAACATTACAGGGCTAATATTAAGTCACACTGGAGTACAAAGCTGCCTAGATGTTGGCACCTTGTTCTGCTACTGTGACACTGTTTGTATTGTCTCTGCTCAGATGAGACACAGTATAGGAACTGCATTGTGTGGCTGGAGGACCAAAAGATTCGACACTATAAGATAGAGGACAGAGGAAACCTGAGAAATATCCCCAGTTCGGACTGGCCCCAAGCCTACCAGAAGGTATCACAGCCTAATATTGTAATCCAAAATCCAGCTGCAGTGATAATATTCTGGGTTTTTGATTATTTATTTATTTTTTCTTTGTGCAGTACCTGCAGGACGTGAACTGCCCGTTTCAAGATCAAGAGAGGCAAGAGGCTTTGGACTGGCTGCTGGGCTTGGCCGTAAGATATGAATATGGAGACAATGGTAAGATGGCAGGATATATATATATACCTCCTGCATTTATACAAGTGCAACAATTGTGATTGACATATCGCCCCTCACTGTTTTAGGGCCAGGGTAAAAATGCTCATGTCACGGTGACTCCCATGCTGAGAAGTTGCTGTTTTGACCTTTTGCATGTTTTCTATCTCCTCAGTTGAGAAGTACAAGAATTGTGAGCCGCTGGCTGCCAGCAACAGCAACAAAGCAGCAGACCCTCTCATCAACCTTGACAGTAAGTAGAAACAGGGTCTGTTTCATCGCCTCTTTGTCCCCAGTGAAGGACAAAATTTAACGTTTGTGTTTTGCAGGTGACTCACCAGAATTCAAAGCAGGAGTGACGGCTCTGTCCAACATCCTGAAGATACAGCGGCATGACGACTACCTGGTTATGCTAAAGGTGGGAGGATGGACATCTATCTATATGTGGGAGACACTCTTATTCCTGAGTACTGAAGATGTTTGCGCTCTGTTTTCATGTTTTTTTGTCAGGCCATTCGTATTCTGATCCAGGAGAGACTTTCTCCAGAAGCAATTGCTAAAGCCAACCAGAACAGAGAGGTAAAATGAAAATGCAATCACATCATACCTACAGATTAGGATTTTCCATACTTGAGATTTTCTTTTTATAATGACAGTTTTTAATAAATTATTTGGTTTCTAGGGTGTCCCGGTAGCTTTGGACAAGCACATCCTGGGATTCGACACTGGAGGTGACTAGTTTGTTATACCTTCTCCTTTTCTTTATGACAAATGATCGTGCTCTTACCTCACAAATTAAGATTGAGTTAAATACGTTTCACTACAGATGCAACTCTGAACGAAGCGGCCCAGATCCTGCGTCTGCTGCACATCGAGGAGCTGAGGGAGCTCCAGACTAAAATCAATGAGGCCATCGTAGCCGTCCAGGCCATCATAGCCGACCCAAAGACAGACCACAGACTGGGAAAAGTCGGCAGATGAGAGTGAGGGTGAAGAAGTGATGGAGAAAAGAAGGCGGGACAGAACCAGAGGAGTTTGATTTTGAGAGAAAAGACTTCCTTTATTTGAGTTGGACATAAATGAGCATTTTTTCCGTTTGATGCATGAGTTCTGACTGTTCAAATCTGGGATTTTTGAGTCAATTTGAGCAAATTTTTTAGGTGGAGTAGCTGCTGAATAGGTGATCTTCTCATTTAAGCTGAAAACCCTATTTTATCAACAGAAAATGTTGAACCTCCTGATCTGCCAAAAGCAGAAAAACCTCTTAAATATTCAAACTGACAGTTTTGATTTATCTATTTTTCTTTTGGCTGAAGAATTAAAAGTCTATCATGAAAAGTTTACATTGATGCTGTGTGGGAAATATAAATACAGCTAAAGAGAGTGTGTCTCCTGTTCTTTTTTTCTCTGTTAAAGCTCCTGTGTAGGGTTTTTTGATACGGAAATTCAATAAAATGCTGTTTTATGGTGCAAAAAGCAATTTAAACCATCGGCAACTACAAACCACCTTAAAAAAACTAAAAAACTAACTAAACTCATTTTTAATGCTTGACTAACTGAAAGTTCCTCACAGAAGCTTTAAAAATTATGAGCTATATATTTCAGTTGGAAAAATAAAATTAAAAAAAGAATTATTAAAAAATATTCCTCTAAAAATACTATGCAAGGTCCGTAAGGTCACAGTTTGTCAAAATGTTTTTTCACAGTACACTGCTACAGCTGAGAAATCTTCAGGACTGTTGACAAGTACGCACACAGATTACAAGTCCGTCATTTCCGTTTTCCCTTTCTCAATCAAGTTAACTAACGATACACCGGTGACACGGAAGTCTGTGTTTTTCAAAATAAAATATTCGCCAAACGATAAACGCTGGTTATAAGGGGGAGAGACGTGGATTTATTCAGAAAGTTTTGTATAATCTAATAGACAAAATATAGTCACATTATCATCGTAGAAGACGTTTAAATAAAAGTTTCAGCATGTTATTGTAAAAAATATTCAAACTACATTTTACGTTTCAACTTCCGGTATGTTTTGCCTGATCTAACTTGATGCAACCCAAGCGGCAAACCGAGCTGAAAAGCCACTTTCGAGGTAGCGATTAAAGGTTAGCTCTCCGGTCAGACAGACGGAAACATGGTGGCTGCTTCGTTATTGTTTCTGTTAACATTCGGCTTTATATGTGGAGAAGCTGAAGCACAAAGAAAACTTGTATACGTGACTGTGGTGAGTAATATTACAGTTTTTTTTTATAACTCTACGGAAGCCGTATTGAACGCTGCAGCAACTCGTCGACGCACACGAAACTGTATTCGAAATTTAGGAGATTTTACGTTTTCTTTAGTATCTCTTCACATACGTGTTTGTCTGCAGAGTCTTTAAGCGTATTAAAAGTGTTTTGGTACTTGATGAATTCGTCTAATTCAGAAGTCAATTAGGAGCTTGAGTTTGGTTATTATAAACACAGCTGTGTCTGTTTTAAGTGCTTGGGGGGGTCGCAAAACTAAGCCCATGATAACGATACATTTGCAATTCTGTAATTATCTTTCAACTCAAGGACGACCACATTAATTTGCATCATGTACACTGATAAACTGGCGACTTTATAATACTGCAAAAATGGCAAAATGTTAGATTATTATTAGTAGAAGTAGTATTTGTAATATTGATATTATAGTGCCACTATAAGAAGTAATTAAGTTGTGATGCTGGTTAGCCTTAACTTAAAGGAAGTCTATTTAAGGAACTGTATTATTTATTTTTAAAGAAAGACAGTTAATTTATTGCATTTTCAACAGTCAGGACTATGTAAGGTGGAAGTACTGATACTTTAACTTCCCTCTTACTTAAACAGTCTAATATGAATATAGGTGTGTCAACATTAGAAACTAGGTTAACCGAAACAGATTAAATGAGGACATCCAAACCTTCATGGTTAGGCCAAGTGGAATACTACCTGCTTGCAAATACAAGTCTTAACCTGTCAAACCTGCTTCATCTGTCATCTTAAATTAAATGTCAACTATGTAATTAATACATTTCACTTTCGTAGACTCATCCAACATCATAGAAATTCCCCTTCTTCTCTCCGCTCTCCCAATGCAAGCACAAAGGCACAGCTTAAAAAGGCCCTGGCCAAAGTATTTACGGGCACAATCGCCCTGCTCTGAACCTGTCCTCAGCTCATCAGGAAGGCCTAGATTACCCGGGATGATTCGCAGGTTAGTCAGGGACATTGAAGTGATTGTCTTGACAGGAGGACAATGGGCAGCATGCAAGCACAAGTCATTGTGATTGTAGTGGCAGGACACAAGAAGGTAGATTAGAAAGAGGGCACTCTGCGCTCCTAATTGACACAAATTACAAAGATGCAGTATGAAGGCACCTCGTATTTACAGCACAGTTTTCCTATGGCTTTGTTTTACCAAGATCATGGTCATGGGGCTGTCATAATTTAGGCTACTGGATTTCTTGCTTTCTTCCAGTTAATCCCCTTAAAAGAATTTTGTGGATTATTTTACAAATACTCGAGAATAAATGCACAGTCCAGAGGCTGAATTGACCTCTCAGAGTTGTGTCCTTGTACAGTAAAACTGGTTCTTCAGAGTTAATGTTAGACCATTTTGCATGCTGACTTATATAAGAGTCTCTCAGAAATATCAACCTTGATGTTTTCCCATGCAAATTTCCTCTCATCTGCACAATAACGTTGTGTTTTTTTGCACACTGTGGATATCTTGCACCGGATAATTACATCTGTGTGAAAATTTGGTGTTTTGTAACAAAATGTTATCTTCAAAAATGAGTGCACTCAAGATAATTATATACATGCACAAGATAAGTGACATTCTCATACAAGATGATTTCATTTTGCTGTTACAAGTTATTGTTAATGTCTTGTGTGCACAAGATATATCTTACGAGATGATTTTTGTGTTCATGAAGTTAATCAGAAAATGAATCACTTGTTTCTATAAAATGACTGTTGTAAGCTCAAAATAGTTATGCTGTTTGCACAAGATAATTAACACGCTCTCTTAAGATCATAACTTGGGCGCACAAGATAAATCTAATGAGATGATTTTTGTGTTTATAAATATAATCAGAAAATGAATCACTTGTTTCTACAAAATAACTGTGTTGTAAGCTCAAAATAGTTATGCTGTTTGTACAAGATGATTAACATGCTCTCTGAAGATGATAACTTAGGCGCACACGATAGCAGCAACCCCTGCAGACTTACAAAGAACACACAGGTGTTTTAAAATTTAACTTCAAAATAGTGTTTTTAAAAGTTTATCTTTTGGCGCATTATCCTGAAAAACTTTTAAAATGTTGTTGTAATTTCTTAACAATACAAAATCATGTTTTATTGTGAGTAGGATCTGACTCCCAAACAGGGAATCTGCCACACACGTGGCAATTGAAACAGCATCAGCCGTGATGTTGCGTGTCTTTCATGTCAACGTGTTGAAGCTCGGGGGAAAAAGTTCACAAAGAGTTCTGAATACAAAAGTCCTAAAGTTAAACTTTGTTGCTGCTGCAGAGCGTAATCCTGTCCTCGCACTCATTCTTAGAAAAGAGCGACAAAGTTAGCTGCTCAGTAGCCAATTCTGGATCATGCTGTAGATAAGATTAGGTGTTTCAAAGGGATAAGCCAGCCTTCAAATAGATTTTGCACACTTTATTCTTCCGTTTTGGACGAGTCAGTCATGCATGCTCTTCACCCCAGACAACTGCAAACACTATTTTCTCCTGTAGCTGCTCAGGGAATGAAACCTGTAACTGTTCTGCCTGTAAAGATAGGTCGTGTTGTGGTGTCTGGTTACACGGCCTGATTGTTCGGCTGTAGAGTTCACAGCATTCGCTCTATTATAAAAAGGAGTGGTTTCAATAAAGGGCCGTATCTTCCTCTTTGGTTTCTAGTGTTTAACCAGAGCAAGACAAACAGGAGTTATAACATTCCAGCTTCATTCGTGAATCTGTGTTTGTTTTTTTTTTAAAGAAAGACAAGATCATTACGGTCAGCTGATTGCGTTTTGAAAAACAGTCACAGATAAAGCTCGGACAAAGGTTCCGTGTTGATTCAAGAGTGATTTGTTGTTAACAGCAGAGGTGAAAGTCGGCTTTGGAAGTCAAACACGAGTCAGGTGATGGGAGTCGTATTTGCTCAGAGTCTATGTAACAGCTTTATCTAGTGGCTGCTGCATGACCTTTCACTGATTCTGCTCAAATCCAACCCGAGACTTACTACTGACAACAAATTACATTATGGGAAGAACGGAGAAAGCAGGAAGTAAGAATTTCCCAAACTGTGTCATGTTTCTTTGTGCCATTGTTGGAGTTTATTTCTTTTTTTTATTGTTGTGTGTCAAGGGTGTCTCTTATTTGTGTTGTTCCTACAGTTGTTTCGCCATGGAGACCGGTCACCAGTCAGAGCTTACCCAACAGACCCGTACCAAGAGTCGGCCTGGCCACAAGGCTTCGGGCAGCTGTCACAGGTATTACAGTCAGCCTCTAACAATAAAAAACGTTTATTATTCCTGGTCTTTTGTCATTGCGCTATAGTGCAGTGTGTCAAATTGTTTGTGTTTTCTCAGGTGGGGATGATGCAGCACTTCAACCTGGGCCAGTTCCTGAGGAAAAGATACAAAGGTTTCCTCAACGACTCCTATGAAAGACACGAGGTGAGCCCACTTTCAACTCGCCTGAACCCTCTCAGACAGGCAAACATTTAAGGGGAAAGGGCCTCCGACATGTGGGTGTTAAACAGGGTCACTGCTGCTGGGATGCTTAAGACGCGATCGATGATTCAGAGTTGTTTTTCAAGACGGCGGCCTCAGTTCCCCTTTCACAGTTTATTAGCAAACACCCCAATGTGTAAACTGCAAATTGACACAACAGATCATCACGAGCGTCTTATTTGTCCTCAGATCCTGGTTCGAAGTACTGATTATGATCGCACCCTGATGAGCGCTGAGGCCAACCTTGCAGGTCAGGCATCGTCTCCTCCCTTCTAGTAATCTCTCTACTTGTATTGTCCACCTATTGTAAACAGTTTGAATTGCTCTCTCCTAGGTCTCTACCCCCCAGCTGGTCAGCAGGTCTTCAATCCAAACCTAATCTGGCAGCCAATACCTGTGCACACCGTCCCGCTCAATGAAGAGAGAGTATGTACAGCTGCAAACTTCTCTGTAAAATATTGATGATTCTGATGGTTTGAAAATCTTTGAACACTTCAATCAAACAATCAATCAATCAAATTTTATTTATATAGCGCCAATTCACATCAGAGCAGGTCTAGACCATGCTCATTGTTTGATGAATTACCAAGACCCAACCTTAAGATGGGACAGATTTGACCCATCTCATCTAACATGAGTTACAGTGGCAAAGAAAAACTTCCTTTTAACAGGCAGAAACCTTGGGAAGGACCAGACTCATGAAGATAGCGCAACAACCACATGTCAAATACTGACACTACAAAATTTGTGGTTTTATGGAAATAGAAGGGTTTCTGTGCAACGTCTCCACAAATGCAGGTTAAGCCAACTGGAATGGACTTTGGTTGGAGTAGAAAAGTGATCTGTGGTCGGACCGCCATGCTTGTTATCAGCGTCCATTCTGGTTCATAGATGCATTAACGCTCAAACCTTGCATATTGCATTAACATTTTACACAGTGTTCAAACTTTTTGGAGGTTTAGGAAGTATACAAGAAGTACTTTAAAAAAGTACTCTCTGAAAGTGAATTAACAGAGTTTCTTTGTCTTCCCTCCAGCTCCTCATTTATCCGATAGCAGACTGTCCTCGCTACCAGCAGCTGATGAATGAAACCGAGCACACTGAAGAATATCTAAATGTCACTGCTGAATATCGGGTACTTCACAGATTTATAAAGTCTCATATTTCTCCGGGTTTTGGGGCGACTGGCATCATAAGAAGTTATAAATCATTCTGTAACATTGGTTTTACACCGCCTGGTCCTCTATGTTGTTTTTTTACTAACTTATTTTTAAAAAAACTTGATTTCCTCAGGACATTATCGATCTGGTGAGAAATAAAACAGGGCTGAACAAGACGGATGTGCAGTCAGTGTGGTCCGTGTACGACACACTCTTCTGCGAGGTGAGAAACACACACGCATGGTAGCAACAACCCTGATGCAGAAGTGCGGTAATAACTTTTGACACTCTGTCAGCTCTAGTTTCACTTTTGCAACCAATCTTCTGCGCTGAGACTTTCTTCCAAATGGTATTTAATCACAGGACTGATGTGAGGATTTGCTATTTGAACACAAAAAGCCAAAACAAAAATGAAAATGTCAAAGCCGTTATAACCGTGGGTTCAGATGATGTATCTTACAGGCATCCAGGTCATCCCAGATCTAAGCGCCCCCCTCTCCGAAGCATATTTCTTTCTTGATTTATTTGATTTTGAGTGAATTTATGGTCTTGATCACGAGTTTTGAATCATTTAGATATGACTTAGAAAATCTGGGCAACAGCAACAGAGCAGTGTATTCTTCAGAGCACGAAAAGCCGCAGCCATCTGTCAGTCAAAATAGAAACATGAGAATCTGATTAAACTCCACAAATCTAGTGACTCAGTCTATGTTTCAGACACGCTTCACAATCTGTTAAAGCCCTAATAGAGAAGTTATTTGTAAACTTCCTGTTTTCCGTGGTAAATTTGCATGCTTCATGGTTTGAGCTTGTGATTTAATAGGCCACGCCCCTTTTTTTCTCCAGACGGGCCGTTTGAGGAACAAGACTTTGCAGCGTGCAGCAGTTCCATATCAGCTTTTTTCAGCGTCGTGTGCTGATGCTGAAATAAACTGATACGGAACTGCTGGACTAATCATGAACATTCAGGCGCGATGATAATATCTGAGTGATATAAAAATCGTCTGTTTTGAAGTGAAAGTTTGTTATGAAACGGAGTAAACTGGGTCACTGAAGTCAGCTGCAGAGTTATGAAGCAGCTATGTGAGAGATGGTTGTAGAGAGTGACAGGGTGAGGTGAGGAAGCTGCTGACCAAGTGCAGCTAAGGACAAAAAGGCACTCAGGCCTTTATTAAAGTCAGCTGTTTTCTAATGAATCCTAATAATGTGTGTCTTTCAGTCTCGACACAACAAGACGGCTCCGAACTGGGTGACCCCTGACGTCATGGGGAAGCTGAAGTTCCTCAAGGATTTTGGATTTCGGGTAAATAAAAGAATTTTAAAGTTCAAGTTAGCGGAGAAGTTGAGGTGTGAAAAGTGAGTTCAAGTTTGAGTGTTTGGTTTTAACAGGCTTCATTTGGGCTCCACAAACAACAAGAAAAAAGCCGCCTGCTGGGAGGTAAGAGATTCATCCTCAGAGGGTTCACATTCAGAACGTTTCGATTCAGCTCAAGTTAACCTCACCTGTCCTTTTAGGTGTCCTGCTGGGAGAAATAGTGAAGAACCTTACCAAGATGGCCGATCCAGACCCCAAACAGAAACTCAGACTGATGATGCTGTCAGCGGTGAGCAAATGAACAACGCTGAACAAACGGATTTATAACACGCTCTGTTTCCATGTTCAAAACCCAATTCCATTGAAGTTGGGAAATTGTGATAAACGTAAATAAAAACAGAATACAATGATTTGCAAATCCTTTTCAACCTATATTCAATTGAATACACTACAAAGACAAGATATTTAATGTTCAAACTCTTAAACTTTATTTCTTTTTTGCAAATAATAATTAACTCAGAAGTTCATGGCTGCAACACGTGCCAAAGTAGTTGGACAGGGGCATGTTTACCACTGTGTTTCATCACCTTTCCTTTTAACAACACTCAATAAACTTTGTGAACTGAGGAGACTAATTGTTGAAGCTTTGAAGGTGAAATTCTTTCCCATTCTTGCTTGATGTACAGCTCCAGTTGTTCAACAGTCCGGGGTCTCCGTTGTCGTATTTTACGCGTCATAATCGAGTCGAGTACTTGCACTCTTTCACCAAGAAGCCATGCTGTTGTAACACGTGCAGAATGTGGCTTGACATTGTCTTGCTGAAATAAACAGGGGTGTCCATGAAAAAGACGTTGCTTGGATGGCAGCATATGTTGCTCCAAAACCTGTTGTACCTTTCAGCATTAATGTTGCCTTCACAGATGTGTAAGTTACCCATGCCTTGGGCACTGATGCACCCCCATACCATCACAGATGCTGGCTTTTGAACTTTGCGTCGATAACAGTCCGGATGGTTCTTTTCCTCTTTGTCCCGGAGGACACGACGTCCACTATTTCCAAAAACAACTAGAAATGTGGACTCGTCAGACCACAGAACACTTTTCCACTTTGCATCAGTCCATCTTAGATGAGCTCGGGCCCAGAGAAGCCGGCGGCTTTTCTGGATGTTGTTGATAAATGGCTTTCACTTTGCATAGTAGAGTTTGAACTTGCACTTACAGATGTAGCGACGAACTGTAACTGGTTTTCTGAAGTGTTCCTGAGCCCATGTGGTGATATCCTTTACACATTGATGTCGGTTTTTGATACAGTGCCGCCTGAGGGATCGAAGGTCACGGGCATTCAATGTTGGTTTACGGCCGTGCCGCTTACGTGCAGTGATTTCTCCAGATTCTCTGAACCTTTTGATGATATTATGGATTGTAGATGTTGAAATCCCTAAATTCCTTGCAATTGTACTTTGAGAAACATTGTTCTTAAACTGTTCGACTATTTGCTCACGCAGTTGCTCACAAAGTGGTGAACCTCGCCCCATCCTTGCTTGTGAATGACTGAGAATTTTTGGGGAAGCTGCTTTTATACCCAATCATGGCACCCACCTGTTCCCAATGAGCCTGCTCACCTGTGGGATGTTCCAAATAGGTGTTTGATGAGCATTCCTCAAATTTCTCAGTATTTTTTTCCACCTTTCCCAACTTCTTTGTCACGTGTTGCAGCCATCAAATTCTGAGTTAATTATTATTTGCAAAAAAGAAATAAAGTTTATGAGTTTGAACATTAAATATCTTGTCTTTGTAGTGTATTCAGTTGAATATAGGTTGAAAAGGATTTGCAAATCATTGTATTCTGTATTTCCTAACTTCAATGGAATTGGGGTTTTGTATGTCAGACCACTTCATGTGCATGTGTGTGTGCGTTTGTTTCCCAGCATGACACCACTGTAGCTGCCCTCCAGGCCAGCTTAAACGTCTTCAACGGACGACAGCCGCCCTACGCCTCCTGCCACATATTTGAGCTCTACAGGGACGAGAACGGGTAAGACACTTGCTCCTAAAAGATCTAAAGATTTTGGTTGTTTTTTCTCATCATTTAAAGCTATATTTAGTTAGAAATAGAGAATTTTGACATAATTCATGTTAAAAATGATCTAAAAACAGCTCATTTCTCTCTGTGTGTCCCCTCAGCTCTGCTTCAGTCTCCATGTTTTACCGTAATGACAGCAAAGTGGATCCATACCCTATTCAGCTGCCAGGCTGCACCCTACAGTGCCCTCTGGAGGACTTTGTGAATATTACAAAACCTTCTATTTCAGACGACAGGGACAAGGAGTGTCAGCTGCCTTCAGAGGGGAGAGATACAGGTGAGAAACATTTTCATGTACAAGGACAAAAAGTCTGATTTTTCTGATCTATTTATTCTGATTTATTCTCCCGTCTCCTCCCACAGAGGTCATCATCAGCCTGGCGCTGTCCGGCTTCCTCCTCCTCCTCCTCATCGCCCTCCTCCTCGGCGTCATCTGCTGGCAGAAGGTGCCATCCAACAACCGCGGGTATCAACATGTGATCAACCAAGAGCTCGGCGTGGAGTCCTGACAGGAGTACAAACTCCTCCCTCGGAGATCGTCGAGCCTTGCGTCGTGGGACAGCAGCGATGATGGGGAACTCTGAAACTGCCGAGTGACCCTTTTTGGTGGTTTTGTGGACGCTTTGTGGGCGAGACCCGCCACGATTCCTGTTTTGTTATCCGAAATGACCCTGTTTTTATCGGGTTAGAGGGAGGAAATTTAAGATTATTTGGAGAAATATGAGAATCAGAGAATATTTTAGAGTTTTTAAATAATGTTTCTAAATCACTCCAAAAGATTACACGTGAAAACTGGGTCATTTTTGGAGGGACCAGGACTGATTCCTGCCTCAAACCAACAAAATGCAGAAAACATTTTGTATTTTTTTGCTGTAAATCAGCTGAAGTAGCTGCTGTGTTTTTGTGTGTTCTGATCCACAACCAGCCGAAAAACCACACGGTTTGAACAGATGCTTGCAAACGGAGCATTTTTGTACCTGTGTGGCTGCAGAAAGTAAAAATAATCAACGCTTTGAATGACAAATTCTGGATTTCAACAGTGAAAATAGAAATGATTCTGTCATGAAAACAGGTCGGACTTTTTCAGTCATGTAGCTAAATTAAGAAAAAGAAAACTAAGATGTCCACTAGACTATCTTTTAAATGTGTCACTACTGAATTTCAATCCAAAATGTGTGTTTTTCACCTGCTCAAATCCAAACCAGTCACTTTTTAATAGGTTGTGTTTGTTTTTATAATTAGTACAAAGAATGACAAATAGTCGTGTCTCAGTTTACCAGTCTCTCCAGGAAGCTGTGATCCAGTAAAACCAATCACATCACCTTTACTGCCACCTTGCATCTCTGAAACTGGTCTGTAAATCTGAACAGTATCCATTTTTCCCCAATTTAAAAGTCACCGAAGTTTGCCACACAAAGACAATGCATATATGGGCCACTAGAGTATACTAATACCAAATTTTTCTTACTATAAGGCACACTTAAAATCCGTAGCCTCACGGAGTTATTGACTGTTTTGTTTGGCTTAATGCGCTTTATAATCCGGTGCGCCTTATGTATGAAAATAGACGTGAATAGATGCGTTCATTGATGGTGCGCCTTATAGTGCGAAAAATACGGTAACTGACCATTTTTACTATCTCATTTTTATCACTAAACTAGACTCATTATTTACTTATTTCTATGGGGCCACTACTTTTTGTATTGTAAAAACGATAATCCTGCCCAACTCATGAAAAAAAAGCAGCAAAATTTTGCAACTTTTTCTAAACCTTGTTGCAAAATCTTTTTTTTTTTTTTTTATCCGTGGAAAAATCCTGGAGGGGCTGGCTTATGTGTCTCCTTCAATCATGTTTTATAATGTGTGAACTCTGTGTACTTAGTAACTCCGAGGCCTAACTACCAAGCTGCCTTAAATATTTCTCATAATGTTTATGTTTTATGTAATGCATATTTTTTTGCAGGGTTTTAAGTGTTTCGATCTTGAAAAGGTACTTTTTAATTTATCAGGACGAGCAGCAGGGTGAAGTTTAGCTAGAGGGAGCGAGCTTTAGCCTCATGACACTTCAGGAACAGCTCAGTGCTGGCTTAGCTGAGCTTGACCTTTTAACCGTTTACAGAGGGAAACCAATCAGAGTACATAGTGAGTCTATTTTGTGTCGACAAGAATCAAATCAGTTTAGCGGGATTACGTTGGATGTTTGAACACTGGAAACCTTTACATTTGAGTGTTGTTAAATCTCATCAGTTTTATAAGAAACGTCTAATTTGGATCTTTGAAACTGAAAAGCCTGTTTCAGCTTTTCACAGAGAGAAGTTATGAGGTGGTTTTCATCAGGATTAGAGCTCATGCAGTTTGAAACTTAATGGACTGAACAAAATGATCATATTTGGGAGTCGAGACTTTAAATCGAAGTTAGAAATAATATTTGTCTAAATTGACATTTCAGTTTTATGCCATGTTGTAAAAAAAAAAAAAGATCAGACTTTGAGAATGTGTTGCTTATAATTGTTTTTTTTTTTTTTAAATAAAGGATCAGCTACTGCAAACTCTGTCTGTTTATGCATATTATTCACACTTTAACATCCTGTTGCTCTATCCATTGGAATTAGATTGTGAATCATGCTGGTTCAGGTTCTTCTGGACCTGTCTGCACCCTCCTCAGTGGAGACTTAATTCTAGCAGCCAATCACTGCGGCTCCTCATTATCTTAACATCCCTGCGTGCTTTTTTGTAAACATAACATATTGTGCACAGCTAAAAAACATTGCTACATGATATTATATTTAAGGTTTGATGTATTTTTACAGTTTGCAGAGGTTTGCTTTTGCCCATGCATGTAGTTTGAAAGTATATACAACCGTTAAAGCCTTAAACGGTCTGTGATTACATACTTATTTATTTTATATATATGTTTTTGTAATCAAAGCATTTCATTAGTTGGATGCAAGGCTTTTGCTGTCAAATTTTTTTCTGTAAAACGCTACATCTGTCACGTTCTTAGCAGCTCACAATTTTTGATTTTACAATAATTAAGCCCCTTTTAACTATGATGAATGTTTTGATCAAAGTTAATATATTAACTTGTGTTTGATGTTATTTTTTTATTCACTTGAATAGTTTGATCCTTGATCGATGGAGTTAAATTAAAAGGACTTCTGTGATAACAGAGCAACAAGCATATATTTTTTCGGTATCCCTTTTTTTTTTTATGGTACACTTATTACCAGGTAAATAACAGGTAATTACCTAGTAACAACATGAAATTATCTGGTAATTACATGATAACTACAAAGTCAATACTGTCTAGTTTTTCTTTTTTTCTTTTTTCTGTGCAGCTCCATTTTCAAAAGCTATTTGGGGTTCTTATTTTCTATGATTGACACTTGATACGGCCTATGGGCGTGCGAAGATTGCGTAGCGATACGCTGATTGAGCCGAGCATTATCACAGCGACTCACCCGCCGATTGCGTACGATGCTACTGCCCAAGTGGTGGTTCCAGGAAGAGGAGAAAATCCTGGAAATACCAGAGCAATTCAGCTTCAAATTTGTATGATGATGGAAAGTTACCTACCTGGTAGCTAGACAGTATTGACTTAGTAGTTATCATGTAATTACCAGATAATTTCATGTTGTTACTAGGTAACTACCTGTTTATTACTTGGTGATAAGTGTACCGTAAAAGAAAGCGTTACAATTTTTTTCCATGCGACTGTAATGTTTCATCTTGCGTAAGTAATAAATTCAGAGTTATTCAACATTAAGGAGTATTTACATTTATTTTACATTACATTTGGTTATATTTATAAGTTACATCTGGCCCTTTGAGGACAGCCATTATGCTGATGTGGCCCTCGGTGAAAATGAGTTTGACACCCCTGGTTTAAGGTATCAACCAAAAGGAAACATGCTACTAATATCCTCAAATACAAAGAAAACATCCTGCTTAACTCCAGCCTGTTGCAACTCAATCCAAACAGCTGATTTGATCAGAAGTCCCGCCTCCTCCAAGGCGAGTACCCTGGCATTGTTTGGGGATTTTGGGTTTCTTCCAGATTTCAAGGGGGACATGTGCCACCCAGATTATCCCTGATTACTCCACCTTGGATTTGTAGTCATGTATTTTAACATTAATCCCTGAATGAAAACATTTCCCTTTACTGATACATGGGAGTTGTTTTCTTTTGCTGTAAATCTGCTGATGGCTCCCAGAGATCCGTGCATGCCTGGGAGAGGAGCAACTAAAGTAGGCCATGATTGCAGTGACCGAGCCAGCTGCTACCCCCGATTTAATTCGGATGTTCCTCATCAACTAATTAACCGGCGGATTCAGCCACATGACCAGCTGCAGGACTTAAATTCGGTGTGTATCATTGATTCACTTATTCGGGTGGAGATTGAAAGCGGGCATTGGACAAATTCTGTCTCACCTTGGTTTTAAAAACAGTGCAGTAGGCCTTTATTTAAACATGGTAGTGCTTTTCTTGCATACATCGTTAGTGATCTGTCGCACAAGGTTACATTCAGTATGGCCACGGGTAAAACAATCCATAACATGAAACGGTTAACTCTGCTTTTTGATCACAGATAGAGCGAGTAACATTTGTACAGAAACAAGATCACCCTGGAAAGAAATCTGACACTGATTTATTGCACGCTGATGCAGAAGCATGCACTGCAGATGTTTATTAGTCAGAAATAGATGAATATCTAGACCCAAACATGACATTTAAACATCCCACCACTGTTTTCAAAGTGAGATTTCTTCATACAATAGTTTTTTTTTGTTTAAAGTCAGCGTTTTTACAAGATATCTTACAGTCTAAATCATGACAGATTAAGTGGGTTGAAGTGTACAAGAACACACAGAGGCATTTTTCCATCAATCTGGAAAAACTTTGTCAAATTTTGGCCCTCAAACCAGATCTGGTGCCCTAAACTGATCCATCAACACGACATATTTCATGCTACTGCAGTCTGTCATGAGACTCTGAAAATGTTTGAGCTTATGGATGACCACGAGAGATAAAAAATAAAATATAAAATCTGTTAAACAATACAAACCAAAGTAAAAAAAAAACATGTATAAAAGCATATTAAAACATCCAAAACATAAATCTAAGATCACACACATACTGACTCGGAATGTCACTGTACACACATGGATTAGGAATTGATTAGCTCACAATTAAAAACACACCGTTTCAACAATTCTTGTGCAAAAATATTCTCCTTAAGGAATGAAACAGATATGACGACATGTGATGGCACATTAATGTCTCCTCTCTCCAAGGATAAATAGTAAAATATAGAATACAGACATAAAACAGGTAGGAGATGAACTCCTACATTCAGGCTGGAAAAAAAAAGCCTTTTCTCTGAAGGTGAACATCTTCCAAAGTGCAAATCGTTGCCTCACAGGTTGCAAAAGATCGGATTACAAGAAAGTTTTTGGTCAAAAATACGTTTTAAACACAGTTCCCCCTTTTTTTTTAGAAGACAATCCTTCAGTTTCTTCTACTTCAGCGATGATTGTATGTTATCTTTTTACTTAATTCTCTTCTAAATCTCACATATGCTTTCTCTCTTTGTCAGGTTTTCATCTTTTTAATTGTGTGTTCAGAAACTACAAACTGGCTGCTGTTGGATATTTCATCCTGAGCAGTTTCATCAAAGCCTGAGTAGTCTGATGTATTTTTTTGATGTTTCATTTTAACACATGAACATGATGACTAAGCTATAGAGTTTGACTAACACACTGATATGGCAGCTACATAGAGATTTCACTTGATTTTTTTTGTACAGTCTTTCATGGAGGATAATTGCGACACAAACTGACCAGTTTCTAAGTTACAGATAGTTATGGAAGCTGTATTTCACATGTAAAACTCCAGTGAAGTAGAGCTGTGGTTCAATAATGAGATAGCTGATCACTGTTATACACGGCTGGACCTAAAAATGAGTAAAAGCATAACTCTTCCCTTGTTGATACTATTTGGTTTATGTCTTGAGAAATAATCCCCATTCTGATTATAGAGAATGAAACTAGCAGCCTTCAGTTTTCTTCTCTTTTTCGCGCTGATTCAAAGGATTGTATCGTCTGCGTACACGTTAATAAATAATCCTCAGAGCTCTGATGATAGGCCAGCTACTTCGCTCCAGTCTAAGCAGTGATGACGCGAAACACGACTGAATTTACAAGGAATGGTGAAGAGAGAGCGTAGAGGAACGATAACAAGGTCGTCATCCCAGCTTTAGAAGCGAGAACGGCTAATCCAAACACAACAAAAACAGGAAAACGTTTGGTCACTGCACTTCGCTGTGTTAGCTACACTGCTAAAACTCCTACGTAGAGCCTGCATTTGCTTTCGTTCTGGTCCGCACACAGGATTTAAGGACAAGGATGTCATTCAAGAGCAGATGCCGCCATAATCATTTCCTTTGATGAGTCTGGCGAAGCGAAATGAGGACTCAGACCGTTCAGTCTCTGTCTCTAGTTTTGAGGGGTGCAGTAATAAGTCTGCGACCCGCAGTAATAATTCTGTGGCGTGGAGTAGAAGTTACTGTGATGGTGATGGTGGTAGTTGTTGTTCTGAGGGGTGGAGTAGTAGTTGTGATGGTGGTGGGGGTGAGTCTGGATGTTTCCGTAGGCGAAGAGGAGGGGGGCTGTGGAAGATGGCGGCTGCTGCGCGGACGCTAATCCCGCTGTTAGAGCGCCGTTGCGTTGAATGGAGCCGTACCAACTAGATGTACCCAGCTGAGGGGTGGTGGAGAGGAGGCTAAAGGGAGAGGAAAACATCAATCAGGTCACTTTATCTAAGAGGATATTTGTGTTTTAATAAAAGTGTGGTTGTGTTAGCCCACCTGGCTCGATCGCTCCTGCTGTTAATCCCTCTGGACAGGTCATCGTCGCTGTCATACCGCCGAGGATTGTCAAAAAAATAAGCTCTTGAGCTGAAACTGTGGCTGTTGATCATCCCTCCTGGAGCCTGGGAGATAAAGGGGCTGAAGTTTTAATTCAGTTCACAGCTCAGAGAGTTAAATATTGGTGCTTTTAATAAGTTGTTTTACCAGGTTTTGATTGGGTCTTTGCACTCTGAAGAAAACCACCACTAAGCTTGTGGGGAGAAGCTCCCAGAAGAAGAGAATGATCCCGAATATGATGTAGGCTTCGCCGCTGATCTCCTGCACGTCAGCCTGTAACACACAATAATATTTCAGATACTTTTCCCAACCTACACAAGCTCTTTACTTCCTTTTTTGACTCTTCTTGTCCTGAACTGATGTGCATTTGGAAATGGAGTGAAATTCGATTATTTACTCTTCTTGCAAAGACTTACATAAGAGTTGAAATAATCTTTTCCACCAACTCTCAGTCAGCAGGCAAATAAGTGTGTTTACTAAAAGGTCAAAGTATTTCCAGAATCCAGCTATGAATGGCTTAAAGATTAGTCACTATCAGACACTGGCGGTTAAGCTAATAAGGATCTAACAATGAATGGGTTCAGTGCATGGATCTACCAGGCGAGGCCCAGGAAGCAGACACCCTCTCTACCTTAAAGAGGAGGCTTAAACTGTTTTAGACTGCCTCTTTCTGTCAGTGTCATTAAAGGGATATTCTGGTGTGAAATTAATTTAGGGTCAAATAAACTGTAACACCGAGTTAGACACCCCCTTGAGGGATGAATGTTGCTCACCGCTTGCTTCTCTAGTTATATAAACTTTAGTAACGACTGCAGGATAGCAATACACAGCGGTCTGAGGAGCCATAAACAAACCTCAACCAAAACGCCACTCTATAGCCACAAATAATGCTCAGAACAGCACCTAACTTCATCAACAGTACATGTAGGGTCCTAACCATAGTTCTAGTCACCAAACATCTTTTTAATTTTGCCTGATTTTTTTAGCAAAGAGACTAAACACAACTCACCTACTCTCTTTCAGCAGCCGCTTGTTTGTAGCGAGACCTCGGGCCAGTCCATTAAGGACTACAGCGGGGTGACGCAGCTCAAGGAAGAACATTCATGATCATTTCTTTATCATTTCCTTGAAGTAAAAATCACCATATTAATCATTTTGCACTGCAGACGTGGTATTTCTTCTACCTTAGCATCTCGGTCTGATTGCATTTCCATGAAGAAATTATCATAAATGTTCTTCCTTGAGCTGCGTCACCCCGCAGCAGTAATGGACTGGCCTGAGGTCTCGCTACAAACAAGCAGCTGCTGGAAGAGAGTAGGTGAGTAATGTTTAGTCTCTGTGAAAGGAAGTAGACAAAGTTAAAAAGATGTTTGGTGGCTAGTACTATGGCTGGGACCCTACATGTACTGTTGATGAAGTTAGGTGCTGTTCTGAGCTTAATCTGTGGCTATAGAGTGGCGTCTTGGTTGAGGTTTGTGCGTGGCTCCTTAGACTGCTGTGTATTGCTATCTGCGATCGTTACTAAAGTTGGTAAAACTAGAGAAGCAAGCAGTCGGCAACATTTATCTCTCGAGGGGGCGTCTAACTCGGTGTTACGGTGTGTTTGACCCTAAATTAATTTTACACCAGAATATCCCTTTAACTTTGAATCATCATGTCCCGTTAGAGTCACTCGTACAGTCTTTTCTTGGAGTCCCTGAGCTCCATCATGCTGTAGACTCCTCTGGATCGCTGCTTCAGATGTCAACTTTGACTACAAACATCAGCTCCTCCTCTTTCATCAGTGTTGCTTTTAAGCTAATATTTCTTCTTGAATGATATGACCCTTTTAAATGTAAGTGAATGCACACTTAAGTACACTCATGTTGGGGTAAATGGCAGAAGACTCTTGAAATGCTGCTCTGACATCTGGTATACAGACAGATTAAAAGACTAATTTCTGATGTCAGATTATGTTGATGTCTGTGGCTGTGAATCATGTCTGACAAATACACACAAACACACCCTCTAAAAACGGGCTCTTCATCCCAAGGCCTGAGCCCTGATGTAGGTCAGGACACACAGACACACACCCACATGGTTATTTATAGCCAAACAAAGCCCTTTACCCCACTGAGCATCGCTTCCCCAAATCTCCTAAAATGGATTGTCCTCACAAACACACACACCCACACAGACAGACAGACACTCTGGGCACTCTAGATAAAAGCTCATTTTCAACTGACAGTATGAGACACTAGGTGTGGTACCTGATCTGATACGCTGTACCAGCCATAGTTGAAGGGACTGGGTCGGTCCTGCGGTGACATGGCCACCACCACCAGGTTGTAACAGGCTCTGGATGTGTAGAGCAGAATCACCACGGCTCCGATAGCCGTCGCTTGGCACACTGATGTACCCTGGAGGGGAGAGTGACTGTGCTTATTACAAGCTCATGCTCATGTATCAGCCTGTAATTGAATGTAGGATACTGGCCAGCAGATGTGATCCACTGAAGCCTCTCCTGCACCGAAATGACAGACTTTAAGCTTAAAATCAATTATTAAGGGACATAAATTTAACATTCTGTTCATGTCTGCACTTTCTAAAAACCATGAGTCACCGTAGTTGCAAGTAGCGCTGTGTGTAGTTGAAAAATGATCAGCACCGGTGCACATGCAGAGCTCTATTGTTGTGAGATGTGAACACGTGCAAGGGGGAGGAAAAGCAGCCACAGTAGCTGAGAGATTAAAGGACCATTTCCAAGTTTTTTTGTGCATTTACCTGACAGACTAGTGTGAGAGTTTGCACTGCATTTTAGAAAGGTCGATGGGACAGTTTTGAGCGAAAGCAGGTCAAATTAAATCAAAAACTGTCTTTTAATTTGGACAATTCATGGATCACATTTTCCCCCACTGATGGCCACGTCATTTTCACGTCATTTTCTGAAGTAGGAAGTTTATGCCAAGTCTTTTAACAGCTAAAAATGAGTGTTTTGTGCTTTTCTTGTAGTCAGAATTTCACACATGCTAAATATCATTCTTCTTTTTATCCCAGCAGCTTTTTTTTTTTTTGGCCTGAATCCTACCTTTGATTCCAGGTAAACATTAGCCGAGGACATCTTGGCAATCTTGAAGACACAGACAGCCAAGGAGACGGCACACAGGACAAAGAGACTGTCGTTGATCAAGACCCGAGCCAGGACTGCGTGTCTGACACCGCCATCACTGGAGACATAAAGGTGATTAACTCAGGACACTCCAGCACACAGGCAATTTAAAAGCAAGAGGCAGGGATACATGGGAGGGGTAAATGATCTGTTAATGGTGCTTTTTGTTTACCTTGGTGATTCAGAGCGCTCCAGAGCTCCTTGGACCAGCAATGCACATGTGAGGTTCACCACAAGGAAAAATACACTGAGACACAGAAAGAAGAGACGCAGAGGGACCCTGGAGGGTAATAAAGTAAGAGGAACATAAACATATGAAGGGAGTCAGAAAATAGACAAATATCTCTTATTTTTACATGAACAACAGCATAAAAAACAAAGTAAAAGGAGGAACTTACTTGTATTTGGTGAGCTCTGGGGAATACTTCGCTTTAGCCTTAAACATAACCTAAAAAAAAGCACAAAAACATCATTAGTTTTTCACGTTTATAAAAATATTGTATGCTTTGTTAGCAATTCCATTACATAACATTAACTATTTGACTTTTTTAGATAAACAGAAGAGTGTAAAGAGACTGCGGTGAGTTCAGAGCACACACACACATTTAAGATGCATCAAGCAGATTTAGACAATGCAATAAAAACAACAGTGCAGAGCTTTCATGCATATAATTGAACTAACTGTGAAGGCTACAATGAGCTTATGAGCTTATTAGGAATTTATAATAAGCAATTAAAGGATTTTACACACTCAGTGAAGTCAACCTGAGGTACAAACAAAGTCCATGAGTATGGGTTCGGTTTTTATTAAGCTTTACATCTATTAAAGCGAGGATAATTAATGCATACGGCTTGTATGTAAGTCACAAATAGGTCTGCGTGTTGGCATGATTTGAGCTTTTACCTAACATCTTTGAAAAACAAAGTCAGTCCAGGAGGTGAGTGAACCAAATCAGTTGAGGCTAGTGTCCCAGATTTTGAGCACTGACACCAGACTTGTTTACAGTTTGATGTTATCCATGGTCACTACCCAATTCTGAGGACATTTGGCACAAATCTGCTGCAAACCATTTGACTTCTCTTTGGACATTCAGGACTAGCAAACAGAGTAGCTTTTGGTGCTGTATTATTTGTTGAATGCGGCGTGACGTCACCACTAAAACAGAGATCTGACAAGAAGTCCTTGTTGACATAATCACCTGCAAAGACATCACACTAAACCTGATTTGGTCTTCATTAGGCCAATCTGATTGGTTGATTTGATTGGTGAAAGGCTAACTATGTAAAACAGTCTCGGCTACGCCTGTGAATTACATACCAGACGGATTAATCTCATTTAACGGTTAAGAGAACCAGAAAATTCAATGACTTGACCATGATCCTAAACGAGTTACTATACAGCTAAACTTGTGTCGAGCTTCAGAGCGAGCGTTTAATTTCGCAAACATCCAAGAAGGTTTGACTTCAGTGAAAGAAGCACGAACAGGCTTTTTGTTTTAATGCTCTTTGAACTAAAACTCGATGTAATTTTTCTGTTTAACCAACATCTGCATCTGTTTGGAAGCTAGCTACCTGCTGAAATGTTCCCAGGCGAGAGTGCCGACCTTAAAAAACATCATACTGTACAAAAGTGTTATTTAAGCACACAAAATCTGGGACACCAGCCTCATGCTCTGGTTCATGTACCGTCCTGAATGATGTTTTGTTTTTCAAATATGTAGATGTGCAAACATGCGGGCTGGTAGATGTCTATCAAGGTCCCTGTTCTGTCAGAGCCTGATGAATAATGATGATTCAGCTTTTTTAATATTAAACAAGAGCTGTCGTGGTGACGAAGGTCTTGAGAATTGCTCAACATTGTCAACACTGAGTTTTTAAATACACACAGCTCCATCTGACATACACTCAGCCTTTTGTGCAGGAATGTAGGCCAGGAGGAGGTAATCTGTAACCTAGAAGTGATGCAACGAGCCTACACAACACTGACAGATAACACACTTGAGTATTTACTCCATATGTTCCCTCAAAGATATCAAAGCAGCTTTCTTAGTTCAGCAAAAAAAGATCTCAGTTTTTGTTGAGTTATTTCCAAGAGCTAAAGGCGCCACTAAGTAATAAAAGAGAAGTAAATCACGGGTCATCATGACACAGGCCTTACTCATCAGAAAAAAACACTACACTCAAGTATTTCCACACACGCGTGTCAGGTGGGAGGCTGTGTTATGGTGGCGTGATGTTTTATCAGCTTTCTGCACATACTGTTATGACTATCAGCGAGTTCAACCTGAAACTGGATGTTCAGCAGTCAGGCACTAATGTGGAAACTAATTATTTATCATTCTGAGCAGTGAAGATATGAAATGACACAGTCTGTACTTAAAGTAATCAAAAAATCACTGCAGTTTAGTTTCTACAGACGAAATGTGCAACATGTGATGAACAACACAAGCCTGCAATAACATAACTTTTAAACGTTTACTTTGGTCATTGTTTGGTGATGGCTAACCCAATTTATAGCACAAAATAGCTAATTAGAGTACATTTCTAGCAAAGAGAACTGTTAGCCATAAATGAGCATACAAAGACTTCACTATCATGACAGAAAACGCTTTTAAAAATGTACAAGTCATGTTAACAACTTTACGCTTTTAATGCAGCAAATCAAAAGGGTTAGCGCTAAATGTTTTGGCCTCACTTATAACGAGATGTCGTGTTGCCCGCCTTTTGTACAGTACACAGATTGGGATACAACAATTACAAGAAATATGTGATTTAAAAAATTCAGCTGCATTAATTTTAAAGGAATTTAAACTTTGAAAGAAATATCTGACATTTTTGGAATTATTCATGTCTATTTAGTGTTAAGGTAAAAATCTGTATCTAATTATGACTCAGACTGAAAATATACATCTTATCTCTGACTCAGGTCTGACCCGGCGAGACATAAAACCATAAGCAGGAAAATTTCATTCACTGAGCTGGTCAGTCACATGGTTTTCCATACATACATGTACACAGAAATACACATTTTAACCCTCTCATGACCATGTTGGAAATAAAAGCCGTAAAAGATGTGAAGGCAGATTTGTTGCTTGTTTACAGCCGATTACATTTCAGTGGTAAAGTTTGTGTGCTTTGGCTGGTCACAGACCAGCTAATGGAGGTAAATGTTTATTTAGCAGTCATATGACACTGCTGGATTTATAACCCAATCTCCACTCAGCCTGTTGGACGAGCTTCCTTTCTCCTTACGCTCCTGCATGTGATTGATATACTCTGTTTTTCTGCTTTGAAGCACTTCTGACTGAACTGGTGTGGTGCGACCAGCTGAGAGTGTGTAGGTGTGTGTGTTTTTTTTTTCTTTCTGGGGCTGAACAAACAGGTCTTTGACATTTGGAGTGGGCAGGTGCTAAACAACTGCGACTGACCAGCTGTGTCCCTCTCTTTCTTCTATACCCACTGTGGACACACAGTTGATGAGAACATGCTGCTGACAGGGACATTTGCTTCAGTCTTATTCACATGTAAATAAAATGCTTTGACTTGATTCAGCGTGGGCCTCAACAAGGAATCTGGTTTATGAGCTGGGTGCATTTCTAAAGTGCATTTCATCTCTCAGTCTTTTCACATAAACACCAGACTGTAAAAACATAAAGCTGCAGGGTTAAAGGAGGTCATGGGAGGTTACAGTTTCTTAGCCAGGTGCAACTTCCTGGTAGCTGCATCACATCTTCACTCTGTTTACAGCTGAGCTCAATGTGGAGCTATTACTTTACAATGATGTGTTATTTCCAGATAACCACACTGCTTTGACAAAGAGTATTTAATTGGGTAAGACCCAACAGGGTGAAAAATGATGGACTCCTGGATGCAAATTAATCTGATTTTTCCTGTGGGATTTGTTGTCCCTCGCAAGAGGAGGACTAAACAATCTGATCCAAGATAATCAACCCCAATGTAATGTAATGTTTAAACCTATAAAGCTACATTTTCAAGTTTTAAAACCCCTCTGTCAAACAACCAAATGTCTATCATTTTGTCTGATTAGCGTATGCCCAAGACTGGCACCATTACAGTAAGGGCTGTCGTTGCTGAATTAGGCCTACTCGTGGTTTATCTGAGTTTTTGGTTGCTGTAATCTCACTGCAATAAAATCTTTGTGTGGTCAATGAGTGCACTTTCATTAAAATTGGGTTATCATCCCTGCAGAGCTTTCGATCAAAGGGCATTGGACGATGTATGCATAGGAAATTCAGGACATGGCGTGAGCAGCAGTCACCCAGGAGGGTCAATATAACACTGTAGAATAGATTAACAGCAATATTTGGGGTTAAATGTAAATTCAAGTGAAACAATGCAAGCAAAATTGCAGTGTCAGCAGTGCTGTGAAACCAGGTCACAGAAAACACACACCACACACACACACACTCTCTCTCTCTCCCAGACACTCACAAAGACAGTGCAGTCTTACCTGTGTGAAGTAAAGGTTCAGCAGGCATAGTGTGAAGAATTGCAGGCAAACAGGGCAGCAGTAGAGCAGCCAGTAGGCCAGGGGCTGCAGTTGGTTGGCCTGCACCACATTTTTAAAGTAGAAAGAGAAGAGGGTCGTCCTCAGTGCTGCCCACAGCAGACACAGAAACAAAAACACACTCTGGTAGCTGAAGCGCTTGTGTCCGTAGTGCAAAATGAGCCAGAGCTGCAGGTAGACGAAAACAAACAGGAAGGAGTAGAGGACGGTATAGATGGTTGTTAAACTGAGCTCCAGTGTTGGAGAGATTGCAGCTCCATGGGACTCCTTCAGTGAGGTAAACAAACGGGAATTCAGCTCATCTCCTGCCGAAAACATCTCCACTGACGCCTCGTACTAACACATAGGAGGCTGCAAAAGGGCAAAAAGCACTAAAAATGGGTCAGACCTGAGCCAAATTCACCGTGACTGACAAAAAGACGAGGATATTCAGGTGAAAATATGCCATAAAAGCAGTTTATTGCGAAAAGATGTGGCATAGTGAGATTGCGTTAGGGTTAAAAATCCGATACAGGGTTTAAAAAAAATCTGGATCTTGTTTTAAAGGTTAAAAATAACAAGACAGCGAAAGAAAACAAGAGAGAGATCCCTCTGTGAATCTCTGCAAAGCTCCTCTCTGCAAAAAAACAACTTAAGGGGGGGAAAACCTCCGGATCAGCTGTGATGCAGTTTTAGACCCGCCCCCTCGCTCTCAGCTAAAGGAGAAACAACTGCTACGTTGGCCGCCATTTTGGCTCAACGCTACGCTTATTTTCTCTGCGGATAGCACACTCGAGAGCCACAGACTTCCGCCAGTTGCGTTGCTAAATCTCTCCAGTGAAAGACCCTCACACGCCCACCTTTTCAGAGCTCCGCGTTATTGGCTACTTAGCTGCCTAACCCCCACAATATTCATACTTTATTGCTCTAAAATGATGTCAGCTGCGGTAGAGCCCACCCTCTGTATGCCTGTGATTGGCCTTTTGTTCAAGTCAAAACATTTCGCTTATCTTATTGGCTGAAGAGCGCACGTGGGCGTCTCTCGCAGAACAGGGGCACCAAAACAGTTTTCAAGAAAAAAAGCTGGGTAACGTTCACGTAAACACATACTTGGCTTCAAAATAATAGCCTGAATGGTAATTTGTACGACAGATTTAGTGTGAATAAACGATAACACCAACATAGAGTCTCTTACTGTCAAAGAAAACCGTCTTATAGCGCGTTTATTACACAAAAGTGCGAGCTATTGTGAGATATAAATATCTTTATTTTGTTGAGGACTTTATTTTGAAAGGGGGTTGGGAAGTGTTGTTCAATCTATGCTAACTTTAAGTGTTTGAGATGGATTGGAGCGTTACTTTTTTAAAACAATTTTTTAATGTTTGTTTCGTAGCTTGAAGAAAATTACATCCCAGAGTTAAGGGTCTGTGGTCCGTCGCTGCATTACCGCAAAAATACGCTGACATGTATCCTCTAAATGCGCTCGAGCGTTCATCCTGTCGGCAGCTAACATCATAGCTTAGGTAATAACATTTTCTGCATACCTCAGTGATGTATAAAACACTTCTTCTGTATAAAACGACTTTTTATGGGACCTAAGAGGCGCTTATTTTCATAATAAGAGTCGCAATGCTCTTATTCACCCGACCCACAAGTTTGGCTGTGCTCCTATCCGCTATTTGGAAAGCCAAAAGTTGAACTTTAACCCCACCTCAGCTCTCTCAGGTAAGTTCATTTGCATATTTGTTGTGATTGCATGCTTTTTTCGTTCAAGACTTACATATTTCCGTTAAAAAAAACTACTAATTTGAAACATAAGAATGCACTTCAAGGGTGTGTCTAGATGGATGGCTAGAGGTGGCGTAGCCCCTCTAATATGCAATCTACTTGGCCACCCAGCTGTGTCAGTGAAGAAATCTTAAGGTCCTTTCACACCGGGACCGTTTTTGTCTCGCGATTATTTCCGACGTCAGTATTTTTTTTTAATCCGTATCCTGTCAATACAAGCATTCACATCAGCAACGTTTTCCCATCCTGCGATATTGCGGCATTTATTTTTTCGTATCACAGTCGAATTTTCTAAAGTTTCGCATACTGTGTGTCCACTTCTGACCAATTAGATTTCGTGTTGTTGCGACGTCAGATTCACCGGTATATCCAACATGGCCGAACGGCTGATTGTTTACGTGTCGGAGAACAGAGTGCTTTTTGATAAAAGACACAAATATTACAAAGATAACGACCTGAAGGACAACTTGTGGAGAGTCATTGTGTCGGATTTCTTATATGACGATAGTTTGTGTGCTTTAACAGTTTGCTAAACTTCTTTGTTCTAACTTTCATCTGTGCTAACGTAAGCTAACGGTTGTTACCATAGTTTCATGTGCTTATCTTATCCCCTCTGATTGGCTATAAGTGCTGACCGTTTGGCTTGAGCGTCTGATGATGTTTCCAGCTTTTCTAGCCGATCACAAGTGAAGGAGGCTGGACTTTCCCCTGAAAAAGTCTTCCCTGGGATGTGTCTTTTCCCTCCCAGAAAGTCGCAAAATCACATCTTGGGGCTTGATGTGTATAGTCAGGCGCGTCAAAATTCGCCTCTGAATATTTCATAATTTTGTGTCGTATATTTGCGTCGACCCCGGTGCGTAAGGACCTTTAAACATAAACTACAATTGACTTTTTTTCTTTTGAGAAACTGTGCTTCTGATAAAATCAACAAAGTGTACTGTGTTGCAGGCTGCATGTAGTTTTTGTCTTTATGTCAATATGACGAATTCTATAAAACATGTCTGTAGCTCCAGCGGCAACTTCTAAGTAACAAAGCTGATGTGGAGATGCTAAAACAGCAGTTTTTGGTGATGTTTGCCCATTCGAGCCACTGTTGTTGAAAAGTCTTTGGCACGCCCCTGTATGCATAAAATAGTTTTAGCAAATGAAAAATGAGTGGCGACTCAGATCACCAACCGTTTTATTCCTTTCTGGGTTTCCCCTTTTGAAAACTGGTTTGTGATTATAATAATAACTCACCTTTACAACATCTACTTCACAACTGTGTTTTTCCACAGTGGGAGCTCAGCCTGTTCTCCACGATGTGGATGTGTGTCGCTGTTTTCCTGCTGTGGATGAGGTCAGGAGGATGCACGGAGAAGGCTAACACATCAGACCTGATTGAATACACGGCAGCAGACTTCTATGAGAAATTACACTCCAGCAAAATGATGTTTATTTACTTTGAGCATCAAGGTATGCTCAGTGGATCAGATTTTACACTTTTGTAAGCACATATTGCGCATTTTGAAATCATTTTTCTCCCTCACTCCAGTCTCTCCAACCGTCTCCCTCTTTTTGGTGGAGCTGGAGAAGTCTGCTGAAGCCCTGCAGGATTATGGAGTTCTTGTTGGCAAGGTAACTCCAGTCCTCATGCTCCATCTGCTATTGAAGAAGTTTTTTTTTAACCATGAATATTAGAAAGCAGTACCATGTTTCCTCATTCATTTTAGGTCAACTGTAACAAAGAGCTGGTTCACACATACTGCACAGGGGAGAGGGTGCTGAACACAGCTTTTCTTTTCAGGTAGGTTCTGTAGACTGTCAATTTAAAAACAACTGTTCACACCTAATACTGCTGACAATATACACTCACCGGCCACTTTATTAGGTACACCATGCTAGTAACGGGTTGGACCCCCTTTTGCCTTCAGAACTGCCTCAATTCTTCGTGGCATAGATTCAACAAAGGTGTCTACGTTTGTGTTGTGTGTAAGAACATGATGTATAAAACAATATGGCAGATTTGTGTCCTGAAGTCTAACCACTGTATTCGAAAATTTTTCTCCTTAATTATCATGAAGATGCTGCAACTTTTTCTGGTAAATTTTGGACCATTTGAGTACCTGAACTCATTGTCATGTTCAAGAAACCAGTCTGAATGGTTTTAAAACTTTATCTGTTAAGAATTTCCTATAACTGAAAGTACCATACTGAGAAAAACGTTTTTCATTGTGTATTTTAATTGACCAATATCCCATCTGTCTGTCTGTCTGTCCGTCTGTCTGTCAGGGGTGGAAGGGAGTTCCTGGGCTTTGATTTGGACACTGTGTTTGACGTCAACTCCATTGTCTCTGAAGTCCTGTTGTAAGTAAGCAACACTTCCTCAGTTTCATGCATCAGCGAAGGCCAGGCTTTTACCTGCAGATATTACTTTGTGCCTAAAACACACATTCCAAAGAGTTTTAAGTGATATTTTTATGTATATATGCAGTTTGTATTGTCCAATTTGTATGAAGTGGTGGTATGTCTTACTATATTGTGAAGCTGAAAATCAGTTTGCAACAGCTAAATAAGTAATTATAAAGATAATTGATTGCTTTAGATAAGAATAGAACCCAAACCTGTTCTGTTACCTGCACACAGTTCGAAGCTACAATCTGGTGCTCATGGTATGCTAGCTTACACACCTGGGAGGGCACCAGTGATGCCCAAAAGCACATTTAGATTTTAGAGCAACATATGCTGCCAACAAACACTCTTTCTGAAAGACTTTAGCAAGACCAGATGCTGCACTCTTCTGCCTGCAGTCCTGAAATGTTTTTTTTTTCTCCAGCGCCATCCTGCGTGAAGAAGTGAAGTACGTCCACACAGACGCTGATCTCCTGGCCATGGAGAAAGCTCCCAGTAGATCAGCAGTTTCTGAAATACTCAGACCAGCCCTTCTGGCACCAACAACCATGCCACGTTCAAAGTCACTCAAATCACCTTTCTTCCCCATACTGATGCTAGGTTTGAACTGCAGGAGATTGTCTTGACCATGTCTACATGCCTAAATGCACTAAGTTGCCGCCATGTGATTGGCTGATTAGAAATTAAGTGTTAACGAGCAGTTGGACAGGTGTACCTAATAAAGTGGCCGGTGAGTGTATATAGACAGACAGAGCATACCCACTTCCTCCCATTGCACAAAAGTGAGACCAAAAAAACCTGAATTACAGGCCCTGACTTTGTGGGCATTACACCATTTAGCTGCGGTATCAAGCGTCAAACCCTCATGCCAGCCACCTAAAATACCACTGTTAACAAAGGCTGTCTACGTTGTGTGTGTGTGTGAAGAACATGCTGTATAAAACAATATGGTATATGTCTTGTGTCCTGAAGTCTAACCACTGTATTCGAAAATTTTTCTCCTTAATTATCATGAAATTGCAACTTTTTTCTTTATAAATTTTGGACTTTTTCCTGAATTTTTTTTGACCAATGTGTGCAAACCTTTGGTTTTAAAACTGGTCTGTTAAGAATTTCCTATAACAACAGACACCATACTGAGAAAAACGTTTTTCATGTGTATTTTAATTGACCAATATCCCATCTGTCTGTCTGTCTGTCCGTCTGTCTGTCAGGGGTGGAAGGGAGTTCCTGGGCTTTGATTTGGACACTGTGTTTGACGTCAACTCCATTGTCTCTGAAGTCCTGTTGTAAGTAAGCAACACTTCCTCAGTTTCATGCATCAGCGAAGGCCAGGCTTTTACCTGCAGATATTACTTTGTGCCTAAAACACACATTCCAAAGAGTTTTAAGTGATATTTTTATGTATATATGCAGTTTGTACTTGTTTTTTGTATGAAGTGGTGGTATGTCTTACTATATGTGAAGCGAAAATCAGTTTGCAACAGCTAAATAAGTAATTATAAAGATAATTGATTGCTTTAGATAAGAATAGAACCCAAACCTGTTCTGTTACCTGCACACAGTTCGAAGCTACAATCTGGTGCTCATGGTATGCTAGCTTACACACCTGGGAGGGCACCAGTGATGCCCAAAAAGCACATTTAGATTTTAGAGCAACATATGCTGCCAACAAACACTCTTTCTGAAAGACTTTAGCAAGACCAGATGCTGCACTCTTCTGCCTGCAGTCCTGAAATGTTGTTATTTTTTTTCTCCAGCGCCATCCTGCGTGAAGAAGTGAAGTACGTCCACACAGACGCTGATCTCCTGGCCATGGAGAAAGCTGCAAGGGGGAGGAAGGATCTAGTGCTGGGTTATGTCCGCAGTTTGTGGAAAAGGTGGAGGGAGAAGAAAAAGAAAGTAAACTTGTGTTCATTCATTTCTCTTTCTCCCAAGGTGAGCTAGATGATGAAATCGCAGCTTCTGTCTATGAAAAGCGTGGAAACTTGCCTGACGTGGACTCAATTACCCATCTGACCTCTGAAAACTTTCACTCTGTAATTGCTCAAAGCAGCCTGACAGTGGCGCTCTTCTACCTCAAATGTGAGACTCATCATTTCTGCTGCCTCAAATATGGTCGTAATCATCGAGTCTGAGGAGGTATGTTGTATTTACTGTCTCTGTCTGTCTTTCAGTGCTGATGAGTTATCCGACTCATCTCAGGTGTGGTTCCTCCACTGCAGACTTCACAGTCGTTACAGGAACCCAACTTCTGAGCGCTGCCCTGTAACTCGTATGAGGAAGCCCCTCTCTACCCTCAGCCTTCACACCTTCCTGCAGCTCATGGAGGCTCCACTAGTGGTCAGTATGATGAAAATATACATTATGTCTATCCTGGTTGAACCGGGTTGTATCACTTAGTGTCATATCATATATTCTGTTGTATCTTAAAGCGGTCGTTTTAAAAATATTTGTCTTTTGAGTTTTTTCATTCAAACAAAAATCTACAAATATGGCTCAAAACGATGCCTGAATTAGACCTAACTGTACATGTCTCTGTGCTGTCAGTCTGAGGTGTATGAAGACCCCTCCTCGGTCCAGCCCCCTCTATTCCCCTACCAGCAGACCCCCCAGGTTTTCTTGTTCGCTCATCCTGCAACCGAGCACCTGGATCGGGAGACAGCAACCACTCTGGCTTGGAGGCTCCGTGGACTGGCTCTGCTGCTGCTCGTACACAGGTATACTCTAACACACACTTGCTGTGCTGCTGTGTCATGGTTTTTCTCTTTAGAGGATGTGTGTTTTTATGTCTTTCTCTGTGTGGGATCAGGCAGAGTCCCGCGGTGAAAACCCCAGATGAATATAACGCTGCTTACAGGCTGCCTGGGAAGGTATGAAGGTCACTTGCAGACTTTCAAATTAAAAGTTCTTCTGTTTTTGTTCTTTACTTAGCTTTTTGTGTGTGTGTGTTTGTGTTTCTGAAGGGTTTAGATGTGAAATACTTGACCCTGCATGATCTGGATGAGGTGTTGGAGCTCTTCACAGATCAAGAGAGAGAGGAGGAGGAGGAAGAAGAAGAGGCCGAGGAGAGGGAGGAAGAGGAGGATTTGGATTTTGGTAAGTTTGTGGAAAAGGTGGAGGGAGAAGAAAAAGAAAGTAAACTTGTGTTCATTCATTTCTCTTTCTCCCAAGGTGAGCTAGATGATGAAATCGCAGCTTCTGTCTATGAAAAGCGTGGAAACTTGCCTGACGTGGACTCAATTACCCATCTGACCTCTGAAAACTTTCACTCTGTAATTGCTCAAAGCAGCCTGACAGTGGCGCTCTTCTACCTCAAATGTGAGACTCATCATTTCTGCTGCCTAACAAAAAAAGATGAAAAAAAAAAAACAATAAAATACAAAGTGTGACTGCAGTTTTCTGCTTTATCCACCAGGGGATGCTGTTTCCATGGCATTTCTCAGCTCCTTCATTGAAGTTACAGAGAGGCTTGCAGGTAAACATGTGGGGCTGTGGGGGTTTCTGTGGAGCTATCAAGTTAGTTAACTCTCAACTATATATAATTTATATATATATATAAAGTATGTTGCAGCCTTACCTGTCATAGATTTAAAAATGAGTCAGGTGAGGTGAAGGCTAATTTTTTAATCCAAATTTGAAGATAAAGCAGCAGATTGATTTAGTGTATTGCAGTGTAATCCATTATTTTGATTGAATATGCAAAAGATTATTTAATCATTATTTTTTTGATTAGTTCATCTCAGTGTTTTTCTGATTTTTCCATATCATTAGAGTCCATGGTCCAGATGAGCGCAGTCGACTGTGGCGAGTGGACCGACCTCTGCGCTGCTCAGACGGGCAGCTCCCTCCCAATCCCATTCCAGCCAATCACAACCTTCCCTACTGTCCTGTTGCTCCGCCCCCAGGAGCCAGCTCAACACTATAGAGGCATGCTTGGCACAGAGGCGCTGCATTGCTTCATCTTACTGTAAGATTCACTCAGTTAAGCTACAATCAAAAATCTCTTGAAATGATGTGAAATTGAAGTTTTGAAGGAACTCTAAGAAAACAGGTTACACTTTTACAGCTAATGTGTTCGCTTTGTTCTGCTGCAAACAAGAACAAAAAAGTCCCATCACCTCTGGAGGGCCCGCAGCCTCTCAGTTTCCTGCCACTTTACCCATATGGTGATCTGAGTACGTGGGGATGCAATGATACTGACATGCTGCGCAAACTGGCTGCCTCGATGTTGTGTGAAAAGAGGAGGGTTCGGTTCAGACTAGTCTAGTTGTGCAAATAGATGCAGAGGCGGAAAAACACCCAACACAAAAATGGCAATTGTTCCAGAAGAACTGCTACAGGTACACCGCAACTAAGCCACATGTGTCTCTTTTAATAAACCGTAAAGACTAAATCAAAGTAGGGACATTCACCATATTTACCATCAGCTGCTGGTGGATCACAGATTCTTAGTGGAGTCCTTTATGTGGGTCATCCTTGTTGAAGCAGTCTATGGTTGGCACAAACAAACAAACCAACTGCATCTAGTATATTGTTAACAAATACATGCTGCAACTTTCTTCAGATCACAGATGGTGAAGTTGTTTGTTTTTAGCAGAGAAAATCTGTCTGTGAAGTTTAACGTGCACATCAAAGTCACAAGAGCATAAGAGGAAGTGGACTTGTTTGAGGTGTGAGAGCGGTTTTGGTTGCAATGCCAGTGCAAAGCCATGCTTTAAAGGTTGTGCCACAAGAGTCGATTCAGATAGGCTTTTCGTACAGAAAAAACGCAGAGGTGTCAATGCCTTCACTTTCTCAGGACTGCTGGGCTGAAAATGGACTGAAGTACTTGTGGGAAGTCAAGAAGAACATGTTTCTCATTACTGAGACTTTGAAAGAGGCCATCTGACACATCCAGCACCCAATTTACTCATCATGGAGAAAACTACTCAGCCTGTGAAAACTCTCTAACTGTGTGTAATGTGATTGTGGTGGGAGTGGTGAATACTGTCATGATGTCAAAACGATGTCATCAGGGTTATTTTAGCTTGCTTTACTTGTGCGAGCTGACTCTTTCCCTCCACTCATTTCAGCCTTTGGACCGTGCTGTGACCCCAAATGAGAAACTTTTTGTTTTCACTGTTACAAAGAAACCCACACGGGAAACTTTCTCATACAACCACATGTAAATGAACTCAGCAGAATGATACAGATCAAGCTTTCATGAACAGATAAGCACCTGTGTGTTGCTTATGTTGATGCACAGTCATGTTTTGTTTCGCTCAGGGCTCCCACCTGATAACATCTTAGACCAAAATCTCTCTCTGCTTTTCTTCCATAACCTTTATTTATTAGCGGATCATAAATGTAGCGCAAAGTTAAGCCTGTGAAAATGTGAATTGAAGCATATATATTTGTTCCTTCTTCACCCAGGAGCAGTCGAGCCTCTCCTGTGCTGCTGTCCACCCAAAAGGAAGTGAAATCATTCCTCCAGGAAGCGCCTTATCCTGAGCTGACAGGCTTTACACCCAACAGAGCTCTGGGACTGTTTCGAACTCCAACAGATGCAGGTATTTATGGGCTTGATCAGAAAAGATCTAAAACCTTAACAATTTGCTTGTCACATAACACCTATTTGCATGTAACAGATGTAGAGGCCCAGCTCTCTGATGAGCAGAGCTGCACCGTGCACTCTCATCCTGACAGCCCCCAGTTTTATCTACATTAAAGATGACGAGCTGAATTAGCTATACGGGATGATTCATGACAGATGATGTTTAAAAAAGGGGGTTTTAATACACTCCATGAATAACTCTCCACAAACATCTGCCATCAGTTTCACTGTATGACGGTGTAAACTTGTTTCTCTGTCTCATCAGGTGTGTCACTGTTCACTGAAGCAGCCAAGTCCTTGAGAGGAGAGGTGCTGACCGGACTGCTAACTGATGAACTTGCAGACAAATGGTAACAGCTTTGAAATCAGTCACGTCATCCTGGTCTGGAGATTGTCTCGGACTGTAACCTTTGAGTGCTGCTTTTAAGCTGATGTGTCCATTTTGAAGCTTTTAGTCATGAATCCGTTTGGTTCAAGTGTCTGGGCTTGATGATGGAACCCAATTAAAGTGCTGGAAAGACACTTCAGTGCATCATTAAGCAGTTTTAGAGTAGGACATATTTATAGCCTTGAATGTTTGTCTAAGTTTGATGTTTTCTTTGCAGGGCTGCAGAGCACGCTGTCAAACTTCCTGCTGTGTTTGTGTTTCCCTCTTGGAGGACACACACTCGTCCACCCACGCTGTCTATACCCTCTTCTCCTGAAGAGCTGCTCTCACACATTAAATCTGCACTACTGCATCCACTGGTAATCAAGTGTTTCTGTTTTTTCAAGTCATGTTTGACTTAAATTTGACTCATCTGAAAACACCGGAGTAGCAAAATAATGTGGTCAGAAGATCAATATGAAATGAATACAGCCGTGACATGATGTAGACGTAACTTCTTGGAAGATCGAACAGTTCACGGTGTGTCGCTGTGATAACAAGCACCACATGTGGGTTTTCACAGAGTCAGGACGCTGTTTCCACAATATCCAAGGTCAGAGCGCTGCGTCATGACTGAGTTTACATTAACCACTTAAAACAAATACAAAGAGGTGATGGGGAGACATGTGGAGCTTTAATATTGATGTTCTCAGCTTGTCAAGTTCATCTGAGTGTTTATTAAACCAGACTGTACTCATTAATCTGGCTGCAAAGGGAGTTCAACCCAAATGTTTGACATCTAAATGCACTGGGGGGAGTTTATTTAAGTGTGTGGTATTAGGTTTTGTTGGTGGAAACCCCAAATAATACCAGAGTCTGACACTTGGTGGCACTGTTGTTGTTGATTTTTTTGAAAGCCGAAATACAGTGAGTTTGACACACCAAAATTGCACACAATCCCTTAGCTGTATTGTTTTGAAATTGAAGCTTTTATCAGGAAATTTAGTTTTTTTAGCTTTTATTTTGGAAAAAAAAATCACTGAGACCAGCAGTTTTAATTTTTTTTAAAAATGGAGAAAAGCTTCTTTCTTTGGAGGATTTGGCGTATCCACCTCTCTCTTGCTCTTAACTCAGATTTTAACTCTTCTTTCTTGTTCTTACCTCCAGCCTGAACTGACGGTGGAGAACCTGCCCTCCTTCCTCTCCCTGGGTAAAGCCCTCCTCCTCCTCTTTGTGGGAGAGGAGGAGGATGAGATCGGACTGAGGCAGAACCAGGCTCTGGTGGAGGAGATGAGAGGGGTGGTGGAGCTAGGAGGGGGGAGGATGGAGCGATACCTGGCCTGCTGGATCCACCTGTATGACCATCAATCTCTATAAAAACAGACCTCTCTTACTACATTAGCTGCTCTATCCATCCTTTGCTTTTGACTTTCTTTAAAAAATCTGAAATATTGTTGTCTTGTGTTCCAGGGGGCGGACTCCAACTGGTTTGTCCGTGTTGGGGTCCTACCTTGGCTCTATGCCGCCCCTCCCTGCTCTGGTCCTCACTCATTTGCCATCCAGAGATGAAATCTATCAGTATCCCATGAAGTTCCCCATAGCTGCCCCCTCTGTGCTGAAGTGGCTGCAGAGGGTGGAGGATGGGAAAGAGTCTCCAGCAGGTAAGACGGGGGAGGTTTTAAAGACAGACTGATTCAGGAAGTGTGCAGGTCAATCAGGGGAGCATTGATCCCCCACATGGTTAAGGACACAGGAAGAAGGTTTAGGATTATAGTCCATGTCCATGTTTAATACAGTATTTCACATTTATACAAATATGAGGAGCCTTTTTCTACACAGGTGATAAAACAGTCTAATTTTAACACTGACTGCTCTTTATGGCCTATAAAGGCGAAACCAGACCACCAGCAAGAATTCTGACTATCCCTGTATACAATCGTCATTCTCATCTGTCAAAGCTGCTCCTGGGTTACAACAAACTGTTTTAACATTATGCAGAGCTTTTGCTCACTATTTTTCCACAGCAAAGTTCCTCAACAAGTTGAAGATTAGCTAGTAAAAAAGAAAGCTGGAAAAAGCGCCGTCTTTGGCAAAAACATAAGGATTAGCAGCTCTTATTCGACTCGTTCCCACTCTCTCTTCACACCATTAGGTTACTGGAATCACTGTTTTCCTCGTCATTAATGCCCTTCGAACACCAGCTGCTAAGATTACCGTCTACATCTGGATGTGTTTTTTTCGGCCCATCACATCTCCACAATCAACTACGCTTTCACATTCACACCTGAGTTATTTTTCCGTACAATTTCCCTAAAGCTAGCAGCAGAGCGAGCATGTGACAACTTAAACAGACACAGCAGGTGACGGAGACGCTCTGATCTACAATACTTCTCTCTGCAGTCAAGAGGTCACCGTCTGAAGCAGCAGGAATTGCTTGAATGGCGTTTTTAAGTGTTGCACTCACTCTTCTGCCTGCTGTGATTGCCGACTTGCTCGCAGAGATTTGTCGACCACCTACAGTGATGGCTTTCCAATACATGATGACTCCAGAGTAGCACAGTGTCAGCACTATGTCTGCTCTGTGTCTTTTTGTATAGATTCTACATAAAAACAAGAATGTGGACTATGTACTTGGGAAGTGTTCTGGATTGCGTTCAACATGCTTTTGCAGCCCAAGCAACCCTGACCAATCATAATTTAGCAGGATTTGGCGTGTGCAGAACAAAACAGTGAGTATAAGAGTAAAAGCAGTTGGGAAGTGACATCCTAGCTCCTATACGTGGTGACCTGACAACACTTTATTTATTCTATATACATATCTGCATCATTTGCCGGCCATTAATTTTGTAATGAGGGTTTTGACGACTCTATTAGAGGTAAAAAGGATGGTGTCATCTGCAAAAAGTAGTAGGATTGTTGTGTTCGATACAGAAGCTATGTAATTTATGTTAATAAGAAACAATAAAGGTCTTACAATGGATCCTTGAGGTACACCACATTAGATTGCATCTCCTTTCGAGGTCATACATATTGTGTCGGATTATGAACATAACTACTGAGCTAATTTCTGTGACAGAAACACACCATTACATTACTTTTTGTGTGTGTTCATGCCTTGAAAGATTTACATTCATCCTAGAATGTCCTTATGTGAAGTACTGTGAATCAGTTAATTGCATGGTAGTACCATTTTTAGTACAGATTTAATATCTTTTTTCTTTAAAAAGGCAGTCAACACAGAATTGATAGGGTTTATGTCGCAGGCATGTCTGAAGAGCCAAATCCTGCATTTGGTGTGAGCACCCTAGTTGCTGGTTGGGCTGTAAACAATGCAGGCCATGGGAAAGGAAAACTTGGCTGGAAATTGTTTATTTCCAACCACTGGCTTTACCAGGCATTTGGATAAGTTTGCCTTTGTTTCTTTTGAAGCATTTATCATTGTCACATGATAGAAGATGGATGTACTATTTTTACTTTTTCATGACAAGCATTGAGAGACGGAACGTGGAAAAAAATGTGACATTACTGTTAGAGCACGGACAAAAATGAACAAGCAAGTAATGGATGCTGTCTTTTCCTATCTTTGAGACGTCGAGGCACACAAAATGCTGTGTGCTCCAAGTTGTATAGGAATATTTTGCAGTTTAGTTTACCTTCCAGTGATTACATAATAAACCTAATGGCGTCTCTGTCTGTGAGTGAAGCAGCTACATTTACGTAAGAGGGTCTTTAAATGAAGGTGATGATTGTTGAGGTAACTTTAGGTTAAACCATGACAGTCTGGAGCCATTAACTCTTGACCTTTGAACTCTGTAGTTTGGTCTGGTGTGGTCTAAGATGAGGCACAGGACTTACTCTGGACTAAATGAACTGAAGGATTGTCATCCAGCACATTCCATTCATGCTCTTAGGAACCAAAAGGCGACCTGCAACCCAAAGAGATACACCACAGGTTTCAAGACTCCAGTTTTTTACATCCTGATGGATCGAGACTACAGCATGAAAAACTTTCACTCCCATTAGATTGAAGGCTGGTATCATCTTTATTGAATTCACTTTACAATTAAAGGTCTCTGCCTTCGTCTGTCTCTGCAGGGATGTTGGGTGACGACAGCTGGCCTCCTCCTTACGACTTCTTCGACTTCCTGAAAATCATGGACATGCAGGAACCCGACTCTGCCCAGCAGCTAACTCCTGCAGATGAAGATTATGTGGATGGAGATGATGAAGTAATTGCTCAGGGAGATGTTGCAGAAGATGAAGCGCCAGATTCGTCTTCCTCTAGGTTTCCAGAAAACAACACCAACATTCACTCTGAACTATAATAGAACAGGAGAGGGGAGACACTTTACCACTGATAAATCCTGATTTTAAGCTTTATTAATGTTTTTATCATTCTGTATTTATTGGGATTTCTGAGTGAACTACTGTGATTTATTTCCACTTACTTTGCTATTACCATAAAAGACATATAAAGCCATACACTGTATGAACACCATTTAACGTGGGATGAACCAAAAAACTCTTCGACTGCACTTTTTCCACAGCAGTTACTCCAAAAAAAAGCAAATTATACTCAAGTGCCGATCATTTCAATGCATGAAAATTGCTGTGGCGTTACATGAAGGATATTCACATCCAGGAAATTCTCGAGACCTTACTCTTCCCGTCATTGACCATCTTGCGCGGTAATAAAATTAGTGTCATGGGATAACCGTGAAATTATCCTGACAGCTTGAAATGCTGAACAAAGCAGGTGAAACAGGTTATTTGGACAGGTTATTTGGACAGGTCTGTTTTAATCAGTGCCATTGTTTTCATTGCGGTTTCTGGGAACTTAAGCTGTTTGAATTATTAAAAAAGGATTTTCAGATTCTGGTTTGGGACAGGGTTTTCTTTAAATATCCAGCATCAACTGTACTCTGATAAATACCCTTGTTTTATGCTAACTAAGATAGATAAAGTTAATTAAAACAGCTGTGATACATTTTATTTCAACTACTGCCCTTATTTTAACGTATGACGGGGCAGAAGTTTATACTGAGCATATATTCTCAGTGTATTTGTCTGCATTTGTTAGTTAAACATTAAAAAAATAATAGTTTTTCTCACTTTGCCAGTACAGTTTACTTGAGTGTTCAACAGCGCCCCCGTTGATTTTAATGGCCACCCCATGTTAGTTAGCGTGTGTGGTCAAACACGGTACTGCACTTTAGCAACAGTATGACATCACGGAAACGCCAGGTGAAGTTAATTGATCAACCCTACCCGTTAAATCGTAACCGCCGCGTGACAGCTAAAATAATACATACAAGAGTATATGGAAAAAATAACTCTACAAAGTTCTTCATCGGTATAAAGACAAGGAGAAAAGGCATGAACCGTCAAAAAAGGTGGGTCTGGGTCCTACATGTTTGTTGCTGTAGCCTGTTGACTCATAGTTAAGAGCATAAAGACCTGTTTTTTTTTCACATAAATTCTAAGTTTCTGATAATGTAAAGTACTAGTTTTGGGTGCTTTCTGTATTCACTGCAAACCTGGACTAGCGGTTTTGCAGTGCCCATGGTTTTGTGCTTATACTATCTAACAGAAAAGAGATGTGCTGACCATAAATCCATAATGTAAGCAGTGTTATATAATCTTTTCCCAAAACAAAAGGCTGACCAAATAGTCTATTTTTATACCATAATAAGAGTGAAAAGCTTTGCCTGTCAGTAGTAATGGTTCCAGTCAGAGGGAGTAGATGAGGTGGGTTGGAAGCAGCAAAATGGACAATCTTAAGGTTTTATTCACTTTTGACAAGGGCCAAACCATAGACTGAATATAAATTATAATATATAGCATATAGAGTATAGTATATATAGTCTATGGGCCAAACTAAAAAGTCTGGAAGACAGGGTTGTAGCATCTCCTCAGGCAGTGGGAGACCAAAGCTCATAGATGTGAACGGTCAGGCAGGTTGATGGTTGTATGTTGAGCCATCATTCTGTAATGAAACTAGAAATAAAAATCAGCTTAAGATCAAAAGACCAGCCAGAACACTGTCATCAAAAAGACATCAATCCCTGTTATGGAGTAGATTTCTCCCTCATAAAGTCAGTCCTCAGTTTACCAGGATCTGCCCAAGTCAATCAGTGTCAACGCTGTTGTGAGCAGAGCAAAAACACACTTTGAAGAGCCAATCCTGAGCAAAGCCGTGTGTGTTTACACTTCACAGACAGCTGGACTGTATCCTACAGTATATGTTTGGATTTCTGTGGAGCCTGTGATTAGAAAAGGATTAAATCTTAAGATGGAGCCTTACTTATCCCATCTGGAAAAGACATTTGAACATAAAATAACATTTAGGTGAGCGGTCTAAGCTTATAGGGCTTATGTGATCTTAACTCATGCATCAGCTATGTGACGTATAGCAGCGCCAGTTTGAGGAAAAGTTTGGAGAAAATAATTGCTGTCACTGACTTTAACAGTGAGCTTGTCTGCGGTTGGCAGATAGTTTCCTTTAATTGACTCCTGCATGAGATAATGGCTGCTCAGTTTGCCAGATACAGTCGCTACATTCAAATTAATTAGTAATGACAAATCTAAACCTGCACAGGCTGATTTTATGATCTGCTTTTGGCTCTGGATGGCTGCTATGAGCATAAAAGAACATCCTGAGCTGACAATTTCAGCCTTTTAAGGGAATTTGGCATTCAATATATAAGCAAGGCATTACCCAGTAGCCATTATAAGCGTGCACTGTGACAAAAATGTCAGTAAAGCATGTGAAGGACTCTTGGTACTGTTGTTGTGATGTAAGTGTATCCTAAAAGCTCAAAAAAGAGAATAAAGCCATATATCAGCAAATTAGATTATTTGCTTAGGGTTGTCAGGATATCAGATTTTCATCTCAAAATTATCGTGGTCATTAAATATAATGATGTTATTGCGATATTTAATCCTGAAAAAAAGTAGTCAGTCAATTTGAGGAAAGGCAAGAAAAGGGCAAGACGACATTTTACTTCATAAACTTTAAAATGTAAGTCACTTAAATTGCATTGATTAACTCTTATGATATTGAAATTTATGATTCATCAACAGCCCAAGTCCGAAGTGAACACCACCTCTGATGGAGATGCTTAGCCAGGACCTAGCACCTGCCCACAGCGCCAAAACTACTCCAGAATGGTTTGCTTACAGCGACATCACCGGGTGTGATTGGCAAGTCCTCTTCCTGGACATGAACCTGTCAGAGAAGGTGATTACTCATGTTTACTGTCCTGTTTGAATATTTCTGTGTGGATAGATATAATGAAAACCACTCTCACCTAAAGTGCTCACAGCAGGTTGTGGGATAAATGATCAGTATAGACATGAATCTGCTTATACCTGTTGACATGGGGCTCTCGTACACTCATACACACACACACACACACACACAATCGCTCACACACATGCAGACGGACATGCCAAATAATTTGATTTGCTGCTGCCCGGAATAACCTGAGTCAGCGTAATCAATCAGTAGGGAAATGATGCTGCATGGGTCCAGAACGTAACAAGATTGCAGACCGGCCATCCGTCCCTGTGTTACATATAATTTATAGCATTAGAGTAAACAGACCATACATATTGAATTTCTGAGGGGCCAAACACACAGACACAGAGCAGACCTGATATCTGAAGAGGTGTGTTTACCGGTAACCTTCGCAGACAGTTTCAACTTGTCTTTTGTTGTTTTTGTCTCTGGGATGAAGGGACGTCACTGATGTTTTACTGATAAGACTAAATGGAAAGCCATTTCATCAGGCTGCAGGCTCGCTCCTGTTAACCAGCTTGCCAATGCTTACGTCACAGTATATTACACTGAGTGAAAGCAGACAGTGGTTGTTAAGCAGGGAGCCAATTTCACGAACTGTTCCTTTAAAATAGTTTCTGCAGTTGCATAAGGCATAAAGACCGCAGCGGCTGGTTTCTGTGCGGCAGCTATACAGGAATCCAAAGCAGCAGCAGCATGTCGACACACACATACTCGAGCATGTGTCGAAGGAATCTGGCTTGATTACAAGGGGAACGTTCGCAATCACAGAGATGATGGTATAATAACACACAGATGCTGGGAGTGTAGGAAAGTATAAACAATGATGTGATGGTATAGAGGCAGAACCAATGAGGAGGGAGGAGAGTATTGCATACTGTATGTTTGGATGATTTTCTCAGTGCTTCGTCTCTATGTTGTTGGTTTCATATGATGTTTCCCTGCTCCAACGCACCTGATTCAAATGATCAGCTCGTTATCAGACTCTGCTTGATAACGAGCTGATCATTTGAATCAGGTGTGTTGGAACAGGGAAACATCCAAAACATGCAGGACAGTGGGCCTTGAGGACTGGACTTGAGAACCACTGATCTAAATTATTTAAAGCTTGATATTAATTCTGAGTATCTGACACAATACCGCATCTCCAAAAATGTTGAACGCTATCTAAAATGTTAATAAAAAATTTCATTAAAACCCTGTACTCAAAAACGGTTTGAAAACCACATTTCAGGTTTTGAAACTGTGGAAAAGTATGCGCTCATTTTGAAATGGATGCCAGCAACCAGAGCCAGCCGAAGCCTCAATGGGGCCCTAAGCAAAATTTGATTTTGGGGCCCTCTGTTTCTTCCAATAATATTGATTGTTGATCATTCACACACCTTAACAAATCTCTTTTGTGAAACATATCTTTATTTTGGCGTTTTTTTTCTCTTCTTTTCTTTTCTCTGCTCCTGAAGGATATTGTCTTTTCAACGGTAGCTAAACTTTGACATATCGGCAGTAAGAATCATAGGCCTACATCAGCAGCAGCACTAAAATGTTTTTACTTTATTTCATTATTACAATAATGTATATTTGATCATACAGAAAGCATCACTCATACATGCAAAAAATAAAAAATATTAAATTTTTTTTTATTGCTCTTGGGGGCCCCCTATTGGCCGCGGGGCCCTTAGTAGGTGCTTAGTTCGCTTATGCTTTGGGCCGGCTCTGCCAGCGACAAATTATGCTTTTAATAAAATTTTACACAGCGTCTCTGCATTTTTTAACAAGTGGAGGTCTATGAAGAAGAACCCGCACATCCGGGAGCATGGTCACAGTGATGTGGAGTCATGTTGGGAAAGTTTGAGTGCGTTTGTGAACTTGATCGGTCTGTTTGTGGGAATACAAATACTCCAAGATAGTGATTAATCAGATTCGAAACCATAATTGCAGTCAGACCCCTTTGGGACGTCTCTAAATCTCTGCTCTCAGACACAGACTGATGAACACATGGGAGATCTCACTGCAGAAGGCATTCCTGTGAAAGAATAATGGATATTGAGAAATTATGGTATTAAAATAGCACACTGCACAGACGTCAGTAAGACTTATGAGTATTACGTTTTTACATTTTAGAGGGGTGATCTCACTGCTTGCTGATAAATACAGTAATAAGAAAAATTCATATCCATTCAAGCAGGATACTCTCCTGGAGTATTGTCCATCAGATGTGCAGAGTTAAAGGTGATGTCAGGTTCACAGTAGAAAATGATGACTTGGTTTCACTCCTTCTTGGCTGCAGATTTCTGCACACCCGTGTATTACCTCACCTCAGTATTCCCGGGTTTAGACCTCTCCAGTGGTTTAAGTATCGTGTGTAAAGCTTGGGAATGCAGGGAGGGCTAACTGGTTGAGCAAGTTTTGGGTTGAAGTGTGAAAAGATTGTCTTGAGTATTACTTTGCCCTGATGAAAACAAAGTAAAGTTGGTGATACGGGTCAATCACTTTCATGATTGCACGGAAATGGACTAATCACTGATTCTGGCCTTTAGAGGTCAGCTTCGAGTTGCCTTCTGAACCCTTTGTAACCTGTTGACCCCCCAGGTTGGAATAGAAATGTTTTGTCCTACTCATTATTGATGCACTCCTTTGTAGTGGTGCTTGATTCAGGGCCCTCAGGAGACGTGGAGCATACCAGGAGTGAAACGAGTAGATTAGCAACACAGCTGTGTAGATCAGCTGTTCCTCCTGCTCAGACATCTTGGATCTGGGTGTGACACTTTGAATCTGGACTCAGTTTTTTCCTTGATACTGTTTTTAAAAAAAAAATTTTAAGCATTTTAAGGCCTCAACATTGCAACAAAAGTGACTATTTTTTTCCATTAACATGTTTAGTTGATCAGCCTCAGAGGTCAGAGCTGATATTTCACCAGCCTTCTCTACACTGGAAGCCTCCACACTGTGTTGCCATGAGAACAACAAAGTCATTTCCTGTCTGTCTTAGCCATTGGGGAAATGAGGAAATATGAATTGAGTGTTTAGAGCACGTCCGGACAGTGATGAGTCAAAATGGGAGGTCTCGTCACCGTCAGGTTAATTCATCCCTGGGGAGTTGGGTTAGTTAGAAAGTCTCCGGTGCGGTTGTGACTTACGAAAACTTCAGGGATGCGCAAAGCTTACTGTAACCCTGGTCTGCAATGGTCTGCATAATTTTTAACCGGAATATTCACAGATGGTGATTAGAGAAGTTTGTCACTCATTTACTTCTTCATGTAAAATACAGCGTTATAATTTCATGTAGCATGCTTTCGTCTAAAGCAAAGTACATCTAAGAGAAAGTAGACCCCAGTCAGGCACATATCTGCCATTACACAGTAAATACCATCCACAGTGATGCTTTTAGCAAGGCGTCCTGGTTCAAAGACACATAAAATTTTGCACTTAGCTTGCTACCAGTGCATCCCAGGGACGTGCCTCATCTCTCCTATTAAATGTCGTTCGTCTTGTTTTATGCAGCTGCAGTTTCGAACAACCCAAATCCAGCACCATCCTACAGGTTTAAGGTCTTATTACGCAACCCTATCATCACATGGCCCCCGAAATAATTAACTTTGATGCAGCTTGACGTGACGAATACAAGAACAGCTTTGTACTTTTTTTAAATTATGAAAAGTCACTAATAAGAGTAAGGTCTTTCTAGCTGCACTGCAGGTCAGACACCAGGCTGGGGTTAATTGTTTCATCAGTTTCCAAGAGAAAACGCTAAGATCTAGAAGGTCAAAACGGACAAAGACTAAACCTTATCAAATCAAAATGTAGATTAACATCTCAAGGCTGCGTGAGGAGTTTTGGACTGCTTTAGTATTACTCTTATATTACATTGTAAAGTAGAATTATCAGCTGCAAAACTGGTCATTTCTTTTCATAGAGAAAGTCAGCAAAGTAAAGGAGGATCAGAACAATCAACGACAAACAGTCAGCCATTAGAGGGAGCTAGTAACATTATTAAGACCTGACATGGAGCACAGTGTTGCACATTAATGACTGTGTTTCCCAGCGTGGGTTTGGTGTGTGTTTGTGAAGAATTAATATTTGCTTTAGGGGAAATACCGACAGTATGCAGAGTGAGTTTGTTTCACTTCATTTTGCTCCTCCAGCACTCATGATTCAGGATGTCAGTGTGTGGAAATATCAAAACTGCAGAGCACGCAGAAGATCTTATGACCAGATTTTTGCACTTCAGTAAATTTGAAGCCTTAATTTTGTGTTTTTAAAGTCCACAAAATGAACCTTGATGATCGAAATGACTGTGCGTGTGCGTGTGTGTGTGTGTGTTTGAGTGGGCAAAATGGAGCCACCTGGTAGACAGATCCATCTAACAGGCTTTTATTGGCTTTGTTACACAATTCTGGGAAGAGAAACACAATAGCCCGCTATAGAGGAGTAGATGTCAGGAAATTTGGTGTTTCTGAGTGTGTGGTGAGACAGAGAGAGAGAGAGAGAAAATCTGACAGGTGGCAGAATGGCTCCTGACAAATCATCCCTCTCTTTAACAGGATACAGTCTTATTCTCGTAATATTTCCAATAAAAACAGCTGGTTATTCAGCAGAGATGAAAGTGTAGGAGACTTTGAGATGATTTTGTTATTTATCTGCTTTTGGTTTTGGCGAAATTTCTCAACACATGGGACGTCTAAATTCTTTGTCAGTGCAGAAGGATGTGTCAATATTTAAACATCTCTGACCATCTGCTTTCGTGGATTTCAAGCTTCCAGATTTCTTTGTCACCATTTCAAGCGTATCAAAGTCCATAGAGAGGGATCACGCGAAAGGTCACAGATAGTTTGCTTAAAAACTGACTTGTTTCCTCTTTCTGCTGGTTAGAAGATTTTTCAGATCTAAATGAAGTGAAAGGAATACTGACAGTGTAACACATGTTTGCATGAACTTTTGAAAAGGAGAAAAAGTGCCTCCATGTCGTCTCTCATTGGCAGCAACACAAAGAAATTCTCTCCTGCCTCCAGCTCCCAGGAGCCTTGCGATACAATACCTTTTAACACCTATTGGAATGGTACACAAAAGCCCTCCAAGTGTGTGTGTGTGGGTGCCGACGCTGACTTTGGACAGGCCAACAAAGGCAGGGTGAGTCAGTGACACAGAGAGGAAGATAAAGTCTGGCTGACAGCTTTTCTTTATTAAATCACAGAGATTTTCTGCCACTGCTGCGGCCAAACAGCTTGCTTCTCTCGGTCAAATCAGGATCTGTGCAAAATATTTTCTTTGAGTTGTAATCGAGTCTGTCAGGGGGCAAAGTCGGACTAGAACATTGAGAAACAGGCCAAGATGTCTGTATAGGATCAGAGGGATTTGGGAGCTGTTTGATTTGATTTGGAGATCTCTCTCGGCTGATGGACCCTGAAATGGTTTTGAACTAAGAAATGAGAGGCAGATGTCTTCAAGTCTGGTATTTCATAGATCCATACAGGGCCATAGAAACAGACCTGTCAGAAGATGGTTTACTTGGGTTCAGCTTTTCCTCATAACCTCTTTCCCACATTCAGATTTTGGCTCCTAATCCACATCACTTTGGACCCAGTTTGACCACCAAACAAAGGCATGTGTGTGTATGTGTGTGTGAGTGAGTGTGTCTGCATGTTACATTTCACCTGGGACTGTCTGCCTCAGGCTATTTTAGGGTTCTTCGTTACCCCAGAAACCGCAGATTTCCAGCATAATAGAATCTGAAGTCAAACAAAGACAAACAGGAAGTCATCATTGCATGGACATGATGAATCGCTGAAGGAGAGGGTCACAGTGGGACATGGGGCATTATCAGCCATCTTTATTTGTGTGTGTGTGTGTGTGTGTGTGTGTGTGTGTGTGTGTGTGTGTGTGTGTGTGTGTGTGTGTGTGTGTGTGTGTGTGTGTGTGTGTGTGTGTGTGTGTGTGTAAGGAGTTGTGTTTTTACTGGGTCAACAGGCAGAGAGGAGTGGGACCAAGCTCTTGTCCAAAACAGATTAAACACAGTCGGGTAATAATAGTATATATACTGCCCTTTATATCACTGTTTTACTATTATGACAGTGAAACAAACTGGTTGTGATCATCATCCTAAACTATTAATTCAGATAATGCAATCATCCCGCTACCATTAATGTACATCATACTTGTCAAATATTTCCCAGACAACAAAAACCAACTGAATTTCTCACTTCTATTTTTCCACTGAACTCTGCTTTGATCTTGTTCTCTGTAATGGATCAGAGGACTTTGCGTTTTGGGGTCCTTGTTCCTGTTTCCCTGCGAAAAAAGCGCTGCAATATCATGTCTTAAAGGAAGTTGTAGAGGCGGTGGACGGTTTCGCTTTGACTCAGACTAGAAAAGGTTGTTGGTTTTGGTTAAAATTTGACATTTTCTGTCGTGCTTGAAATCTTGACCTCTTTCAGATTTAAGATTGCAGTCCTCTTCTCAAGCACCATAGGAGAGCCATGAAGCTCAGTCATTTAATTTAAGTTGATGCTACAGTA